TGCATATTGGACAAATCTCACATATTTAACTGACAACCATAAGTCTTAAGAAAAACCAAACAAACATATCACCAAATCTGAATATTCCATTCAAGTGTGTTAATGAGGGTCCGACTCTGCTGCTGGGCAGCTGTAGCCAAAAAAAACAACAAACCCAAACAAAATCTCAAACAGTAAGGAAATACCTGAGCATTGAAAAGCCTCAACCATAGACAATCTGTAGAGCTAAAACACAAAGTAGGTGACATAAATTTCTGAAGAACTGCATTGCGTTAAGGCTCTTAGAAGCCAACAGCTTAGAAAGCAAGATCACAAATCACCCACAAGGCTGAAGCCAACACCTACACTGTAAAAGGTCTATAAAACAGAAATACTTTAAAATTCATTCACCTTAAAGATTTTTTCCAGCTAATATAACACCTTGTCATGGCAGTTATCACATCTTCTGAAATTCAGTTGTGCTTTTCCATCTTGAATCTTTGGTGGATGACAACATCTTTCATCAGCTCTAGAGATACAGGGATAGTTCAGGTATAGCTGCCATACAAAATGAATATACCTTAAGACATAAAAGAAAAACTGTGCAAGACAAATCACATAACATTCAGCTTCATGCAAATGGCATACTACCATTAATTACCTCATGAAGAGGTCAGATAAAACATGCCATATACACTGTCAGAGTAGCTGATTTAGAGCCTGTCAAGATATCCTTAACCACTACAGGTGAATTTCATTCCAACTCATTTTAACAACCTAAAACTGAGGTGCCTAACCACATCTTGCTATCCAGGTTCTCTTTAGAGTGAAAAGATGATACATCTGGATTCATCACATCAATCATAGAAATTTATTTTAGGACAGTATGAGTTACCCCCTGGATGTGCCTTTCTTTGGTGATGGACAGAACCTGGACACATGAATTAATTCATATATCTTGTTTTAAACAGCTGAAGTGAGCTGACATGATAAGAAGTCCATACAGGAAGCAGACCTGAGGAGTGGCAGTCTGTCAGGTACTATTTCTAAAGGGGTTAAATGTCTTCATCAGTCCAAGAGGGGATCTTTTTAAAAACTCCCCACCTGCATAGCAGCTGTTACCTCATTTTAATTACTCATGGCTAGACACTTGCACTGGGGAGTAGGATGATGGTGTGGCCAGAGAAGAGCGAGGATGAGATTTTTCAAGTGATTTTGGTCTGACTTCATGTACTGTGTACTTGAAAGGCTGCCTGAGGAGATGCCAATTATTTAATTGTGACTAATAGTTCACACTAAACTGTAGGCCAACAGCTGCCAATATTTCAGATTAATTTACCAAACCACCAGGCAACACTATCGCTAATTAGAGGAAGCATTACTCCAGAGACTGTTATCCTGAGACCAGACGATGTACTAATAACCCAGACAGTGAGAGTTTAGATAGCACAATTGATATCATTACATTTCTTTTTAAAGGCTTTCCTTAATGGCCAATATCCATCATACTTAAGGCTCCAGCTGCCAATTCATTTATATTTTCCTGTGAATCATGACTGGGTAAGCTTGCTTGAGGCAATGCATGTAAGGTGTTTTTTTAAAGGAGATACCAATAAGTGATCAAGACCACAACAAGCAGTGTTTCCATACTCAAATCATCAAATGTTTTATTCAAAGATGGAAAATAATCCATCATTGGAAAGATTTTAAACGCTGGTTTTAACAGGATACAAATTGTGGTGGTTTTGTGCCTACACTGCAAATCATTTTTGTGGAGAAACTCCAGATATGCAAACACATGTGAGTAGAACATGGCCTTCAGAGGTGCAATAAAGCTTGGAGACTTGCGAAGAAATGAACCAGGCCTCAGTTTCAAGGTCAAGGTTTCACTCCCTCAGCATTCTCATTCATGTTAAACAAAGTTATTTGCTGTGATGTTAGAGATCAAAAAGTCTGAAAACAATTTTTCAAATTTGGTTTCTTTTATTGAGGATAAACAACTCCACAACCCACTCAGTCTTGCAGAGCAGCAGTCACAAAACGTCTGCCACCAGAGCACCAAGGGTGCTTGCTTGGATGAATCACCTGAGCACATAGCTGAATTTGATCTAAAGTAATGAGCCTCTAGCAGTCCATTTTTGCAGCCAGCCTTGGAGCCAACAAAAGGCAAGAAAAGTAGAGGACATCAGTAGCTGTGTTTTCCTCTAACAACCACCAGTTGCAGATTTACAGAAGTGAGACAGGTCTGCTCTCCAGCCAAGAGCCACCTCTCTCAGTAGAGTCTGAAGAGCTAATTCAACACTGTTGTATGAGCACAAAGCTTTCCAACACCTTGGAAACACCACAGTTTGTTTGAAAGCACAAAGCTTTCCAACAATCACCTTTTTTTTTTTTTTTCTTCTTTCACCACCTGCAAGTCAGCTTTTGCAGAACAAAGGATTACCTTTTCAAACCTATCTCAGCCACACCAAGATCAGCACAATGGAAAGATTAAAGACCTCTGCCAGAGCTCTAAGGCCACATACCTCCTAACCCTCATTTTACAGCCCCAAGATGCCACATCAGCTGGGATTTTCCCCCTTCTAGCATAAAGTAGTAACTCAACAAAGTAACACCCACCTCACACTGCTTTTTATCTCAAAGTCACCCTGCCCACTACCACCTCCACCTTTATTCCCCCAGAGAAACAAGCTTCAGCTGGTGCAAACTGGCTTTTTAGTTGGAGGGAAGAGGCTTCTTCTTAATGCTTTCAGGCTTCCCTCTGAGAGGCAGTAAATGAATGGCATCAGCACAGGTGTTTTCTTCTGCCTCATCCCTGTGTTTGCTCCAGCCTTCACACCTATTGCTGGCACAGCAGTCATCCAGCTGATGTGGCCCTCCGAAAGACTATCTGGTATTTGCTACACAGGCAGCTTTTTGTTCTCTTGGGCTTCTAAAACCTGCAAAAGTTGTGGAGGATCAGTGAAGGATCCAGTCATGGTTTTGTCCCTGAAGCATGTGCGTTGCACTGCTGCAACAGGAATAACTGTAGCAATAGAGCATGTCATGGCAGCAATGCTTTTTGAAAGCAAGTTTCTCTGCAGCAACTTGGTTTAGAACTGAATACAGGATTTAACTTTTGCCACTGTGAGATCTTATACAAAAGGTCCATTATCTGCAAGTGTTCATCTGCCTTTAAATGTAAAACAGACACAAACAAGATTGTGATAGTAAAATGGATGTATACTAAAGAGTACAGATTCAGTGCTGTATACCTTTTGTATTGTGCCTATCTAATCAAGCAAAAAGACAACTTCTTAGTAAAAAGAAAGTAAAGTTGGTTTAGGACCCAGATATTGTTACAGTTCAAGTGCCTCTTCCTGCTTGAGAGGGTCAGATGAAACCCAGAGCTCATCAAGGTCCTTTGGTTTCTGAAGACATGGAAGTACAAATAAGGCAAAAAATATTTTTCCAGCTGAGATGCTTTGTGTGAAGACAGCATAAGGAAAATACATGTTAAGGGCCCAGGTTGAACTAACCACAGACAGGCTAATGGAGGAATTTAACAATGGAGGAATTTAATAATGAGAAAAGGACAAAAGTGGCTTCCCCTATCAAGCTATAGGCAGTTTGGATCTTTCCCCTTGTCTCTGTCAGCATAAGCCTAATGGTTACAAAACCACAAGAAGGGACTTAACAGGATATTTATTGTTTTACTCCTGAAGTAGAAGCAGTAGCAGTGCTTGATTACAGTTACTGGATACACTACAGTCTGCTTTCTACTCTCACTGCCAGTATTAACTTTGCTCTTCAATCAAGAGTTCAAAGTTTGTGTCTTGAATAGTTTTCAGAGTTAGCTGCCTTGTGCTGATGGAAGCAATGAAGGCTTTGCTATTGGCTCAAGTGGCAAGAGAAGGGACCAGACCGCAGCCAAGGGAAACACGGTGGCTGGCCTAATTCCGGCTCTTATTCTGTCCTTCGTGCACTTGGTTGGCGCTTCACAGCTAATACTGTCTTGCTTGAGAGCAAAGGAAACTAAATGGGTAGGGACTGCACATACCACAGTTAGATCTTAACAACTTACCTGGCCCTAAGTACTGCAGGGTAATCATCACTACAAAACTATATTGTAAGAAAATGCCTACACTCGCTCAAAACAGTCTACTCACTGCAATCAATACTGAGGCGCAGTTTAGGAAAAAGAAGCTGGGGAAAGGTACTGTGCAGAAATTTACCCCTTTCCCCAGTTTTTTCAGAGCAAACAGCCTTTCTGACTCTTGGTGTCAGAAATGTGTTGTTTTGTTTTGATGAGCAATGGTTTTCCAACTTTTGAATAAATTGATTATAGTTAAATTTTGCATTTCTGAGGATGAAAGTGAACTGTGAAGGAATGAGAAAAAAACATACAAATTTCAAAAACACATATGCAAGTCTTCTTTGCTGTACTGTAAGATCACCAGTACTCATGATAGCAACAAACCCTAAAAATAACCATGTGCAGTGCTGAAAAAGGAATTACTGAACACTGTGTGTTGAATCACATGATAGTAAGCAGCTTTAACAATGATAAAAAAAATAATTGTAACAAAATAAGACTTCCTGTTGTTTATTAGATATTGTAAGTATGAAATGTACAGTATACAAAATTAGAATCAAAATGTTCACATGATTGATTTTAACAACACATTTTTCTTTGGATTAACTGCAGACAAGCAGCTTTTTAAGAAGTTATGTTGGTATCTATTTTCTATTATAGGATCTCAAATATATCACTATGTGCTATCTATAATTTAAATCTACAAAATAAAAGCTACTGAATTTTTGCTGCATATTGGTGGCAATCATTGGAAAAGAATAAACAGGAACATTAGCTTAAAGAAGAAAAAAGTTCATTATGACAAAATGTTAATTGTTGAAGTTCATAAGCAAAATTGCTTTTGAACTTTCAAGCCTTAAAATTGTACATTTTCAATACCAAATACTTGCCATAAGAAGGTACAATCTACTATACTGGTGACCAAAATTTTCAACTTTTTCTTTTAGACAGACACATAATTCTGGTTTGTTTTCCTAACAAATTTTCACATCTTTAAAATTACAGTTAAACGAAGTTCATTCTCCTACAAAACCAGTTTAAATGTGGTGCATTTCATAAGCAGAATGTTTTCATTTAAACATTCTATCTGTAGAAAATATATGTATATTCTATAGATAGAATATATAAAGGAATGTAAAATGGTTTTCATTTGTTAAATCTGTGTATTTTCAGTTTGTGTCATATTGTTTAGCAGAAAGAGAAATACTAATGGCTAATCTAGATAGCCTAACAATAACCTGTCTGTTCATAAACTACATTTGCCATCATGCTTTTCACTGCAATACAAAATGTGCTGGAAAAACTGAAATTATTACCAGGGAATATTAAGTACAGTTATCAGTACTGACAATATTTCTCTGATTAAAAAAAAAATAAAAAATCTTTAAATGAATTTCTTATACGTGCTTTACTTTGCAATAGGAATATGATTTAAACTGAAAATTCACCTCATGTTGTCCAAGCATTTTTTTAATAGACACTGACTGTATTTGCACAATTGCAATTTATTCAAAATAGGGAACTGCTGCCAGATAAGTCGGTCAATGAGTTAAAACGGGATTGGGTGCCTGACAAACTGTGGGCCAGCCTTCCACAACAAAATAGAAGGTGTTCTTGCTCTTGTGGAATTGCTAACGTAAATCACCTTTTAAGTTGGCACGTATCACAAGAACTCTTAAGCAGTCCCTGTGAATGAACAAAAAGACAAATCACAATACAAATAATGAAAAAGAAATTTCTGAAATTTAGAAGTCTCCAAAAATATTTTTACTCTTTTAGCATTAAATTGATAAAATTATGTGGATTTGGTATTATATTTTTAACAGATAATCTGCTCATATTTTCTTATACTGGGAACAGCTGGACTTGCTGCTTTCTTTCAAGTTTTTTTAAGACCATTGGCAAGAACAATCCGTAGGCTCTTGGATTGAATAGCTGACCCAGGTTGAATTACTGGTGCAATACAATTGCACAGTTCGTCTTTGTAGTCCGAGCTCCCTGCAGCATTTGCAGAATCTTGCATATGTGTTGATGTTGTAGTTGTAAATGCTTGCAGAGGGGCACTTTCCATCACATGAAACAATGTTCACCTGGTAACAAATATAAATACTAATCAGCGGATTGAAGCAGCTATGAAATAAAGTTAGGAGTTCGCAGTGAAGTTCAAAGATATGAGGCACCCATATCCTATGCAAAGCAGTGGAAAATTAGGAGTTATTTCTTCTACCCCTTAGGAAATTCCACAATATCTGAGTAATAAACTCCGAAGTATGTTGTACAGGTAGGTCATAATTATCATCTTATTGAGATGAATGATGACATTACCATCAATTTCAGTAACAGCAGATTTTGGCTATTAACAGACATGAAGAAACAACTTCAGTTTTGGATTTTAAAGTATTCATAACAGCATTAGCTTGAACATAGCACCAAACAGTCTCTCCAAAACTCCCTACAGTATTTATTTCAGTGATACACTGATGCAGTATTATTATACTGGTAGCACTAAGGAGGAATATAAAAAGTCAATCCTTTGGAAAGGCAAAGGAAATTGTTACTAATGACATCAAAATTGTAATACAGACTGTAACAGAAACAGTCATATAAACTGATAATTTTTTCAAGTGTAATAGTCAGGATTTGTATTTCTGTTCAGTGAGACACTGAAAGTAAATTTGCTGGCTGCTCAATGGTTTACTGTACAAAATGTACTTCCAGAGTAATTTTAGATGTCACAGCTGTTTCCCTGTTCTCTTTTATTACAGCTGTTCAAGGTGCTCTTACACATCTCACATAAGATGCCTGCCTATAGCCTTGCTGCTGCCCACACTGCCTTACTGCCTAGCAGGACATTGTTGATGTGCTCCTACAGTAAATCCCTCAGCAGATACACAGATAGTGCCTCATTCTTTCTGCACATTTCACAGTATGCTCGTGCTACTGTCTAAAAAAATACAAACACCAAGCCTTCAGGACCCATGACTGTTTTCTTCATGAAGTTGGCATTTAAATACTTTCCCTAAACAGATGAAAATTAAGCCCATCTGCAGCCATTTTATCTGTACTATGTCACTGAAAGTTACATTCAATTTGCATGTAATAATTGCATGATTTTGTATGCCTAAATGCATACAAAAGCAGAAGTCACATCCCCTTGCTCTTATTATTTGAGAAGATGATTGCTGAGAGTGGAGTGTAACAGTAAAACAGCTCTATGAAACACAGAAACCTCTATCTTGCTGAAAGAAAAATGTAGACAATAGCTTTGTGGTATTTGTGTTCCTTTTCCTTCCTTTTAATTTCTCGTATTTTTTCTATTGTATTAAAAAGAATTGTGATAGTTATTTACTTACTGGTGTGTTACTCCTGCAGTCATTCTTGCGAATAGTCATCCTGACAGTCACCTTTTTGCAGAATTTTCCATCTTCCTTACCTGCAAAATGGGTATTGGTTGAAAAATATTAGCTCAAAATTCTAAGCATTTCAGTGACAAGAACATTCCTGAACATTTTATGGCATCAAGAAACACAAAGAAGAAAATACTCAATCCATCACTGCACTCTGTCAAAGTGACATACATTGCATTGCTTTTAAAGCTATTCTATTTAATTCATTAAAGTATCTCTGATATGTTCAATAACAATTATAAAAGGTTCATTCTTCACTCAGAAGCTTTTAAGAGAAAGTCCACTGTCTTTAAAAGAATACTGTAAAACTGATTGACCACCCTGAGAGACGGCTTGTTAATAATGCATAAAATGCATTTTCTATGAAATAACTGTAACAAGCTTTAATGGCAGCAGTTGCATTCCAGTGGCATACACAAAGTTAAATCGAACACTTAACAGCAGAGGCTGATGAAGAATAGGGCTTCAGATAACTTTACATTTCTGTATGTATTTAGTAAATAAGAAAAAGAACACCAGTAATCAAATGAATTTTTTAATTTACATTTTATTAGTATTATTTCCACAACTTTTCTCACAGAGCTATGTACAAAGCAAATGGGTGAAATAAAGAAGATAAGAAATCAGTAAATGAAATGAGGAGTTAAACTTCAGAAGCGAATAATGATCATCTGAAGAAAAGCAAAGTTTAGTGTAGAGTTCAGCTGTTAAGAGAACAGAAAGTACAGTATCTTCTTATGATGATCCTCTCTCTGCTGGAGAAGCCACATCGCATTGCAGATCTGTAAGAGAAATGAATAGACCATTTCATTATAACAGCTTCCACGGGGTTCAACAGCAGATTTTACACACTATTATGCAGTCCTACATGACTCTCCACTTGGAAAGCTGCATTTTCTTGCAGCCAAAAACCTCAAAGTTGTTAACAAAAGGTGAATACTGTTAGCTCCAGAAGAGCAAGGGCAATGAAAGGCTCATTGATTTGACCAATACCCAATACTGAACTGTGGCAGAGGTTTATTATATCTTGACGTGCGATGTCCAGTTCCCTGCTCTAATCACTGTCAAACCAGGTAATACTGCTTCCCAAAGAGGAACATCTTTTGTGTTGGGTTTTGGAGTTTGTTTTTTTCTATTTTATTTTTTTTAATATGTGAGCCTGCTACTTTTTTTTAGACATAGCAGAGTTTCTAGAGCATGAAAGAAAGCACAGCAGTCAATCTTCTGGAAGCAAATAAATACAATCAGAAATGGGTGGCTACTGCTCGACTATTATTGAACTTATGCTTAGGGAAAAAATTGAAGAAGTCTTGGGAAAAAATTGTCTTTGAAAATACAAACCTTATGATTATTTCACGTTTCTCACAGTCCTATTCATGTTCTTTCTTCTTTTACATCGTACATAGTATGTTGGATGGAGATTTCAGTGCAGCTACGGGTATGACTTCATCCAGGCCCTAGTGGAAGTACATCATCTCTCAAAGAAACAGATTAGAACGCATTTCCATGCATGTACTTAAGTGTCCAGTGGCTTTTAATGAGCTCTACCACATAATAAACTTTTCCATCAATAACCTTACAAAATATGTGAGCATCTTATACATGTAATACAATGAGAGTCTTTTCAAAGTCTGTACAATTGAAAATCCTTGCTTAGTTTTTGGGTTGACTTGTAACACTGCTGTCATCTAAAGTGATGTCAATATGCAATAGTATAGATTTCAGTGTAGTACTCCTGGAGTCATAAGTGTAATTTAATGAGGGACATATCAGTGATGTACAAAATTATTGTCATATTTCTTACAGAAATATAGGGGGATATTTTCACAAATGCCAAACAATTGCACTCATGTTACAATTCAGAAAATTAACATACTCTATTAGGAAGAACAAAGATAATCTCCAGCTTTTATGGAGTAAACACAGGGTAGTTATTTTCAGTATACTGTCCTAACTATGGATGGGAAAGAAATGAGCTGCTCTACTGTATATGCCACTGGAAGCAAAACTATACAATACATCATCAGTGAAAATGTTGCTTATAGAATAAGCTTTAACAAGCAAAGCCATCAGTCTTAATGTTTTACAGCACTGTAAAACATTTTTAAACATGGCAATTTTATACATGCAGCAAGCTAAAGACTACACGAGTGCTTACTACAACAGTACATTGTTGGCTAACAACAATGCACTGCCCACACAGTGCAAAATGAAAAACAAAATAAAACCAAAATCTGAGCCACTCTGAACCATGAGCAGTTACGCTACACTGCAGCTTTTGGCATAATTGGGTAACGTGAAACCTGACATTCCTATCAGGGAGTACATTGTTGGAAATCAACAATGATGCTGTTTGGATTGGTCGTACTTATTTCCAGGAAAATGTACCTGTGTAACAGCTAGCATAGGCTGTAGGTGTGACTGGACTAACAGAGAATGGGAGGAGCATTGACACTGAAGAACCTGGTAAGAATATTACATGTTGAACAGAGTACATGTTACAGAGGATTCCCTATCAGTATGAAACATTTTGGAATTACTAGATTTTAGCATATTCGAGAAAAATATTCAAGCTTTTAACAGGATCACAGAATGGCTGACGTTGTCAGGACCTCTGGTGGTCATCTGATCCTACCTCCCTGCTCAAGCAGGGATCACTGTGCCAGCAGCTCAGGACCATTTCCAGATACTATTTACATTACTAAGCCTAACGTCAAAACCAGGAAGAATCTGACCTACATTAGTATAACTAAAACAATCTGATACCTAAATTTGAGTTGTCTTTTAGGGCTGCAAGGAAGAAATAGTGTCATTTTCTCTGAGTACCTCTGAAGTCACTGATTTTTCAAGGGTTTAATTTTACTTTGTGATGCATGCCTCAGATTAATAACTTACTTTCATTTCACTATTTAAAAGTGTGATTATGATCTTTCTGTACCTGTAGTAGCAAGATCTTCTACCTTGCTGAAAAGTAGCTTAATGGATTTTTGATGGTCTTAATAAACTGGTCAGAAGCCATGCTATATGGTTGCTAAGGCATTGAAGGATAATGTCAGATAATCAAAAACTAATCTCAAAGAGCCTATGGAGAATTGGCTACAGAACTAGGACAAGTGCTTGAAACACAGGTCCATCGGAGTAAAAAAAACATGAAGAGATATTACCATCCCCTCACAGTGATGAGAAGGAAAAAAGCAGGTAAATCTTCCACAGTTTCAAAAAACTTTGTACTACAAAATGTAATACATAGTGATTAACACCAAAAAACACCTCCCACTTTGCAACATATATCCCATTGCAGTAACTGTGCACACGGTACCATATCTGGTAGTCACATCAAGTTCCATTGCATGCAGCAAGAGATACCTGCACTTTTTTCAATTCTCTCCCACAATTTATTTCCCACTGTCTTTGGTTTTTAGGTCACTACTCCAGCCTCTTGTGCAAACAAAGTGAGATATTTGCACCTTTTAGAAGATAGTACATTACACTGTCCAGTATAAAATCTCCTTTATAATTATTTATAACATTGTCATCTTCAAGCATTTTACCTTAATTTCTTCAGGTCAGGTATCTGCCCTAGACTAAGTGCTTCCTGCAATCAGCCAAAATGTTTAAGCTATGTACCAATGTTAAGAAAAAATGTACTTATTTCTTGTTTATATTAAGGATTAGCATATTTGGAACCTACTCTGTAAGGAATATTTTATTTTTTTTTCCAGATAACCTTCATTAGCTTTCATAGATGTTAATATATATCTTGGTAATCAATTAAGGGAGATTTTTTTACTATAAATTCTTTTACAAGATATTTCCTGAAAGCATCTAAACTACATATACTAATGGAATCTAAGACTATATTACATTCAATTAATTATTTACAGTATCAACTTAGAAACTGCATAGATCAATCTTTTACTAAATATATGAATGTAGATAAAGCATGTTTTAAGGTCCTTTGAAAACACAGTATATTTTATTATACTAAATGCAGTAACTAGTATTTTGAGGAGTTCTACATAAGAACTACAAAATACTCGAGGTAGCAATTTTAGTGACTTGGCCAGCCACAATCATTTTCAGTGGAGTAAACCCTTTGGTGTTAAACTGCTTTCTTCTGATTTAACTCCACCAGTTTCACTGGTATTTACATGAGTAAAACTAAGAATGGCCTTTGGGATTTGTGAATCAAGCTTTCATGCAGGAAAGAATTAACCTAGTTTCCAAGGTAACAACAAATCAGACAGACTTGTGAGGCCGGAAGTGTCATTAATCACTTACATGTTCTGCAGCATCCCTCTAAGAATGGCACAATGTAGCCTCCAACCTGACCAAGAAAGAAATAAAGAGGAAAAAACTTGATTTTTTTCCAACATTCATGCCTGTATATCTGCACTACTAGAAATATCTTCCAGATAAAGCTCTGCAACTTTATTCAGACAAATGTTGCACGCAGATGAATGGATGAAAGCTTGGCTGTTAATGATCTAACTTGACTGTTTACCACAAGTGAGTATTAAGTGGCTTTTACTGGATGCCATTATACATCACCAGCTATCAAAATAGCTCCCACATTTGGAGAGTGAATGACTGTGCTAAGTCCAACTCCATCATTCTGACTTCTTGTAGAGGCCATATTGACAAGGCCAGGTTGGCCAAAGCCTTGGGTGACATGGTTTAGTGTGAGGTGTCCCTGCCCATGGCAGGGGGGTTGGAGCTAGATGATCTTAAGGTCCTTTCCAACCCTAACTATTCTATGATTCTATGACAATCACAAAAAAAAAAAAAAAAAAATCACAACCCCCCTGATTCTGAATTCAAAGTAGGAAGAAATCTCATCTAAATGAGAAGTCACCCACTCCCCATAGAGGAGATCCATCTCTGCCTTCAGTGCTGTAGCATGAAGCACTCCCCAAAGCACTGTGGGAAGAATAGCTTTTTCAAAAGCTCTCACAAGGGTACATTGAGGAAGAGTTCAATTTTTGATACCCACATCAAAAAGCCTTTCACCTGCTATATAACTGAGACTTTCTGAAGAACCAATACATTGTTATCTGCAAGGAAGAACTACACCCAGATAGTTTCTTTAGGACTGTTCTCTGCTTATGCACCATCATTCATTAAGAAAAGTATCCTCCCATTCACATCATGTAGAGTTAAAGAAAGTAATACGAGATGTGGCCTCTCCACATTTTCTGACATTTAGTCTAATCTCATTTTGCAAATTCAAACAGAGCTTTTGCTTCTGCTGCAAAACTAGTCCACAAAATTTTATGTCTGACTGTGGAAAATGTTTTCCTGATATTCAATTGTGACAAATCAAACTGCTATACACAGAAAATCAGTTAGAAAGGAAAAGTCCAAGCCAGAAAATCATCCAAGTTCAGACAGCTGTATGAGGATTATTTTGGCACTACAAGCCTCTATGAAAAAAAGTATTTTCTGAGGTTAAGAAGAAGTCTCACAGCTGTGTAACTTGGAAGTCTGGTGGCACACTACATGTGTATAGTTAGAGCCTCTCACCTCCAAATGTCTGGGCAAAAATGCAAGCATTGCAAGAATTCATAAATTCTCCCTTCTTCCAGTAAAAACATCTTTTGTCAGTGTTAATCTTTTCATGCAAACATAAATCATGCAAACAATGTATCAAACACTGACCTTCACACATTCAGTTTCATTGAAGGGGGGGCAGCCAACTGAAGAGGAAACCAGAACTGGCCCTATTTCTGTGTTAATGCATTCGTATCTGATGCAGTTTGAAATCCAAACAGTACCAGGCTGTTAAAAAATTGTAAAACAGAAACCTTACTCAGCAACTTAGCAAAAAAAGTATTGTGAGTATTTATAACACAATTCCATTGAATGTGATCTTGTCTGAATCAAAGGTAATAGTTATGGCAATATATAATTTAGAGTCATGTTAAAGTTCTGTTGAAGTACTCAACTTAAAAGTCCATTAAATACAAAATGTTAACAGATTCTAAAATAATCAAGTTGATGATAATTCTCTGCTATATCAAATCCCTTAATCTTCATAGACAAGTATATGATTGGCTCTCCAAGAAATTAATGTTGTGCACATGCAAAACTATTCCTAGTATTTCACCTAATGAATCTCTTCTTTGCACATTTTATACGGCCACGTATGTACAGTATCACATACTTTTTTCTTACTTCTAAATATTTTGAGGGAGTAAGACGTATAGACTTACCTTAAAACTGGAAACTGTGCCATTATTGAAAGTGTGGAGACAAGACAAGTTCTTACAGCTACCACAGCAAGTTGATAAATCTTTTGGAGGCTGATAGACTTGGTTCTGCCAAAATCAAATAGGTTATTCCTTGTATGAGACTGTCTTGCAGCTTAACGTTTATTACTGCAATAGGCAAATTTACTATTTATTTTTTTATCTGATTTTAGGGATGTTTTTTAAATAACTTTCAAAATCACATAGTTTACATTTGTACACACTACATTCATGAAACCTTTATAAAATACCTTTGATGTTAATTGAAGCAAATGGGGAAAAGTCCCAACTCTGAGAGAATGAACTGGCCTTACTACCATTTTCAAATGCAAGACTACAGCCTCAAGAACCACTGAAATTTTTACTTTCTACACATTAGAAATCAAGTAAGTACATAGCTAGACAGTCATCTATATAATATATTCCCATGGCAATCATACTTTGTAAAAAGACAACCTATCATTTTTTATTTTATAAAGCTGATTTCACCACATTTAGAATTCTTGTTTTATTTATAATTATTCTCTTCCTAATTCTGATTATGCTAATGTCTGCCATTAGTTTGTACCAGTTTGTGAATACAGCTGAAGTAATGTAAGGATGCAGTTGGGCAGTGTACTGTGTACTTTAGTTTCTATAAGATTTACATGGGGTAGGGGGAAAGTGAAGGGAGTGAGACTTTTATAAACTTCCATCAGAAATGCAGTAGCATACAGGTAGATCTCACAATTACTCTTTCCATCTTGTTCCTATGAATGTAGCTACTCAACAAACACAAATGAAATTTAAGACCACCTGTCACAATATACATATCTACAATTCTGAATTTCTTACAGCTTTGCACTTGACAGCACAATCTATTGAAGACTGGTTTATTCGGTAGTATTTGGTAGAGGGATCAATCATATTAGTACAATGATAAATATGGCAAATGCCATCTGTGCCATGCTCCATGATTGTCTGTCCAGGAAGCAGCACACCTCTCTCATTACTCAGGCAAACTTTGTCTCTCACTACAAAAAAACACAAAAATAAGCAGAGCGCTCAGGACAGTCAATTTGGTATCAAAACTCCGTTAAAAAATGTTTTAAACAGCAAAACAGGAATACAAAAATGCTACCCTACCTCTTTAACAATTATGGGTCAGGTTTGCACATATAAATGTTTAATAGCAGTCTAATGCTTCACTACAATTACCAAATTACTTCAAACATAACCATGCATGTAATCTAAATAAATACGTAATACTGTATTAGCTGAACCACCATAGTGACAGTGCATGCTTCTTCAACTGATTTGTTTTGTAAGTCTGCTTATGATAAGAAATGTATTTAAGAAATACCTGTTTCTCCCCAGTGATTACTGAGAGCACAGAGGATAATCAGCTCAAAAGTATACATCTTTGCTGTAGAAATCTAGACACGGACAATCCCAACTCTGTTGGCCAACTGGGTCCGCCACAGGAATTATTCTTTCCTGAGTTTTCACAGATCTTATTAGGCATATTTTAAGATGAATTTGTATGGTGTTGAACACTATTCTTGATCTTGTAAAGCACTTAACCATGCCACCAGCTCCTGAGAAATCCCATAATCATAGAATCATAGAATAGTTAGAGTTGGAAAGGACCTTAAGATCATCGAGTTCCAACCCCCCTGCCATGGGCAGGGACACCTCACTCTAAACCATATTACTCAAGGCCTCATCCAACCTGGCCTTGAACACTGCCACGGATGAAGCATTCACAGCCTCCCTGGACAACCTATTCCAGTGCCTCACCACCCTAACAAGAAAGAATTTCCTCCTTGTATCCAATCTAAACTTCCCCTGTTTAAGTTTTAACCCATTACCCCTTGTCCTACCACTACAGTCCCTAATGAATAATGGGGACATACACTCGACACTGAGTGCATGTTTTAGTTTCTTGCTGGAGTCCTTACTTCAGCTGAGCAAAACGAAGGCTGCTCGGTCAACACCAATTTGCCCAAAATGCTGCTATTTCCCTGCACAGACCTCCTGCTGCAGGAACTGATAGAATACAAGTACAGGCCATAATCAATCAAGTATTTAGCCGAAGCTCTCATTTTCTTGCCTTTTCCTACACTATTTCTTAACTATGTCAGTCAACCCTTTTCTCCTCTGTACATGCTCAAAGTGAACATCTGATTTATAATGACTAATATACCTTAGTACTTGAAAGGTTATTTATTTGAATTAAATAATTTTCTGACTTACCGCATTTATATTTAACACAGTTACAGATATTTTCTGTACTGTTCTGAAACTGATCATCTCTCTGAAGTTTCTGCCCCTAAGTGTATAAAAGAAGAAGAAAAAAAAAAAAGATAAGTGAAACAACTGTGTTGTCTTATCTGTATGATCTTTTTCTTTAAAACACCTTTGAGTCAGGATTTGAATAGCACTGTCTCTTGCCCCTAGAAATCTATTTTGAATCCATTTTCATCAGCCACAGGGACACTTAATTAGGCAATGACAACCAAATGGGAATTCATTTTTTTTTTACACCTGACAAAGAGGAATTTTTATTGGTGCCAGTACAGCAGACATTTAGGACAGAAAAGACTATGGGAGGCCTAAAAATAAATGGCTTGCTTTTGTACAGACATATCCCTGAAATGTATTCCTTCATGTAATATCTTGATGGAAATAGTATTACAATAGCACAAATGTACTTTTATTTTCCTTTTATTATTTATATGTATGCATATTAAAATTTTTCTCCTAATTTTCTGCAAGTCCTGATTCCTTATGCCCATCTATGAAATGAAAGTAATAACAACAACCTTGCTTACAAAATATTTTGAATTTCTTCTATAAAAAGAAATACTATTTCCAGTTCCTTCCTAGGACTCCAAATCGTAATTTTTATTAATTATTCTCATTTAAATATTATTTTCTCCATAAAGTAATGACAAGCAAAAAGTATACCCAGTACTGACCAAGAACTTAACCCAGCAATGATAATAAGCACTTTTGCAATGCAGAACAAGTCACAATGAAACACAGTTTCTGCTTTGTCAGTGGTCTAAGTGCATGATCTATCTTAACATACTCTCTATAACAAATAATATTAACAAAATACTGATGCTTTAAATGCACTTACTGCTGACCCTTTAAAAAAAAAGTTTCACCCTCTGCAGCACAAAAGCAGTTTCATCCTACAAATACTTCAGGGCAGGATATAGTCATAAAAATCTCCAGAAATATCAATGCTATACTGCCATTTTATTCTGCAAGATATTTAAACTTAACTAGCTTCTTAAAAATGGATTTATCTTCTTGTAAAGCAATAAAAAGTAGAATGACATGGCATTTCATATTTCACTGATAAAACTATTAGTAAGATGCTGAGAAAGATTTATTAAGAAATTAAGTAAAAAATACTGACAAAGATTAATTCCATACCAGTTTGCACTGAGGTTTGGGGATTGTTTCACATGCACATTCTAAAACAAAATACAATAACAGAAACAACAGTTTAGAAAGTTATATGCTATTTCCTTAAAACAGAACATCAAAGAGAGTAGAAAAATCCAGATTTACAAGTCATCACAGAAGAAATTCTGCTGGTTTTTGAAATAAACCCATCTGGGGAATTCAGAATTACATTTGATTTCTGTTCCATCCTGAAAAATAATACGAGCTTCTATGACCACCTTTACTTATTACAACAATTTACAACACTGTATAAATTGCAATCCACCTGAACGCATTAAAAAAACCATGATCATTCTAGTTGCTAGTCTCCTTGCAGTGACAGTTGTTACAATCAATATAAAGCAATGGAGAATTGTGTTTAAGGCATCACAGAGATGTATGATACATTACAGTCTTTCTAAATTGACAAATTCCTGACCTGTGAGCCTTAGGTGTTTTTGTTGGTTTGTTTTGTGGGGGTTTTTTTTTGGTCTGTTTTTTTGTTTGTTTTTTTTTTATTGGCTTGGGGGGGGGGGGGGGGATGGGGAGGTTAGCCATAAATAATTAACTAATTGTGATGGGATAGAAAATAAAACTAGAGGCTTGTGGGTTGAGGTAAGGACAGGGAGAAATCACTCACAAATTACTGTCACTGTTTATTACCAATCAAATTAGAGTAGGAAAATAATTAACAAAACCAAATCTTAAAACACCTACCCCTACCCCTCCCTTTTTTCAGACTTCTGATTTTCTCTACCTCCTCCCCACAGTGGGAAAGGGAATAGGGGTTGTGGTCAGTTCTTCACATTAGCTCTGCCAATCCTTCCTCCTCAGGGGAAGACTCCTTACTCCTCCCCTGCTCCAGTGTGGGCACCCTCCCTTAGGAGGCAAGTATCCATGAAATTCTCTAATGTGAATCTTTCTACAGGCTGCAGTTCTTCACGAACTGCTCCAGTGCAGGTCCTTTCCATGGTGTGCAGTCCTTCAGGGCAGACTGCTCCAGTGTGGGTCCCCCTCCCATGGTCACAAGTCCTGCCAGGCTCCAGGGCTTCCCACAGGGTCACAGCCTCCCTTTGGGCATCCTGATCTGGTGTAGGGTCCTCCATGGTCTGCAGGTGGATACCTGCTCCACCATGGACCTCCATAGGCTGCAGGGCACAGCCTGCCTCACCATGGTCTGCACCAAGGGCTGCAGGGGAATTTCTGATCCAGGCCCTGTAGCACCTCCTCACCTCCTGCACCAACATGGGTGTCTCCAGAGTTCTTTCATGTATTCTCACTCCTCTTTTTGGCTGCAACTGCTGTCATGCTAACATTTTTTCCCCTTCTTAAACACATTATTCCAGAGGTGCTACAGTGTCACTGATGGGCTCAACCTTGGTCAGCAGTGGCTCCATCTTTGAGTGTCCGGCATTGGCTCTAACTGACATGGGGAAAGCTTCCACCACCTTCTCACAGAAGCCACTCCTGTAACTTCTCTGCTACCAAAACCTTGCCATGCAACCCTAATACACTAACTCTTACAAAATTTTCAAAATGATAAATGACCCAGTTAGAACAGGCAAATCCTACAGTATACTATCACCTACGTGAAGCAAGAAAAAAACAAAACAGGCAGATTAGGAAGTTCTGTACTGTGAGATGACTTTTCCATATAATTTATTCATGAACAGATCACAATGGTATAGTTGCCTGAAACAAGACTTAAACCCAAGAGTCCAAAGCTCTTGTCAGTGACTTATTGTCTAATTAACTATAATGAAAATCAATCACTTTACCACATGTCCGAAAGGGGCAGCATTTCTCTGGGCTCCATACCTCCACCAAAGACATGCCTAGCATACATTTGAATTCAGGACAACGATGTGTTTCACAAACTAAAAGTAAGGAAAAGAAAGTCCAATAAACACAAGTTTGTCATATTTTGACAAAGGGAAATATGAATCAAGAGATAGCAAATTACTTATTCATAATAAATACTTTTAGAAAATATCTTAACTGAAAAGACAATAATCTAAATGCAAACATTAGCCATAATAGTAACGTGAAGTACAACCACTCTAGGCAATACTTAAAGCAATTATAAATCTCCATAATTTGTGGCCTGAAAGTATTCATTTTTGTTTATGATACAGATATTGAGTGAATGCTTTAGGCACATGATAAAGATATTACCTTTAAAGATATTACCTGTAAAATCTTTCAAGACTACAGATGATAGCATGCTTATATGCACAAGTGGAACTATCTCTCTGAGCCACCATTTTTAGCCCGAACATCCAAACTACAAAATTTGACATGTTCTCTATTACTTAAAATATCAAAATTAAGTCAAACTTACTACAGTGGTATGTAGGGCAACATCGCTCTGTAGCGTTGCCATCCACAATAAGAACTTCTCCTTCTTGACATTTGGGTATTTGATCAGAGCAAGCCCCACATGCTGGAAAAAAACAAGTATTTAAAAACACAGGAAGAAATTTTACCACTTCCTAGGAAGCATGCCCATAATTTTGTCGCAGACATATATGAAAGAGAACAGAGATGCTCTGCATTCATTCCTTATAGCCCTAAACAAGAGGCTAGTTTTAGTACAGCTTCCCTTTTCTTTGTTTCCTACTATAAAGAATGAAGATACTATTTGTGAGATGGATCACAACAAACAGGGCTTTCTTTGCCTTTCTGTTATGAAAAATTTTGCTAGATTTTCTCTCCTACCAAGTCATACTGTTGGTTTCAGGAATGTACTTCTGCTCGAATCATAGGATCTTTGATTCCCAGTAGGAGGCATCTTCTGTGATTCCTGTGTTAATCTCCTACCTGAACACATATGAAAACCACAACAGGTACTTTCTGATACGCGCAGTGCAAAGACTCATTTTATCAAAAAAGGGACAGAAGGATGTTATGCACACCACAAAGAGCCAAACACAGTACATCACTGCCACATGATCAAAGTAACCCCCTGATCATTGTAAATAGCAGAAGTGTAACTCAAGTTTTCTATTACTGCTCATGCTCAAATTTTAGCACATGGAAGAGCTAATTAAGATGAGTCAGCCTTCAATTCACAGATATCTATGGGCAAAAAGACAAAACCAGAGTAAATTCAATAGGACCTCATTATAACATTATTATCAGAAACCCCATATGGTAACATGAGAACTACACTGATGCTAAAAGTGCAATTTTATTATCTAACCCAGTCTTAGGCCAAACCACAAAGGAACTGAACAAATTTGTATAATAGTCTCTTATGGGATATTTACCATTGAGTAAGATGGGCCACAGCTGATACAACAGGATATAGGAAGCAAGAGCATATACAACTTCAGCCTTTTTTCAGATAAAATGTCCGTGCACTGTACATGGACAGTCTCTCAAAAGCCCTCAACTACCTCATCCATGGACTCCACCACCACTCGAGACCCAACTACTGAGTTGCACAAAGCTGTCTTTTGACTCTTGGTGATTGTTGCCATTTCTTATGTTTTATAAAATTAATGTCCTTTTTTTTTTAACCACTTTCAAGCCTTACTATGCTGGGAGAGCTAAAGAAAGTATAAGGAGCCTTAATTAACAAGATACTAGTAGACATCATTGCATACGCAAAAACACTTATAGTCTCAAACAGCCAGGATACTGTACCACATATATAGGAAATGCAGCAGGTACTCTCCACCCGAGCAGCAATTAACATTTGGTCGTCTCGACAGCTTGGCATCTGCTCCACTGGTCCACATTTTGCTGGATCGCATTCTGAAAAACGGTACAAAAGATGTATTTCTGTATAGCAAATATGGCATTCCTCCTTTGCTATGCTATACCCTTAACAAATGGCAGTGCAGAGCAGAGATACGACAAAGAAGTTTTCAAAAAAAGTTTATCTTGTATTGCAAGAGAGCAAAGACATTCTTGCCTGACCAATATGCACATCATTCATCTGCTTCATCATTCTATCTGCTCAAATAGAGGCACAGACCAACCCTGAGCTTTTAAATGAAAGAGAATTTGATAAATGGCCATATAAACAATGAGTCTACACTAACTACCTTTTTACTTCGAAGTTGAACTGTTTAGTTTACTGAGTATCTTTTACAGGATGAATTTTCTCATCTTTTGAAAAGAAACCTACCACAAACATAGTTCGGACAACAGGATTCTTCACTGTAGTAAGTGACCAGCTTTTCCAAGCCGTTACACTCAGGGATTAAGGGCTCACAGAGGCTCTGATTACAAACTGTTATGAAAAGGGAAAGAAAAAACAAGAAACCTTCTAAATTATCTTATGATTTTATAAGTTGAGTAGAGCAATGGCAAGCAGTATTTGCAGTTTGATAACCCAAATCTCCAAATAACAACATGCATATGAAAACCACAAGAATCCAGCAAAAAACCCTGAGCCAGTATTCATAAGTGTCTAGCACTGCAACACTCTCCATGGAGGCAAAGTTAAACTAGAGCTGAGTCCCTGTGGGAATGTAAAATAAAATATAATAAAATAAAATATTAAAGTATAACATATAAAATATCCCATGGAAAAGTCACTGCAACATCATCCCAGATGGTCAAAACATAAAAACTGCTTGCAATTTTTTTATAAAGATGGACTTTCTAATCTAAATAAGGATTAAAAAAAAAAGGTTTTATATCTTTTTTTACTGCTCACTTTGCAAATTAGATAAACAATCACCTGATCCTTTTTTTCTTGGAATTAGGTGTATCATTTATTGGTATTTGAACATTAAAAATAAATCAGTAGCCTGTACAGCTGAAACACAATTCATATCCAGACAAACACAGTGCTATTTCAGTCTTTACAAATCTTGTCCCCTCCCTTTACCATTCTCCCAAAACCTTGCTATTGAGGATACTGAGCCAAATAATACTAAGTTTTTACAGTTTTCTACATAATCTGTAAATTCAAATCCAAGTTTTTCATTCACTTCAAAAGTAGGATGTGTAACAAGAAAACAAACTTCAGAGAAAGGATGTCTGCAAATTCCATCAGGCAGCATTCGCAATTATTGAGGCATACTTACTACAGATCTGCTGAGGACAACATGTCTCATTGCTAGGAACAAGCAAGGCCACTTCTGCAAATCGCTGACAGTGTAAGTTGTGGATATCTGAACAGTCGTACTCCATTGGAACAATGGTGTCACTGTCAACACATTTTTGCATACAGCATCCGCTCAAAGAAGTTTTCCAGATCTCACCTACTGCATGAGGTGCTCCTGAGCTATCTGTACAAGCTAGATCAAGACAACAGAAAATGGAAGTAATTTCTTTTTACTTTAAATTTTGACCACCATTTTCTTCCACAGTGGGTGTGGATCTATGAAGTATAAAAGTCTCAGAGTGTTAAAGGCATCACCTATCCCCATCATCCCACAAAAAAAGTGAAAGAGGAGACAATCTGAGTCTAAGTTTGTTTATGAAAGCAAGACACTCAATATCCCCCAGAGGATCAAGGCCTCCACTTTGCTTTGTGTTGCCCCTGCAAGGCTAGTCACTTAAAATCCCTATCCAGTCCTTTTTGTTTTTAAACCAGTGATCTGAAAATGTTACTTTTTTATTTCACACACATCAAAACTATTATTAATTTACAGAGCTTTATGCAATCTGATTCATAATAAACTGCATCTTTAAAGTTTATGTACTTAGTGTTAAGTATTGGTCCAATTGGTCCATAATTAGATATGTTCAGGCAGAATTGTAATGAAAATACATATCAATGCTCCAGAAAGAACAGAGGGCATATACATGTATTATTCAAAATCTGTAATTAACTCTTGCCACGTGTCTTTTGAATGTCATTTACTTTTTACAGGTTGGACCCTTGGCAAAGGGCTAAGAGAAAAGTCAAACTAACATAAGCAGAATGCTAGGAATGCATAAACATAAGCAAAAAGCTTTGATTTTAAAAAGCGTCCTCTAGCTGAGAGAAGGTGAGCAAAATTCTGTCTCATAAGGACATTCCTTGATTGTCCATGTGTACAGTTTAAGTTTACTGACTACCTAAAGTCCTCAACTGAATAACATATGCAGAACCCATACAACATCAGGCCAGAACTCAACTTATTAATAATCAAGTATCTGACCACCAACTTGCAGATAATAAAGAAGAAAATCACATCCACATATACCACATTTTTCTTCAGGAATACAGACAGCAGTGTGAGATCGGTGAAGGATGGTCCCTCCAGCACAGACGCAGCCTTCTGTCAACAGTGAGCAGGAGTCTGAGTCCAGAGAAACAACCTCGTTATTCTGACAACTATCTGGAACTTCACAAGCAGCTATACATGCCCGATAGGAGAAGTTTTCAGAGCAGGGGAACGCTAGGAAGGAAATAAACAAATCACTCATTCTGAAATTGTAATCACACGAGGCAATACCTAAGAGAAGATACTGTTGTATTCTTGTCAGTTTCCTGTCCTTGCCAATTCACTTGGATCTACCAGCCTAAAACATCGATGCAGAGCAGTTAACTTCTACATGACAAATTAAAACAAACAGAACTTGCATGGGCTTTTACTCCTCTTCTTGTAACAACATTTTCATTAGGCTTCAGTTTGCGTTTTGGCAGTAGAGATATCAAATCATGCAACAGTGTTGATGTAAAGTAATTTAAACTTCAAAAACATTTGTAAGTTAGACTACATGGGTTAATAATGCAGTGTTCTGAATCATTCTGAATACTTTGCAGTGGCTAAAGAAAATGAAGTAATTAGTAAAGGGGAAAGGTTTGCTAATTACAAAAACATATATGTAAAAGAGGACTTAGCAGTTTTTACCACGAAATAATAAAGAAAGGGATCAATTATTTACTATGTTTAATAGACATCCACATTAATTAATCTCTTCTGTGTTATTTTCAAACCAAAGAACACAGTTAAATTTTTCATTCTTTACTAATGTAAATTCATTGGCATGTTATGAGCACATACACAAATAAAAAAAAAAATCTCATTTTGATTTAGCTTTTGTTGTTGAAAACTTAACATGATTTTTCATTGGTTCAAAACTGTAATTAAAGCTGCATAAATATGGCAGAGAATGATCACAAATGCCAATGGTGTGGTTGTGTGGAAGACCAAAATATATTATACTCATCATTTAATGATGCTTAAATTATACAGCAGTATCATCTGGGATCATGGTAATGACAAAAATCCAGTTCACAACAGGTCTGTCTGCTCAAAAATAAAGAAGGTTCCAGTTTAGACTTCAAAGATTAATTGGGAGAGGAGGCTGATTTTATCCAGCTCTTCACTACTAAAAATGGCCATAATACTCTACAGAAAATGTATTACAGCCCTCTAAATACAGGAACTCGGACTTTTAAAAATCATTGTATATCAAGTCAACATTTAATGACCACAAAATCCACGCGGCTGCATGGCTCTTCCTTACTGGGCACGCACCACCAGAGGTCACTGTGGTACAAGAGTGATGTGTCCCTTCACAACGAATGGAATAGATAACTATGTTTACAGGTATATTTTGTAATATTTCTTTTTAAAGTTATTTTCTAATAAAATCCATACAAACTGAAGATTTTTTTTTAATTTACTGTTTTTAAGCTTTAGACTCCGTAACTATTCGCAGGACATTACAATATGCCTGCACACTGTCTGCACATGCATACACACCTTACATCACTTTAAAATAGACATCACTTACGATTTATATGCACAGTGAGTTCTCTTAGTTTTGGGGACCACATTTCATCAATAAGTCTTTCCCTTTTCAAGCACAGACATCCCTATGTCATCACTGTATAGGGCTTTTCCTCAGTGATCATTGACACCATAAAGCGATGCTGTAATCCACGTTTTCTATTCACTAACAACTACAAATCACATTTGGCCTTACATTTTAGTATGCTGCTATGGGGGGTGACTTCCACCAGGATACTTTAGCTCTCAGATTTTACTCCTTACCTTGCATCTGATATCAAAGGTGTTTAATTTCTCTAATGCTTTTGCCAAAGGCACAGCTTTCTGCAGCAGCAGCAAGCAGATATCACCAATTCAAAGCACCACAGAACTTGCTTTCTGTGGCTTCCTCCTTTCCACAAACAGTTCTGGGTTTTTAGGTTTTATCAGTGGAAAATGGCTAATAGAAATGAACACTACATTGCAAGTGAGAAGATTTGGCTTCTACAGTTAAGTACAAAATAAGCCAGAGGTAGGCTTCTGAGCAAGGTTACTTTTTCCATTTATGAAATGGCTATAATGATCCTGATACCTTTTGCACACTGCCTTCAACTGTATCGTAAGAAAAATCTCTGAATTTATCATCTCAATCATGACTTCCAAAGTACATGAGGACTCAAGGAGTACTGGTATTTTCAATTTACAGTAACTTTATATAAGGCAAATTTTGTCTCTGAACACTAGAGGTACACATACATGCAGAATACTTACGACAGTAATCAGAGCTCCTCCATTCTATACAAATATTAAATTTGTTGCACATTGCCACATAGGCAGCTAGAGAAATGCATGGATTTCGAATGTACTCAGTGTCTTGAACCCATATATCACAGAATAGCTCAGGTGGAACCTAACAAAGAAAAAATAAAAAATATTGCACCTTCATTGAGACCCTGCTAGGTAGGTGAAAGATTGACCTTTTAAAATATCAGCTACAAAAAATGAAGCCAAAAGTTCTTGGTTCATAATAAGTGAGAGGTCATCAGGCTTCACTGGTATACAAAGAGCACCTACTAGTATTTAAGGCTTCCCAAATGGTGACTTCCTTATACTCTGCAGTTTCATTTCTTAGAACTGCCAAAGCAAGAGCTAATAGTTTTCCCAACAGAAGGCATGATTACTCATAGCTCCTTGTTCTTCCTTACCTCTGCATTTGTCTATTTTTGGCCTCCTCTTCATCAAACTCAACAATATACTAAAGGTGAAATGGTAAATGTACGCATATGATCACAAATGAATACTTTATTTGCACACTGCAAGTTTGTTATTTCCTTTAGGTTTGCTTTAAATGGTCTGTTCTACCCTCTCATCTCTCTAAGCTGGAACTCCCTGTCTCTAGAGCCCTTGAGAATGCAGGCTCTCAAATTACCTATTGCAACTTGGAACTACTTAAATTACAGAAATCTTAAGGATGAATGAAATCCTAAAAGTATTTTATTTTACTTTGCTCTACATTATATTGATACAAATGAATTATCTGGGACTAATTTATAAAATAGATGGTATTGTCAAAATTATCAGATATATAAATGTATTCTGAAAGTGTGAGTTGCATATTGTAAATCTCCCACAAAGCTACCACTGTCTTCAGTATCTTTTACCTTGCAACTGTAGATACAAAAAAGTATATATTTCATTCCATAAATGTGGTTGCATGTAGTTTCACATTAATGAAATTATAAAGTATACAAAAATGTCAGAACTGCATCTCTCTTGAAGTGTAAGCTTCCGAAATAGTTAACATACATAAGGATGACAGCTGCTGAAGGTCTGGTTCAACACCATTCTTAAGCACTCTGAGCAGTCCATGACTGAGCAATTAGTTTCCTGATGCCTGTCTTCTCCGACATACTTTAATGTGTCTGGCACTTGCCAGCTGTCTATAAAAGTCGTTGGAGCACCACTTTTGCTTAAAACTGTCCTGTTGGGTAGCATCAGATCATTTTCCAAGCTTCTATCACAAACCCCTGTGTATGATCAGAATGAAAAAACAGGTTAACACTGAACGATTCATTCTGAAGTATGTTTGAAGTGGCATATTCAAACAAATAAATAGCTTATAAAAAACTTTTATAACATGACATTATCACAAGCCACAACAAATGTAGAAAGTTCTTCAGAGGATCACAAAATGCACAAAATTCAGACAAGTTAAGCAAAGCAAAAGTAAAGATGCATCTATAAATGGAAATACATTCCATATCAAAAAGCTGTTCAGATAGACCAGCTATGGCACACAAACATCACCTCTCAGTTGCACAAGCACTAGATAAAAATGTAGTTTTAAAAATGTCACAAAGCACCTTCATGTAACTGTAAATGTTATCAGAAAAGAAAACTCCCATAAAAATGCCAAGATACTCATCTGATACTGCAGAAATCTTGTATTATTCTACTTATGCTTCTGAGCAGTCTTAAGCATCTATTGGCTTAAATGCTACTATAAAAGTGCATCTTTTGTCATTTCCAGGTATATTATCCAGGTATATTATCCAGGTGTATTATTATCCAGGTATATTATCACTCAGCAGGGGAAAAAAAACCCAACCTTTTCTGTATTCAATTCTGAGAAGGCAGCATACTATTTTGTTGCTGTTTAAACTAGGGTAGTTGGCAGCACTTTGGAACAAAGGAAGCAATGTAACATATGGAAAGTGACTTTTGTCAACACAGAGTATCCATGTATTACAGTAGTCTCCTCTGGAAGTCCTGTAGGAGTCAGCAGGTATAAAAATGCAGTCACTGATTCTTCCTTCCTAATTACTATTTCTGAGACTTCAGAATGTTTTCTTCTGATACCTCCACAAACTTGAATGGCAATTCTAAATTTTTATCTGTTCAAAACCTAGTTTTGGTTTTAATCCTTTTCTAGAGAAGTGGTCTGGTTACCATTTTCAAATTTCTTGATCACAAGAACAAGCCATTGACAATCAGTGATACAGCAATAGGCATTCAGAGAGTAAAACATCTTTTGAAAGTGTAACCATTATTCTATTAGAAATATTTCTGGGTGAATTTTCTGAGGTTGTGAGTCTATGCAATGCAAATGGGAAGATCTTGATGGTTCTGAGAGACTTCAAAGGATTGCTGCCTCGCTTGGGATAGCTTTTTCCCTTCTCTTTGACAATGAGATTTAGCACAGCAAAACTAAGGCTTCACTTTTGGCTTAGTAGGACATCATTGCAGCTCTAATTGACATGCTTGAGCTCTCTTTCACCAGTTTTGCTATGGAGATGTCCATGTTACCTTTCCACATCCCTGATCTCCCACACCAGCTCTTCACCAGTTGCCATGTTTTCCCAAATTTCCATTGTAAAAGATACTGTTGTCTTTGACACAGACCATTCAAAGGGATGTTTTTGCAATAGAATGGTAATGATGTCTTCAGTTTTATCATTTCCATGAAGTTTAGGAAACAGGATCTACCAATACTGCAGTTCAGTTAAAAGACATCTAAGAAAACTCAAATAAAAGATGCAGAGTAACACAGACAGCACAGGAGAGGGGGGTAGACTAATTTACCCTGAAAAGATGTAGTACAACCAGCTCTTTAAAGCTGGCTCCAGACATCCCTGTACAGAGACTTATGCAGAGAATCCCAATCTGTGATAAATACCAGAATAACACAGCACATTCTCTGAAGAAGTTGTACTTGGGACACCAGCCACAGAAATGTGTTATCCTCTAGCTAAAGCACCTTGTAAACCAGGAATGTAATGTTCCCAGTTCTTGCTATCACAGTAATCAAACAGGTAAAGGCAAAAGAAATTTTTGCAATAACTTGAATCAGCCTTACTATAAAATACTGTTCTTAATAATAAGAAGTAGCCAAAAAGAGCAAGAATGATTTTGAAAGTAAAAGTTAAGGCAAATTATAGTTAATAATCTAATTTCAAAATCACAGTAAATTCAAACTCTCTTCCTTTGTGAGAATCACATTACTGTCTGCAGGACTTGGAACTGGACTGAGCTATCACTGGTATTTGATACTGAGCTACAGGCATTTGCCCTTTCTGAAACTGGAAAGATATCCACTGTAATTATATGAACTCTGCAACCCTGGTTTCCAGCTTCAATTTACAGCAGATAAATTTACAGATTCAGATGTCACAGTAGGGATTTACATCAACAAGTATATACTTGTAAAAACCATAGCACCAGCAACTTATTCAAGGGTGTGTTTTTTTTAGAAAAAAAAGAAACTAGGTAAAACTACTGAGCACTCCTAACAGAATCAAAATGAGGGTATTTAACCCATTAATATTAAGAAATTAGTTCTGAACTATTTCCTTCAACAGATAAACTAAGATTGGTTCTCTCAAGTTAACATTTCCTGTGAGTTCTGACCTTTAGAAACTGAAAATAGCACATACCGCTTTCTATCGGGTGGATATCAAACACTAAATCTGCAAATTACCATATTTGACATTATGGACTTACGCCTGTCTTACTTATTTGGGCTTGGTTACAGCAATCATGCCTATGATCCAAACAGATTACAGACAGAAACAACACTATGGGTTGATTACATGGATAGGTATCAAACATGATTTCAGCAATTAACAAAAGTAATAATAGTTTAATTTTAACAATATTATAATCTTTAATAACTCTTTTTTGGCCCAGATCATGCAAAAGATAGTTTATATAATTAGGAATGTGCCTCCTTAGCAAAGTGTGTGAATACCTTTATTTCTTGCACTACTCTATACTTACCACATAGTCCCAAAGCTCTTGGTTCCCTGGTACTATTAAACTCAATAATCATCACGCCTGTGTTGTGAAACCACTGAATTCTGATTTTTGTCGGGGTTTCAACTGCATACTTGAAGCCCGAATCCTCCACTTTGTATCCATATTGTCTAACAGTAGGCCAAGCAAGTCTTGAATTTACTGTAATCTAAAATAAACACCAAAAAGAGGTTACCAAGTGCTGTAGGTAGAATAACTAAGGCCAGATTCTCAACAGTTTAGGAATCTAACTCATAACTAATTTCAGCAACAGTCAGGCTCACCTTCTCAAAAATAATATAGGTACTAAAGAGACTAACAGTTTGTGTGCTTCACTCTGACTTACCTCATTAACTGTCTGTATCACAGTTTGACTCTTTGAATTTTTTCTGTATCACAGTTTGACTCTTTGAATTTACTTTCAGTTTATTAAATTACAAAGTTGGAACCATGAATTATATGATCTGCTGTATCGTATTCTAATTTTTGGTATACAAATAAAGCCATAGTTGATTACAGAAGTTGCTATCTAAAAGGCAAAGAAAAACAAACCCTCAGAATACTTACTTTTCTACTTAAACGATTGATAATAATTTGGTTTGATACATAGGTTAGATTCAACATTGCCAAGCACAAAGAAGTTGAATTTGAATTTCTCTGTGGAGAAAGCAAAAATACATAAACCGTAGTCACAGTGTGCAAAATTTGTATACATTAGTTGCTTATTGGTTTTAGGTATTGGGACAATAAAAGGTTTTAGGGGGTATAGTTTTAAGAGGAGAAAACTGCTGCTGATTGCAGTTTCAAGTCTGAATTACAAAGTTCAGATAGATAGCAATATTGGAAAATAAACAAAACAGTATGATCTCATTGTGTTCAGCAACTGTGTTGTATCACCTGATTTTGTAATTACAACAGAAATAAAGATTTTCAGGCAAAAAAAAATACAGCGGGCTAGCTACTTAGATACCAAAAACATGAACGTGTCTGAAGGTGAGCAAGACTGACACTGGGAATAATGATACTATATATGTACAGAAGTAATGGAACAGAAATACATGCATACTTCCTGATCTACAAGGCACTGAACAAAACAGAAAGATCTGAATCCAACAGGAAAACAAATCTGAAAGCCAGATGTCCTTACTGATATCAGTCATACTGAGCTTCTGGAATTAATTCCCATAAGGTATGACCTCAGACCAAACTTTGCAAAGGACATTTATATAGACATCAAGATTACCTAGTTTTTATATAAGAAAGTGGAGTTTAAAGAGTTTTGTAAAGGCTCACAAGAAATTAACTCTTCACGACATAAAGCCAATTACACTACCCGTTAGCAGGATACTCATTAGGGTTTATCTCTTCTTTGAAACTACAAGTATTTACCCCCGTGAGAGACTTTGAATGCATAGGGTGGTCTAATTTAGTCTGACAATCCCACAGTCTTTTATGGCTCTGAAGATTGGTGTTTCCAGTGCAAATTTCTCCATATGAACATAGATAGAAACCATGCATTTGTACGATAACATGGTCCTACTTCTCACCTTCCAGATGTTTCAGATGGAGCTGTGCATATACAGTCAGGTTAAGTGCTACGCAATTCGTAAGTGTTGTAAAGTGCAAGTACAATTAATAGATGTTACACAAAAGTGAGAATTAACCACATCTATGTAGTATTAATATGCCTTTTCTTTTAAAATGTGTCTTATTAGCAGCATTTAACATCATCTGTTAGCTAATATGTTAATTACCAGTCTGCAGTCAAGGACATGGATGGTTATAGTTTCATCTCGAGTTTGACTAACGATGTAGGACGCTTCTTTGAATAATGCCAAATGATTTCCATCATAGGTTACAATGCTCAGATCAGAGAATATTGTGCAACGACCTAAGAAAAATAAAAATAAATGTTTTCTTTCTAACATTTTAAAATTTAAGTAAATATTACAAAATATGAAGATAAGCCAATAATACTTGTAAGACTAACTAGCTTGCTTACTATGTGTTAAAATTAAGCTCCATATATGCAGCACATTTTCAGCTATATTTGAAACTGTTGCGTCTCTGTAAATGGAGACCAGAGTCAAATAATGCATATTTCGGAGGCAAACCTGCACACCTCTGCAATCAGTAACTTTCTTACAGTTCTTGCCAGCAAAGGACTGTAATTTTTACAAACCCCAAACTAGCAAAACGCGAATAACAGTGGATTATAACAGATCATTAGTGCTCTAATAGTCTTGCTCCTTAGATGGGATCTCATGTGCAAAGTTTCTTCTTCAGAGTCTTAGTGCTAAAGCTTTTTCATTTTCAAAGGGTTTGGAGTTCTATTCCCAGTTATTTAAAAATCTAGAGCATAATCATAAATTCGCACTGCTTTCCCTGCATACTTTCTTTATTATTCTGGAGTAAACTGAATTTTCTTTATTGGGCAGGATTCTTCCTGCCCAATTCTAAGTAATTGATGGGAGTGAGTACAGTACAGCTATGCTTTCGGAGTCCCCAAACCATTCACAGAGTTAGTTAACAGAGTCTAGGGAATCTTCTCATTCTAAAATACACCTAAGATAAACAAACAAAAACAAATCACTGACTATATTGACTAGGTGCCCTCTGATTAGATAGAAGACAAGATGGGTCTAAGACAGACCTAGAGGTGTCTCTGCAGGTATCTAAAGCTTGGCAAGAGGAATATCCTACATTAAAAGAGCAGTTTGATTTCATTTCCTACATATAATATAGAACTAGAATTATGAATTGCATTAAACAATCATCCATTTCCACACCATGGTCTAGAAGTGCCAGCTCTTAGCCTTCTTAAACATGCATTAAACTGTCACCTAAATTCTTTAAAAGTACTGTGTAATTAAAACTTACATGCACATTCCCACTTTGGGCAGCATTTGTCACCATTCATTTGAGTAGCAAATCCTAAAACTCCACAGCTGGGTTGAGTTGCATTGTATGGGCAGTTCTGTGACTTATTAACTTGGATCAGCTGTCCATCCAAGCAAATGTGTTTTATGCACTCATTCTCTGTGATTGGCTAAGGCATATTTAATAGAAGACATAGGTTACCATTCTTTCAAAGCTAACATCACAATATTGCAGAGTATTTGCTCACATTCTTCGAGTATAGAATGCTTATGAATCCCTGTAACACTGATGAAGAAAACTCATCCATTCTGAGGTCAGTTTAAAACTGCTGTCCTGTTGTAAAGCAGAGAACAGCATTACCAAATTTTAACTTTACATTCAAAAAAGAGTTAAGCACGAAAAGTATGGAAGGGCACAAGTAGGAATAATAACATGGATCTCTGGAAAGATGTATTTCAAGGAGGGCAACGTGACAAGAAATTGCCACTGACCAATATGAAGCACCATATTTTGCCAAAACAGCATTCTTGTAACAGATGTACTCAGAAAAGTGAGGCCTAAACCACAGTGTATTATAGCACTTGCAAAAATCCTTATGCACAATGAAATCCTGCAAAGTTTCAGACATAACTGGGAAAGCAGGGCTCCCTGTTTGATACAAATATTTTAAACCCTAAAGATCGAAGTATGGCTCATGATTTTTTTTTTAAATCAATGTGTGAAAGCAGCCAAGACATTTTCAAAACCCAACAGATACAGCTACTCACTGTACAAGTCTGAAGAGTTGGTGTTTCTCTAGGCAGCATAGAAGCTGATGCTGTGGCGCCTGACAGAGCTTCAGCTGTTGCCAATTCATCAGAAAAAGTTGTAGTCAAGCCATAACGTGGTTTGGTAGATGAGGAAACTGATGGAGCTGTTGTGTCATTTGGATGGTCAGATATCATTAGCACTGAACTCACAGAAGGTGTTTGTACCTCAGATGGTATGTCAAGTTTTGAAGTTTGAGTTGCACTGACTGATGACGCAGCTATAGAAGAAAAAGATTTCGGTTCAGAGGATGAATGTGCAGTAGACAGTACTGATACACTTATATTAGAAGAAACTGCAGTTGTGTTTGCGAAATATGGAGAGTAAAATGTCCAAGGTGTTTCTGGAGTAGTGATAGCACCTTGAACACGAACAGCTTGGACTTCTGTTGTTAATTCTGGCTCCTCAGATTTTACTGTATCGGGGGGCACAGCTCCTTTTGCTTTGGAAGTAACAGAAAAATAGGTGGGCTTCACAGACCTTGTGATAGGTTCTGTTACTGCTTCTGCTTTGTCTGAAGTTGCTGACACAATACTAACATTTTGCCCACTACTGCTTATCACTGAAGAAGGTGAAGCAGCAGCTGATGAATGTGCTGACAACATTGTACTTGTTAGAAACGTGGAACTGGAGGCAGTGGTTGAAAGTGTGACTTCCTTAGGCAACCCTGCAGTTTCCTGTGTATCACTTTTGCTCGTTGATGTGGATGGCCCACTCCCCATCACAATGGGAATTTCTGTTGTTTCTGTTAACAAAACTGATGAAGAGGTTGACTTAGGTCCTGTAGAAGCTGTAGCTGTTTCAAGCGTTTGACTTGAATCAAATGAGGCCTGCCATGTGAATTTTTGACTAGTACCAGCCTTTTGTGTGGAAAATGAAGGAAATATTTCTTTTTTAATTGTTTCTAAATAAGATGAAGATGCAGACACTTCTGGTGAGGAAGGGAGAATTCTGGTGCCAAAAATCAAATCAGTTGTCATTCTAGTTGGGACTGTAGGTTGTGAAAGAGAAGAAGTCCTTGATGCATAAGACTGTGTTATTGAATCAATTAAAAGCAACTCTCTTTCAGTTGGCAAAGTAACCTGTGTAGTACCTACTAAGGTAGGTAATATACTTGAATGAACGTCTTCAGGTAGGGAGGTGATTAAGGGGTATGAGGAAGTCAATTCTACTGTTGCTTCAGTTGTGCTAAAGACACGTTGTGATTGATAAGTGGATTTTGACGGAGTTTTTGCAGTATACTGGTATATTGGGGTGATACTTTGGCTTGTCAACAAAGGCTCAGAAGTCTGACGACCAAGTTCTGTAGCCTTCTGAGTGGAAAAAAGCGGTGTAACTATGGTCTTTGTGGTCCATACTGAAAATTTGTCTCCTAAAGATGTCTGCCAAGAGAGGGAGCCTACTGAAGATGGAGGAAAGGAAGGCTGAGTTTTAGCTGCTGTAAGTTTAACTTTATCTGTTATACTTTGAACTGTAGATTCCAATGCCGTAGAAACTGGTTTAGTTTCTACTGGATATTTTGGTGTGGTTATTACTTCTGGTACAATTTGTGTTAAAGAAGGTGAAGAAACCAGTTTATCTGCTAGAGGCTGAGAGGTGGACAAAACGTAAGAGGTCTTTGTTACTGGAAGTATAAAAGAAGGGGACAGAGTTGATTTTTCTGTGGCTGTCATTACTTTTTTGGTTGTCATGAGCTGACTGCTGAATTCAGAAGATGGGGAGAATGCAGCAGAGGTGACATTGCCTGGTGATTTGTCACGTGATACTGTTGTTACTGGACTTGATTGTTCTGTTATAGCAGATAAAACAGAAAAATTCAGGACTGAAGAGGTCTTTTCTGATAGTAACGTAGATTTTGCCAGAGTTGCTCTTGGATAAAAAGAGGTTGTTTCATGGGATGTGCGCATGGGACTGAGAGTTGTCAGTGATGCTTCTTTTCCAGAGGAAGGTAGTGAAGGAGGAGAAATGTTTAAGGAGATTAGAGAACTTAATGGTGAAAAATGGAAGGCAGATGGCTTCCTAGTAGAGATGTTAGTAACTCTTTCTACTTGTGATGTATCAGGCTGTGTTGTCAACAATGTGGTTTCAGTTGCACTAAGAAGAGTAAGTGGAGATACAGTGAAAGATGCTTTTTGAGCCAACTCTGTAGCTTTAAAAGGAACTGTGCTGGTTCTTTTTGACAAGACAGATGTTTTCATTTCTGATGTAGTAACACTACCTGAATATGCTGAAACGCTTGTCTTCACTGTACTTGAAAGCAGAGTTGGCTTGTGTTCTGTAGATGTTTTTCCAGAAAACAAAGTTGACTTTGCCAGTAATTCAGAAGGGGATGTTATTTTGGATGCTCCCTCAACAGACAAAGGTGTCACTTTGATAGTCTCAGCCACAGCAGGATATTTAGTGTATAATGTAGTTAGAAACTCTGTTGTGTTTAAAACTGTGTATGAGGGATATTTTGTAGTTGAAACAGTTTTAAATGTCTTTTTTAATTCGCCTGAAGCTGGGGAAGCATGAGTAGGAAGAGGCACTGAAGGTCCTTTTGTAGAAAGAGTAAGGGATTTTTCAGTTGTAGAACTAGGATGTAGTGAATATGTAGGGAAATAAGAACTTGACATATGCTCCACAGGAAATGTTATTTTAGGAGATTCCCTTTTATGAGTTGTAAATGATAGCAAAGTTGTTTCTGATGCTTCCTCTTGAGTTTGCAGAGTTGTTGTCTTTGGGCCTAGAGTTGTAGTGAAAGGTATCCCTGCAGTACCAGTGAGGTGTTGAACCATTTCAATAGGAGGTTGTGTAGTTGCCTTTCCTAATAAAATAGGTGGTATGGATGTTGGTGACAATGTAGTCTTCTCGCTTTGCTCAGTTAAAACAATTGCTGCTTTTGTTGTTGCTGAAGATGCTGGTTTTGATAAAGTACTGATCACTGGAGAAAGTGATATTACTGTAGTGTTAGATGCTGTGGGAAAAGCCTGTCCTATGCTTATTTTTGTCTCTCCTGAAGTTCCTGTTAGGTTTACTGTTGATGCATATGAAGACGTATCCAGAGATGGTGATGTGGAAAACTGGAGCAGAGAGGCAGTAGTTTTTTCTGTTATTGATTCAAATGTACTGGGTGTAAGTGTTCTAAGTCCTTCTGGTTTTACTTGTGCTTCTTTTGTGGGAAGTGCTCTTGTGGCTATTTCTAATATTTCCATTTTTTTAGTTTTGACTGGCGTTTCTGCTGTACTAAGTATTAGTGGTGTTCCGGTGAAAATAAAAGTAGCAATAGTTTTGGTTTCTGGTTCTGTATTTGTAGTCACTGCATTTGTAGCTGTTACTGTCTGAGGTTCTGTAGCCCTCAGCAGTTTGGTAGAATCAATACTGATTGGTTGTATCTTTGTGGAAGTTTCTGAAGTGACGGTGGACCAAAACAATGGAGAAATGTCAATGGGAGAAGACAAGCTTACATTAGACTTTGTTGTCCCAAACACTGCTGTAGTGCTTCTTCCAGATGTAATTTCTGTTGACTGTGAAGAAATATTTGATGGTAAAGATATGTTTGGAAGTGTTGTATGAGATGTAAAAGCTGCAAACTCAGTTTTCCCTGTAGTTGCAGTCACTTGCAATTTTGAAGCAATTGTTGCCATGCCTATTGTTTCAGGTACAGGAAATGAAGTTAGCGCTTCACTGATCACTGCCAAACTTGTACTTGATTTTATGTGTGAAACTGATGGTGTTTGAATGCTGGGTGCCAAAGCTAGACTATCATCTGCAGGTTCAATGCCTGAAATCAGACAAAAGTAAACAGTACTCTGAAATGTTTGTACTCTGAAATTGTTATAGTCAGGAAGCTAGCAGAGTTATAGGTTAACACATATAACCGATCTTTTCAATTGCCTTTAAGATCCTGAAATTCATAGACAACTTAAGAAACAAATTCATTAAATGATTTGCTCCATATCTAATTTTCTGAAGTATTTTAAGAAAAAAGAACTATTTAGTTTGGTTTTTGAGAGGTGAAATTATTTTAACTAAAATGTGTGTTTAGGGAGCTGAAGATTCATATAACTAAGATTAAAGTTACACAAATTTAAGCACTAATATTTGAAAATATTACTAAAGACCTAAGAAATAAATAGCTAAGTCTCATACATAATACATATAATTTTTCAAACGTACAGTCTTCAAAATACACGCATCTTTCAGTGATTTCATCCAGTAACATATTGAGAGGACAATCAGGGATGCATCCTTCCACTCTAAAAGAAAAACAGTAAGTATTAACTAGTTGAGCAGGATCTGGATTTAGCATTTCCCTTTAGGAAAACAGAATTCATTTATAAACTATTTTTAAGTAGACAATCTTCTTCTATCTAAATCTTGTCAATTTAGTGTACTCCGTCAGAATGTCATTGCCATGTCTTTCATTCTTACTCAGATCTAAGATAAAGCATGAACTCAGCCTCTGAAATGAATGGTCATAAGTTGAATAATGAATGTTTGTGCTTAAGAAATGCCAAACGCTTTCACATATCAAAATCCAAATGCCTGTTTTACCAGACTTAGTACAAATTCCAACTGGAAGGAAAAGGTGAGGACAGATATAGCTGTTCTAATCTCATAATAAAAATGTAAGGGTACAACTATTTGGAACAAACTTATTCCCTTTCTTTATTAATACTCTGTAATACTCCCTCCCCCCCATCTTCAACATTACAGGTATACTAATAACTCCAGAACCTAACAACTTACCTAACAACTGAAATGTCACTTTCACATAGCAGCTGCAGTAGATTTTGTTCCATTTCCTTTCTCCTTCACTCCTCCTTATACAACAACACAGTCCTGCTATACAGAGCTTACATCTGGTCCCTCATATTCTTATTATACTGCCTATCACCCAAATTACATACTTTTCCATAAAAATACAGATACCTACTTTGGTACTCCCTGACAGCTTTTTCCCAAAGGGTCTCTGCAAGTCTTGAAACAAGGGCTTATGCAAGTATCATAATGCCATTCGCATGCAGAATGGGATAGAAATTTAAATTTTACATCTGAAAAACAATGAAGACCTGTTATTACCATAGATATTTCTAGAAATATATATACACAGATTGATACATATCACTAAGGGGCATACTTTATGTTCACTGCACTTCTAAATTTCTTACTGTTTCTACCTATATTCTATACAAATAAAACCAGAAATATTTCTTGAGCTGCCAAGGTCTTTAAAACATAGAAAAACATGAGAGTATATGCAGAGTATATTTGAGTGTGCTGGTTCTGCAATCTGGTTTTGTATTATAAAACATGGCATTTTATTATTCATATTTATAGTGTATTACAATCACTTGAAAATAAAGCCAGGCAAATTAGAGCTGTTTTTAAGTTTTAAAGACTATATCAATAGTGAAACTGTATGTTGGTTATTCAAACAAAAAGCAAAATTGAGATTATGTTGATTCAGTGCAATTATGGCTATTAGAATCAAAATAAAAAGCAGCAGCTAGATACAGTGATACTCATAATAATATAACATACCATTAACAGTTGTTTGCTTCATGCATAAAATTTACTGATACAACACAAAGATGTACATAACTTGTATGATACAATTATATTTTAAAAACCAAATCAAACACCACTCCAAATAAAGTAACCAGAAATTATGCCAGTTTAGGCTCTTTAAAGCAATTTATCTTAACAGCTGATCTTCTCAAAAGCAGTATAAGATAGCCACTCCAAGAGGAATTAAGTCAAACCCATAACATTCTAAATCTGAAATTTTAACTTCTCCTATAACGAACAAAGCAAGTCAGATGAGATGAGAGATGTAGTCTTGCAGAAATTAACTCAAAACATATATTTCACCAGATAAAATAGCACCAATGAGACATTAGCAATTTAAAAACAACAAAAAACCCCTCCCCCAAACTCAAACTGCCTTCAAAGTACCTATGCAGATACTATTTTTTCAAGGACTTCAAATTTGCATTATTGAAACTCAAAATACAAATTCAGGTAGAGGAAAAGTTAAATTTAAAACAAAAATTAACAGAAATAAGGATTAGCTATACTTCCAATGTTTACTAAATTATGCAAGAATTTTACAGAATTAATGTAGAGACTGAGTGTAGAATCTGAGGGAAATAAATTTGTGGCAATCATCATGTGGGTGAGACACACTTGCATGTTCAAATGCAGCATCATGCTTTCTTTTTCATTACAACGTTGCCCCATCTGCATGCAGAACAGTTTCTCACACAATGCTAGATTAGCACAGTGGCTCTTCCAACAACTGCATGATTCAGTACCTGAACTAAAACTGCCCATCCCAGCTTCTGCCTGTGGCAGTCAGGGCAGGGCAGTGACACTTCACTTACAATTATGCCTAGAGAAGACCATCATCATGACATATGGGTTCCCTCTGGGTTGGTAAACCTTTTCTTAGAGGTATGCAATCCAGAGAATACAAAAGCAGCTGCTCTCAATGTTTACCAGAAAGAAAATGCTTACTACTTAGAAAGAGTTTTCTTTTTTGGTTTGTTTTGGAGTGCTTGAGGGGGTTGTTGGGGTTTTTATGTCTTTCTGCTTTTAAGTTTTGCTTGACTGATACACTAAGAGAGTAGCTCTTTCACGTCTTTTTGGAGACAGTTTTTCCTGAAGGTCCTAAGAAATTGTTTTTTTACTGAAATTCAGGGACATCAGCACTTCTGCCATTATTAATCATTACTGCCTTCTTTTTAAATTCATATAATTCTCTTAAATCAGAGGTATAAATCAAACTCAGACAAAAGAGTATGTTGCCATCTAGTGTTTTCCATTTTACACATCACTCCAAGGACATGTCACTGCTTTTGAAAATGCGATTTTTATGACAGTAACAAATGCATTTATAAAGTTACCTTCCCGTAATAAGCTAAATACACAACACTGAATTCTTCTGTGACCCCTCCTAAAGAGACCAACTCAAATTGCTTAAATCTAGTGGAGAAAAGGAATTATTTCCATACGTTTTGCTGCCTGATGTATGGGGTTTTGCATGCATGGACAGGTCAAAGTGTTAAGGTCTAAGGACCAAATAAGATTATGACATAAAGACAGAACATATCAGAGACCTGTTGGCACAGGCAACCACCAACAATAGTAATAGCAATAACAGTATATCCAAATGGAATCTAGGAAATCTCATTCATCAGACTACCCTAGATTAAGTACAGAGACTAATCTGTAACTTTTAACTCTTACCACAAACTTCACATTAATCACAGAAGTTTCAAACACAGTAAAGGTACAAGCTTTGCAGATATCACACTGTAACTCAATGAAGAATGGTAGTTTCTCAATTTGGCAGAACAGTGTTCGTGAATTGATACTTTCAAGTGCTGGGATTAACATACTATCTCCCATTCTACAAATAAACTTAAGACTTTTATGCAACAATTGCCACGTTTTCCTCAAGCTTTCTTACAGATTAAGTTCACAGAGTTTGCTGGTGTTGCATGCCTTTGTAGGAAACAGAGCAGAGTTCTATATAAAGGCATAGGATTTGTTGAGTGCTTCATAAACAGTGTTTTCAGTCAAGAAGAGAATCACGCTTCTTTGCAAATTTTGTCTCTACTTCTGCAGAAAGAAGTATGGACAACAGATGAATTCATGAACCTGGCCATAAAAATGTCAAAAGAGTTTTCAAAGAGCTGTCGAACCAATGAATATTCAATTTTCCAGTCAAGGGATTTTAGAGAATTGAATATGCCAGGCCAAGCTGTATTAGTTTTTTTAGTGTGTAAATTGCATGAAATAACAGATCAAATCACCACAGCAAGGTTAGAATATATTGCATTAATTGGTTTCCAATAGAATATATTGCATGAATTGCTTTCCAGTATCTCAAAAATTTCATTATGCCTCAGTTAACCCAACAGATACAGTGAAATCTATGCTTTATTATGGATTATGGGAAAATGGCTTTCCAGCATTAGAAGAATGTCTGTTCAGTCACTCATCATATTTAAAGTTTTCACTACTGGCAACATCACTTCTGGAATGCTTTAGCAGCCCAAGGACCTACCTTGTTGACTGTGCAAGCCACTGCAAAAAATCCAAAAAACCCCCAAATCTCACACTACCAAAAAAACCCACACAGCAGGATGCAGTTCCTACTTAAACAGTTTAGACTCAACAGACATCAGACAGCAAATGAAGGGAAGGAGAAACAGAGGCACAGAGCCATGTTCTGAACAAATATGAATCCATTCTAAGCCAAGAGAACAATGAAGTATCTCTATAACTAGTTAAAATATTATTTTGCCTCTTTTTAATACATCTGTATATCAACAATGATCAAAAAACCCACAGTTATTAGGTTACAAAGAAAAGCAGCAACAACATGCTTTATAGCCATTCAAACATCCCTCTTCCTAAAATGAGGGAAATATTTAGTTCACTCTATTGAATTTAGATGTTAACTTCCAAGCCAGACCAATCTTGGCTGTATTGCTGCTACAATACTACTATTCCCATGGCAGAAACTACTATAGCTCAGAAACTCTGGATTTTGCCAGTGTCATGGCACAAACACTTTATGCTAGGCAGGATGCTAATCAGCCACCTCCACCACATGCTTTTCATTTCTTTAATACTTAAATTCCCCCTCCTGCAACCAGTAATATGAGCTTACTGTACTCTCTGCAACAGTACAGTTCACTCATAACAAAAGAATGATACATAGTTTACAGACAATGAGTCAAGCTTCTTATACGAGGCATGTGTTTCTCAAAAGGATTTGTCATGGCATTTGAAAATAACCATGTGTCTCCTGGTGAAGACTACGAGCATTTGTCTTCTGTTCAGTGACACAGCAAATCCTTCACAAAATGTTAAATTATGCCCTGGGTGACAGTTGCTCCAGCTGATACGCCAAATGAGCCCACAGTTCTTCTGCCTAACAGGAGCTGAGCATATCAACAGGTTACAGTATTGCAAAAAGCTTGTTATGACTGCAGGTATATGGGTTGCCAAAGACAACATACTAAAAGATATTCCCCAACTCCATTGTTTTCTCACATGCTTAGACATCAGAGAAGCATTTTCTTCCAGTAACTTACGATTTTCATTCTTTGAGCCTTTCAAAAATAATTCTGTAGCCATGAGAACTGTTGCAACCATTTATAAAGAATTTTAATTTTTCATCACTGACAGACTGTGGTGTTCTGTGAGCTGCAGCAACCTTTCTTAGTAACTTGGCCACTTTTTTAGTGTTAAAAGTTCCTAGTGTTCACAAGTCCATCCTACCTTTTTTCCTATGCTGCTTTTTATCTCATAAAGACAATATCTGCCATTGTCAGCATCTGCATATTATCAATAATTTCATGGTATGTTCAAAAAATGGCTGTTTAATTAAAAAAGAACTAAGCTAAATTCAAAATTTATGATGTTAATAAAAGGCTGTATTTAAAACAAGGACTTTTAAAATAACCTAAAAAAAAAAAAAAAGATTTTTGTTCTCAATCTGATGCTTTCTTCTATTTTGCTATTTTCTCAAAGATTAAAAAAAACCTAGTAGTAGAAAAACTTGCTTTAGAATTAGTTCTATTTGTAACAGCAGCAAAACTCTGCTTAGTAACATAGATTGCCTATCTCCTCAGTTACAAGTTTAGAAACTTGAAATCTTATCTACCCACTTAACGCACTCAAACTACTAACAAACTCTTCTCATGACTTCTACATTTCTGCAATGAGAAGTGTAAGCAAATATCACTGGAAAAAATGGAACTTTGTGCCCAGACAAAACATCGCTGAAAGCAAAGTATAATTATCTACCTCTTACATGCTTTTGTTTAGTTTACTATTACAATGTTAGAATAATATAATATTGTTACAGTAACTATTTAATCTCCTATTTATTCAGTAAAAAATGGGAAGTCAAATGTTTGTGTTTGTGGTATAAAGAGGAAAGGTGTTACAATTCTACAGTGCCCTCAGTCTGATTCCAAGAGCTACCAAGCAGATGTGTTCAGGGACATACTTGGGATTTGCAGGTACAACAGCACTTGCTCAGCATTATCCATCTCCACATCTCATGTCACAGTCTTTTAGACTGACAAAGTGTAGAAGCTCAAATTAAAGTTATGAACAACTCATGAGTAAAACTGGACGTTCTAGAAAACTAACTCTCCTGATGGATATAAGTCAAAGTTAAGATAGTCAATGGTATCATGTATAAATCTTACTTAGATTCAAGATGCTTTTGTAAACAAAGTTTGTCATTAAATTTAATTTCATTTGCCTTTTTGTAGTATGTTTCTGAATGTGTTTGAGTTAATTAAAATGCAAACATTAAAAGAACCCAAAAAGGTACTGTATGAAAATTAAATATTGATAAATACATCCACGCAGTGTGCATATACTTAATACATTTTGGGGTTTATTTTTAAGTTTAGCTGAAAATTCTGTAACAGGCCTTGTATTTACAGCAAGTTGGTTTATAAAGCACTTAGCTAACATTGTTAAGAACTTTGCTGTGGAATTTCTATAGGGCAAATCACATTTTAATAATATATGTAAGTTTAATTCACACTGACCTTAAAAGGGTAAAGCATATTATGATAATTCTATGAATGGTAAAAGGTAACTAGTTTGAGCATCTTATTTTTATTATAAAATTATAGAATAGTTTGGGTTGGAAGAGATCTTTAAGATCACCTTGTTCCAACCTGCCTGCCATGGGCAGGGACACCTTCCTCTAGACCAGACTGATCAAGGCCTCATTGAACCTGACCTTTTTAAAAAGGGTAAGAAAACTGCAGCTATATCCATAAAAAGGTCATCAATTCCTTACATCAACAAATTTCCCAATAATTTCAAATGTGACTTGATTATTCTTACATGACACCTCTGCCTGTCCATCTGCTAAGATTAACTGCATTCCTGCTTTTGACTGAATGCATACCAATCCACTGCTGGTAAAAATTCCTGCACAAAACGTATTTTCTTGTAAGCACACTCTAGATACTAAAATTCAGTTATCAACTCAAACCTTCAAATGTTTGTGGGAACAGGACAGCAAACAAACCAAAGTACAATGAAAATAACCCAAGTTAGAAGCGAATTCTCATGGAAAATACTTTGCAGTGTTAGCCCATCATGTCTGTGCAATTTATAGTCAAAGTATTTTGATGTGACGATATTTATTGCAGTGAAACTGGAAAAAGTGACTTGTCAGCTGACTTTAAACAGAGATGTATCTATTGCTGTGGTGATCAGGTCATTTAAAATTCTTCCTTTTGAATGTGCGTCAGAGCATGAAGAAGTCTCATGAGGAACTTTCTGGCCAAGGGGATTTACTGGGCCTATTATTCTGCTCCCAGTATTTATCCTCTGATTCCGCAGGAATAGCTGTTCCTGGTTCAAGAGTTTCTGATCTAATATGCAAAGCATTTACAATAGTCAGCAGGAAACTCAATACGCTTTTGCCTGTGCACTCTGGAGCTGGTGTAACTTTTCCATTAACTTAAACAAATGCTGCTGTATTTTTAGACCATGTAATTACCCTACATCAGCAGGCTGGCCCTTGTGAAAGTACACTGGAGAAAGATTCGAGCCCCATGTTTCTCTGCTTATAAAACTCTGAAACCCAAGCCCTCGGATGTGGTGATTAATGAAATGCCTCTTGATCATTTGATCTGATCCCACTTGCTGAGGTAAATTGTTTCAGTTTTCCATTGGCATAGACAGGATTTTTTGGTATAATGACTGGAGGGTAAAGACTTCACACTTGAAAAGACATACCACTCTGCTAATGGATGACCACTGAGAATTGGAACACATTTTAACCTTCTTCATTTCTCCCTCAAAGATAAAAGACTAAGGAGTTATTTTTGTTATGTCCCCAAAAAGTTACTTGCTTGAAATGCTGTACGAACATCCTGGTAATAGCATTAGCTCTATAATTCTGCCGTTCAAAACTCTCAACAGCTCTGCGATTACAAGCATTTGTCAAGAGGCAACAGGCATTTGGCAATGACAAAATCTGTCATTTTTTCTGAAGTTGGAGTGTGCCAGTCAACAGCTGCGTTAGGCTGTCAGCATAATGCACCGCAAAACATCAGCAGATTAACAATGCCACCATTAACACTTTAATTCAATGTTTTGATAACAAGAAGCTCCACAAGGCATACAGTTGGCCTCTTCTGTCACAGAAGTCAATGCCTGCTTTAGATTTGTCTGTGCTGAAATTCAGCGTGGTCACTGTAAAACATGGCCAGGCCACATTTCACATGTTACAATATTTCATTTCTTTTCTTTGCTTGCAAAACCAATTCTGGTTTCTCAGAATAAGGAACGGATTTTAAAAAAATGGTATTGCTAGGAATACCTATTAAGATATTTCTGCTACCCAAATAAACAGATTCTAGAATCATAGAATAGTTAGGGTTGGAAAGGACCTTAAGAACATCTAGTTCCAACCCCCCGGCCATGGGCAGGGACACCTCACCCTAAACCATGCCACCCAAGGCTCTGTCCAACCTGTCCTTGAACACCGCCAGGGATGGAGCATTCACAACTTCCCTGGGCAACCTGTTCCAGTGCCTCACCACCCTAACAGGAAAGAATTTCCTCCTTATATCCAATCTAAACTTACCCTGTGTAAGTTTTAGCCCATTACCCCTTGTCCTGTCACTACAGTCCCTAATGAAGAGTCCCTCCCCAGCATCCCTATAGGCCCCCTTCAGATACTGGAAGGCTGCTATGCGGTCTCCATGCAGCCTTGTCTTCTCCAGGCTGAACAGCCCCAACTTTCTCAGCCTATCTTCATATGAGAGGTGCTCCAGTCCCCTGATCATCCGCATGGTCCTCTCCTGTGGACTCGTTCCAACAGTTCCATGTCCTTTTCATGTTGAGGACACCAGAACTGCACACAATACTCCAAGTGAGGTTTCACGAGAGCAGAATAAAGGGGCAGGATCACCTCCTTCTACCTGCTGGTCATGCTCTTTTTGATGCAGCCCAGCATACAGTTGGTTTTCTAGCTGCAAGTGCACACTGAAGCCGGCTGATGCTCATTTTCTCATCGACCAGCACCCCCAAGTACTTCTCTACAGGGCTGCTCTGAGTCTCTTCTCTGCCCAGCCTGTAGCTGTGCCTGAGATTTCTCCAACCCGGCTGTAGGACCTTGCACTTGGCATGGTTAAACTTCATGAGGTTGGCACCAGCCCACCTCACAAGCGTGTCAAGGTCCCTCTGGATGGCATTCCTTCCCTCCAGCGTATCAACCGAACCACACAGCTTGGTGTCATCAGCAAACTTGCTGAGGGTGCACTCAATCCCACTGTCCATGTCAGCAACGAAGATGTTAAACAAGACCGGTCCCAACACCGATCCGTGAGGGACACCACTCGTTACTGGTCTCCAGCTGGACATTGATCCCTTGACCAGAACTCTTTGTGTATGCCCACTAGTAGATTACTAATGCATTTAAAATTACAGCACAATAAAAAGCTTTAGAACATAAAAATAAATACTTGTAGTGATTTTGGTGGTTTCAGCAAGAAGTACTTGTTGCTGAAGTACATAACTAAAGTTGTACAAATAGGTTTGATATATTTGATGTATCAAAAAAGCAGACTAAAGCAAAGCTAAAGAAAATGGTGGTTTAATGAATAATCTGCTTTGCTTGATTTTATAAGCCAATATAACTTTTGCATCTTCTTCTTGACCTGTAAGGCCATCTCTATTTCAGCACAAGGTTCCCAAGTGTTTAAGAATACGTGAAAACAGTTATTGTTATTATTTCTTTTTCTTACTAATCTAAAAAACAAAGAGCTTGATCAGTGATTCTTTTAATGCGTATTTTTTGTCATCAGTTCCTGTAGGAGCAACTTCTGTTTCCGGGTCCTACAAAGGGTGCTGAGAATATCTGCTACATCTCTGACTCTTATGTCTCAGTGGAATGGGACAACTATTTCAGGAATAAGAATCTGTCACCTAGGTAGAAACACTCTCACAGCAAGCTATGTTGTGTATGCAAGAGCTTAAGCTGTTCAAGACATATAAGAGAAACAGGCATCTAGATCCCCAAGTAAAGGTATATATCTCCACTTAGATAGTCCCTGAAACACTACGGGATAACATCATAAAAAGCAGAGGCCCTGCGAGTGGGTACATGGATAAAGTCTGAGGTGGTTTTCAGGGAAAACATGAGTTTTGAGAAGTGTAGTCTACAGGCAGTGTCCTTAGCACCAGATGGCATGAACCTCTGAGGAGGCCACAAAGCTTGCAATGAGAATGCACTGTACAGAAAACTATCTCTTGGCATCAGTCAGAGGGAAACGAGAATAAACATCATCCACAGACCTTAGCTTTTAGCAATACATTCATTTCTTTTCTACTCCCTTTGTGAATCCATTATTCATCAGCATGAATATTCTACTCCTTAATAATTTCCTCACCACCCATAAAGCAACTATTGCCCAGAAACTGTACACTAGGCTATGTATTTCCAAAACCAGTTGGAAAATATAGCAAAGGTGTGTTAAGCTATTTAATGGCTTTTGATAAGAAAACAAAATCTCATCCTCACTACAAGTATCAGGAAAGAGGATTTTGAGTCTGCACATGACAGTTTACCCACATCTCCCAGTTATGTACGGGAGAAGTAAGCCATCTCATCACCTCTGAAAATATGACTACCATTTAGCTTGTATTTTCACAGGGAGCAAACTGCTGTTCATAAAAATACAACTTTAATTACCCACCTACAAGTTTAAAAAGAGTCGACAACCTGAACTCCTCTGAATGATGATACTTCAAAAGCTCAACTGAAGAAGCTGAAATGTGGATGAAATATCCTGGCTTTGCAAATGACTCAAAGGAACTATATCCCGAAAGCCATGTATTCTTATGAATGACAAATGTAGATCTGCTGTGAAACTCTTCATTTTTTTTCCATTTAGAAAGAACAAGAGTATTATTAGAGACCAGCTGAAGAAAATAGTTTGGTCTCTCAGCTGTTTCAAATGAAATCAAGTTGGAATCTGGGAAAGAAAAGTAAATAAAATAAAATTAAAAACAAAAACAAAAAACCCCCCAACAAAACAAAACAAAACCAACACAGAACTCATTTACTTGCTGATATATGCACAGCAAACTGAACTCATTCTGATATACCACTACTGTTAATAGTAGCACGAGGAATGAAAAATGACATTGGACTTACCAGTGAATAGCCCGAATCTCCTAAGAAAATACACAGATTTCAGAGTGCTAGATTCTGATGGGTATTTAGTTTTCTAAGTACCCTACAGATTTCAACAGGAATACAAATAGATTAAGACATTTGCCCATACCAGGATTCAGTTTACAACCTTCACTAAGCCATTTATTTAAAAAACCTTAAACTTTACCTAGCTAGGCCTAGAAGGAACATTTGCTATCAGGAATTTATAGCTGAGGAGTTTTCATTAAAAATAAATTACAAAAATGTATTTTGCATTCAGCTTTCTAAGCAGCCAGCTCCCTAACACTTCTAAGAATGTTATCAGTGAAGTCTGTTTTCTGGCAAGTGTACCCACACGATACCTTACCCTGAAAACAGTACTGAATTTAAGCAAGTTTCTGTACAACCAATTGCAGAGAGGCAGATCTTGAGCCTCTTACAGGCATCTGCTGCTCACAGAATTGCCATTCTATTTTGTGGTATACTCTGCTATTCTATTGAAAACAGCCATTAAACTACTGTAAAATCAACTAACCCTCCAGGCATAACTATCACATTCTGGTACAACACTTCTGGAAGACCAACTTGTTTTCTGAGTGTAAACATTTCAATTAATTTGAAAAACATAGTGGATCACGTGAATATCTCATTAATTGTCTGTAGCTATTTGAAAAGCAACAATGGACAGTCGATGTGATTTATAATAGCTGACATATAGCAAATCAAGGAACAAAACTTTCCATTGTCTATGATTTGGCTGAAAATGATAAAACGCATCCACTTTTCAAAGAACCAAGAATGCAATATAAATGAAGACATGGATATGAAAAATATCATATTGATTGTACAAACACTCTAATGGCCAAATGATGAAATGCTCAAATTGGACTATAAGGCCCAAATTCCATTTGCCAGGTTAAATTCTGAACAAGAGGGATTTATGTATGTAAATAAGACAGTAGGATCGTCCTTCCTTTCCCAAATGTGTACTGAATGCAACGTACAAATGTCCCAAAACTATGACCAGTAAAAGAAATCTGGCCTTGGATATTCTGTTACACGAATTCTTGTGTCAGTTCTACAGACAGCAGTATTACTAACCAAATGTCTGTCATTTTTTCAACTGACCCATATCCCTTCTTCGGTTACACAAAGGCAGCCACCTTCAGGCCATCCAAAGAGCTGATCAGGGGACTGGCCAGTAAAATGGTATTGAGTATCAAGCTCAAATTAAAGCTCTATATGCAGACAACTCTAGCATTTAATCAACATCACAAAGTGCTGAATATACTCTGTAAGCTTTTTCCACCTTTCTGAAGGTGTGCAAGACCTGAATAAGCAACACATTTCTTCAGCAGGAGCTGAAGTTGGAACCTGAAGGAGACAAATTTGCAGTATGCATCCTTGTGCAGCTTAGGTTAGCACCAATAGGCATCTCCATACAAGCAAGCAAAGGGTGATGGTGGCAAAGTGAGAGAATTAGGGAACAGTTTTCTTGTACCATTTCTCTCTCACCCTTTGCCATGTCTCAGTTCTGCCAGAGGAAGGGTTCAGGGAGCAGCACATATCTATAGAACTGGGCTAATCACTGGTTTGGTCCTCCTGAAAGTTGGGGAACAGAGGGGCTGCTGCTTTTCAACTAAAATTACCTGTTTATAAAGCTACAATAATCTTTCTAAGCCAAGCAAATGAAAATTTTGGCAGACAACATTAAGATGCATAATCAGCTAACAGAAAAAGATTCTTTCACCCAGGTCTATTCTTAAATGTAGGATTGCACCACAAAAGAATTTGCTCTGCCTTATTTAAGCCTCTAGGTTACAGTGACTTTACCATGTGCTTTGGGTTTATAAAGTCCTGAAGTCAGCATAAAGGTCACTGAATATCCAGGAACAATATCTTCTTCTCTCACTGGGAAAACATCACCATCCACTAGTTCCACTGCCATTACAAATTCCCCAGCCAAATAGCTGACCAGTTTATATGGGCCCTTTCCCAGAGCTGTTGAGAAAAAATATCAGCATTATCTTTCATGTCAAGTGTCACAAATGCTTGAGTTCTAAATATTATGATACAGCACATAAAAGCATATCTTTCCCCTCTGAAAACAGCTCTAGGTACCATGCACTAAACTATGATGACAACCAAAATAAAGCCAAACTGTTTTAGAAAATACATGTTCTGAAAACTGTCCAAAATACCTATCTTCAATTTTCAGGATTCATGATTAGCTTTTGCTTTTCCTCCCTCTCATCCACTTCAGTTCCATAGTCACTTTATTAGTTATCTGACCTCTTTGTTATTTGATTTAGAAACAAACGATGTTCTACAGACCACTCTGGGATCCCTTCAAATTGTTTATTTGTATGGCTGAACTAATTACACACATTTTACTATTCTTTAAAACCTATTTTATTAGTGTCTAAAGTGTTAGCCGTTTTGCAGGGAATATAAGTTTGTTATCATCAAGTATCAGAGAACTCCTTGAAGAGTATAGATACAAACATAATCACTGGGAAGTAAGGCAAGCCCATGCTAAGCATGTACAGTGATACCTGGCTACCTTCAGCACAGGGATTTAAAATACGTTTTATAAATCGCTTAAAACATTCAGTGATCTGGAAATGTTTAAGTCTGATACCTCAGGCCCATCCAAAACTTGAGAAACCACAGCTACCAGCTGAGAATTTCCCCTTACCAAACACAAAAGGTTTCTGCTCCTGCTTCTAGTAGGACTAGAACTATTTCACTTTGGATTCATGACAAAGTTACATAAAGAAAACCTCTCCCTGGTCTAAGACATTTTCTTAACTTTCCTGTATCCAAAACTAAATAATCGTTAGGAATGCTTCTATATTTGAAGTAGAAAATAGAATCTTCAGCATAGAGATTTTTCCCCCCCCAGCTGGAGCTCTGAAACATCCAATATTGAATGCTGATGACCTGGATTAGCAAACAGTAGCAGGATATAAAGGGAGAAGTTTGCAGTAACTATGTTTATTAAAAGTTCGTCACATGCAAAACTCTCCACCATTTCTGTAAGTAAGAATTCAATAACAAGTAAAAATAATAAAGCACTATGAAAGCATATAATCTAACTTCACTAGTACAACTGATGTTAGAGGCACCGCACTTTCAATCGTTTACAAGTGCAATAAGATTATTTAGCATCAAAATATTTCATTTATAAAACACATATAAAAGGAAATGTAAAACTGCAATCACTTCTTATATTCAATGGACTTTTATTTAAATTAAAGGCTTAGATTTAGATAAAATTCCACTGCACTAGAAATTTGACCCCACTCCAAATATTTTCAGCAGTCAGTGTATGAGAAAATGCAAATTTATTGGCAATATTGTTTGGGCCTGGCACATTGCACTAGTCTCTTCTAATTTAAACTCAGTTCCTTTCTGAGATTATCCTGGGGGTGAGCTGCTGCAGTACAGAATCTAACAGAAGACCAAAATATCACAAACCATCTGGATAGACAGGCTTCTACATGAGCTTGATAAAAAGAGTTATACAATAAATAGCAGGAGTTCTGACCATTCCTCACCTCAGGCTGGCTTGCATGCTACATCTAACTATGCAGACACTTGCAATTTAACTTCAAAATAGTCTGAATATGCATTCCAGTGTTAACACAGCAGTACAGTACCCAGTACAGATTCAAGGTTTCCTCTAGCACCTTGCACAAGTTTTGCACCTCTCTCTGAGAGCCGTTTCAAGGCAGCAGCAGTGGCTGTTGCTCAGGATCTTAAAGCCAGTCAGACATAACGTAGATGGAGAGTTATTCCCCGTTTGGGCGCAAAAGTTGTGATGTGTTATTAGCTAGCTCCCTCTGGAGGCTGCGCGGGTGGTCAAGATTTGTTTAAAGGACCCACAGGGCATCAGTTTTGAACTGCGCTGTGCCTGGATCAAGTACTGCCACTAGAAGTAGCGAGTTGAATAGTCTATTAATTACTTACTGATTGAATTGTTCAATCATGATCCATAAAAGAAAATGAAATTAGTTAAATGTGTATTCTTGGGAAAGGCCCAGGAATAAGATAGTTAATGAAATCAAAAGCCTTTTTGCAAAGCAAAATAAATGACTAAAAGAGAATCTTGGTTATTTAAATAATAAATTACTCACAACTGTTTTAATTAACACAATTATTTTCGTACAAGGTAATAAGAGTTATATAAAGGAAGCAAAAATTCTTCTGAGATTTTATAAGCTCCTTTAGGACTTACCTTTGTTGAAATATTCACAATCATAAGCTAAAAAATAAAAGAAAAAGGCAGTTTCAGGCATTCTGCAGATATACAGGCTTTCTATTACCCTTCACAATTAAGAGGTAAACCAAAAGCACAAATATTTAAAAAAATCTTGCCAAATAATTACTGCTTTAAATAAAATACTAATTTAAATGTCACTGTTTTAAATAAAATTACAGTTTTCTAGCAGGAAATATTAAGCTTACATATCTACAGCTGTCTTTTTGTGACCTCTAGTGGTTAAGAATAAACTCTGCTGTCTTTTTGTGTTCACATTAAAGCATTCGTGTATTTTCATTAAAAACTAAGAGTAAACCTCTTGATCTATGGCCAATTTGTTGCTCATCTTTGAGCAAGCTGCAAGCTCTATGCAACTGCAAAGTCAGAAAATACTTGTTTCCTCTCATTCTTTCTGTTGTGTCTGCTTTATCACATCATTGGGGAAATGACTGTTTCGCGTTATGTGTTTGCACCAGATACTTTAGAAAAAGGCCTCAGATCTTTTTAAAACTTCTAAGCATTGTTGAATAAGGATGCTAAGGTAATGACAAAGTCCTGCTTAAAACCCTACTTGTTTTTCTTTAGAAGACCTTTGTTTTACTTTTGCTCTGGTAACAGTAGTAAGGCAGCTATGCTTTCTAGACCCTGATAAGCACTGAAGTCCTGAGGACAGAAATTACTTGAGCGAATGACTTTGTATCTTTGGTTTGAAGGAAGCTTTCCATATCCTAATATAGACTTGCCATGATTTTTCCTTTTGTATCATAGGACAAGGAATTAAAAAGCAGAAGAGTACCCCCCCCAAATGTGGAAAGAAATGTGTAATCCAGATAGACCAAACTGGACACAGAGGACAGTGAGAGGCACCCACTCATATTTCTACCAGCGTGGCTTAGTGATTCAATTAATGACCTCAAGTAACTTAACATGATTGATTTTTTAGGTCTGGGTCTCATGAATGCAGACAGTGGAAGCCACTGGCAATGCTAGTTAAGTAAACTTACGACACACTCTAGGAGACCTCCAGTCTACAGCAACTCCATGCTGGCAGCACTGATGGGCATATGCTGATACACTTGTACAGAAACACTCACAGTCACCTCCTTGGTTACAACCACATGTATCTGTCAAGCAGTTTGAGTAAAACCAGGTGACATCGATCTGGAAAAATAAATGTCACTTATAAAAAATATTCATATAGACTCAACAATCATCTCAAGACAAAGCTATGACTCTTTCAAAATCTAATATGTAAGACTTTGAAGCACGGAAGATTTTAATTTTAATGTTTTCTGAAACACAAGGTAAACAGTTTATTAGAACACATCATGAAATCTTGCACAGTACTTAGTAACACAATTAAATCAATGACCCATTAAGAACATGCACACTAAGATGTTCATGTGAGCTTGTGTTTTATATGGTTTTGCAATATTTAAACCATAATAAACTACAGAAGTTTATTAAAAAAAGAGAGAAACTCTCTCTAAACAGATCACAAATCAATAAAGTGCAGAAATGTTAAGAAAGATATACATAACATGTAAGAAATAATAAAGTAGATGAAAACCCCTTCTTTACATGTGAGTGTTTCATTCTCTTCATATTATTAAACAATTTCACAAGCAAATTTATGATTTTTCTGCTAGATTATTTTGAAGTTTTGTCTTAAGTAACAAAATTCCGAAGAAAACTTTCAACGCTGATTTGCTTATTGAATCATGACACATTCTGCATGGATTTACACTTGACTAATACTTCCAAACTGGTAAGGGATTTAGTTGCTACCTACCTTACACAGTGGACTAAGCTGATGTTACATTAATACAACTTTAACATCAACCTCACTGTCTTCAAAAATAATATACAAAGCAGCTCTGCAAGACTCCTGGTTGTCCTTCATATGAAACCTCCTTTTTCCCTAGGAAGCATTCTGACACGCTCTTTAAGCCATGCACATAGTGTCAACACCTGAACATCTTGAGATATTTCCTTTTCCATATAAGACTTATCTCTGGAAATAGGTTGTCCCCAGTCCCCCCCTTTTCCAACCAAACCTGAGCCTGTTGGCTGTCAGAAAATGTTGATTAGCTCATTTATTTCCTTAGGTAGCTGCCTGAGTGAGGATATATATATGGGGTTTTTTTTCTAGGAATGAGCTCTTCACATCTGATGTTACCTAGCAGAAACTGTCAGTTTATTTAAACGTGGTCTGAAAAAGTATTGTAGAATGTTAAACTGCTGCCAAAGTGGCTTACTGTCTAAATCAGCTAAGTGAGGATAGACCAGTTAAACATTCATGATTTAGAATCAGAATCGCTATGGGTTAGCCTTTCTTTGTATTCTGTTTTGCTATAGTAGTCAAAATTATTATGCTACGGAAGACAAGATGAAGATTCAAAGTGATGTGAGTTGAAGAGCAGAGTTTCTCTCTAGTGATATGTTCACCTTCGTATCATGACTACAACTCACCACTGGATGGCAAGTTTCAAATGCTTCACTTAACAGTATTCCACATTCCTTCTTGGCAAATGGCTCTCTGAGGGGATTCAGACTGCATGGGTTTCGAATGTCAGAGCTGTCAACACACTTAACCAGAAAGCAAAATTAAGGTGAGAAACATGTTTCATAACCACTTTGTGTCTGAACTTGTAAAGCATAACTTTGGTTTTTTTTCTTGGAGTTGTTTTGTTTTGTTTTTCTAAAGAGATGTAAACCGCAAAGCAAATGCGTCACATATGAAACTAAAGCCAGACTAAGATATGGAATTAAAAGGGGATGCTAATCTGCCAAAAAGGAAAAGTACACAATATGAAGAGAAGTTTCATTTGCCTGAGAGCAGCACGAAAACACTTATGTACATATGGGTCTAAACAGTCCTTACACCTGAATAGTCTAGCTTACATAAGTAAAAAAAGATCACTCAGAGGACATGAATGGGTCAGAAGTCAGAACTTTTTACTATAACTATTAGGAAGGAACCTTTCTGTGAACACCACTAAAGACGTGACATTAAGAATAGCTCCATTTTTAATTTTATAGCATATGAAAGCATATTTTTTCTTTCCATTGCTCTGGTTTCACAGTTAAATAGCTCCCAGCTATGAAAGATCAGCTAAACTGACAACAGTCTATAAAGTGAGCCCATAATTGTTCCATTATGTAAAAAATTACTACTTTACTGTTCAAACATCTTAAAAAACACTTGTAGATTCATACTACTGTACAGCATTTTCCTCTACACAACAACACTGCGTTGAAAGAAAAGGAGATTATATTCTTCTCCTTAATGGATTAGGACATCTCTAAGAACGCTATTGTTATTTACATTGCTGCCTGCCTGATACTTCCAGGAAGTATATTATGATTTCATTCTATGTAAATTAGGTGATGTAACAGCAAAAAATCTACTAGCAGACACATTCTTTTTACTATGTACCTCTACAGCTGCCCAGCTGTTTCCAAACTCTTGTGAGTTTGTTAATTCAAAATTATCTGGTGTCCTCAGTTCATTGACTGTCTTCAAATCAAAATTTCCACATAATCCAGTCAATTCACCCTGGGGAAAAAAGATATACACACACATACATTAAAACCTGCCATATATCCCCTTGACACAAAACACTGTAAGCCATGACCATTTTCAAAACTTGCTTATTAAGCTCCTGTCTTCAGCTGATTAATTATAAATTTGACAGGATTTGATCCCTTTCAGCTAAATTTCAGCCGAAACAGTCCAGCAATTCGTGATAATAAAGCTACAGAAAATATTTTATTTTGACAGCAGCAATATTATTTCTTTTCAACTATCTCCAAGCCTTCAAGAAAGGAGCTGATCTTTTTTTCAAGGAAGTGACCTGTTTGCTAGCTATGTGCTTTTTTTATGCTTCAGCAAAACAACTGCTGGATCTAGTACTCATCAACAAGGAGGGTCTGGTTGAAGTGGTGATAGTCAATGGCAGCCTTGGCTGCAGTGACCATGAGATGGTGGAGTTTAGGATCCTGTGTGGGAGGAATAGAATACTAGCAAGGCCACAATTCTGGATTTCCAAAGGGCCAACTTCCCCCTCTTCAATCAATTACTAAGGGAAGTTTCATGAGAAAAGGTATTAGGTGGTAAAGGGGCTTAAGATAGTTGGTCAGCATTTAAGGACCACTTCTTCCAAGCTCAGGATCAGAGTGTCCCAATGGGTAGGTAATCGAGTAAGGGAGCTAGGAGACCAGCAAGGTTAAACAAGGAATTGCTGGGCAAACTCATGTGGAAAAAGAAAATCTATGGATTATGGAAGGAGGGGCTGACCACTTGGGAGGAATATAGGACAGTTGTTAGAGGATGTAGGGAGGCAATTAGGACAGCTAAGGCCTCCTTGGAGCTTAATCTTGCAAGTCAGGTTAAGGACAATAGAACGGGCTTTTTCAAATACATAGCAGATAAAACTAACACAAGAGGCAATATAGGCCCACTGCTGAACGAGGTGGGTGCGCTGGAGACAGAGGATTTGAAGAAGGCAGAGGCGCTGAATGCCTTCTTTGCCTCTGTCTTTACTCCTGCAGACTCTCCCCTGAGGCCCAAGATTCCTGTAGCCCCAGAAGGAGTGAGGACAAAGGAGGAGTTTGCTTTGGTAGATGAGGATTGGGTTAGGGATCAGTTAAGCAGTCTGGACATCTATAAATCCATGGGTCCGGATGGAATACACCTGCGGGTGCCAAGGGAGCTGGCGGAGGTCATTGCTCGGCCACTCTCCATTATTTTTGGTAAGTCATGGGAAACAGGAGAGGTTCCTGAGGATTGGAGGATGGCAAGTGTCATGCCAGTCTATAGGAAGGGCAAGAAAGAGGACCCGGGTAATTATAGACCGGTCAGCCTTACTTCCATCCCTGGAAAGGTGATGGAACAACTTATTCTTGACACCATCTCTAGACATATCAAGGATGAGGGGGTCATTAAGAGCAGTCAACATGGCTTTACCAAGGGGAAGTCATGGTTGACCAACCTTATAGACTTCTGTGAGGAAGTAACTAGGTGGATGGATGATGGTAGAGCAGAAGATGTGTTTTTTTCTTGATTTCAGTAGGGCATTTGAGACTGTCTCCCACAACATCCTCATAGATAAGCTAAGGAAGCGTGGGCTTGATAATCAGGTAGTGAGGTGGATCAAGAGCTGATTGAAGGGAAGAAGGCAGAGAGTTGTGGTCAATGGGGAAGAATCTAGCTGGAGGTCTGTGACTAGTGGAGTACCTCAGGGGTCGGTGCTGGGACCAGTGCTGTTTAATATTTTCATTAACGACCTGATGATACTAAACTGGGAGGAGTGGCTAACACACCAGAAAGCTGTGCTGCCATTCAGCGAGACCTGGATAAGCTGGAGAGTTGGGCGGGGAGAAACTTGATGAAATTCAACAAGGTGTCCTGGGTTTAGCAGCAGCAGTCATTTTTTCTCCTTCTTGGTAGCTGGTGCAGTGCTGTGTTTTAACTTTCGGGCTGGGAACAAAGCTGATAAAAATGATGTTTTGGTTTGGCCAAGGACTTTGTGAGTCTCATGCTCTGCCAGGGAGGAGCGAAGCCGGGAGGAAGCAGAGACAGGACACCTGACCCAAACTGACCAAAGAGGTATTCCATACCACAGCACGCCATGCCCAGGATGTAACTGGGGTGTGGCCCAGAAGGGGCTATAGAAGGGACTGCAGGGTTGGAGGAGGTATCAGTTGGTGCTTGGTCGGGCTGGGGGGAGCAAGTTATCAGTTGCCTGGTGATGGGGTGTTGTATTCTCTTCCCTTGTTATTTCCTTTATTATTACTATTATTGGTGGCAGCAGTAGTGATTTGTGTTATACCTTAGTTACTAAACTGTTCTTATCTCAACCCGTGGGAGCTGCATTCTTTTCGGTTCTCCTCTCCGTCCCTCCAGGAGTAGGGGGAGGGCAAAAAAAGGGGGGGAGTGAGTGAGTGAAAGCTGTCTGGCATTGGTTAAACCACGACACAAGGGCAAATGTAGAGTCTTGCATCTGGGGAAGAACAACCCCATGTACCAGTACAGGCTGGGGGTTGACCTGCTGGAAAGTAGTGAAGGGGAAAGGGACCTGGGGGTCCTGGTGAATAGGAGAATGACCATGAGCCAGCAATGTGCCTTTGTGGCCAAGAAGGCCAATGGCATCCTAGGGTGTATTAGAAAGGGAGTAGTTAGTAGGTCAAGAGAGGCTCTCCTCCCCCTCTATTCTGCCTTGGTGAGGCCGCAGCTGGAATATTGCGTCCAGTTCTGGGCCCCTCAGTTCAAGAAGGACAGGGAAGTGCTTGAAAGAGTCCAGCGCAGAACCACAAAGATGATGAAGGGAGTGGAACATCTCCCTTATGAGGAGAGGTTGAGGGAGCTGGGTCTCTTTAGCTTGGAGGAGAGGAGACTGAGAGGTGACCTCATCAATGCTTACAAATATGTAAAGGGAGAGTGTCAGGATGATGGAGCTAGATTTTTTTCAGTGATGTCCAGTGATAGGACAAGGGGCAGTAGGTGTAAACTGGAGCATAGAAGGTTCCACGTGAACATCAGGAAAAACTTCTTTACAGTGAGAGTGACAGAGCACTGGAACAGGTTGCCCAGGGGTTTGTGGAGTCTCCTACATTGGAGATATTCAAGGCCCACCTGGACAAGTTCCTGTGTGATGTACTCTAGGTTACCCTGCTCTTGCAGGGGGGTTGGACTTGGTGATGTTTTGAGGTCCCTTCCAACCCTTGGGATTCTGTGATTCTGTGAATCAGTCATATAAGAAATCAGTATTGAAGGAGAATGTTGCACAAAGATACTTGTTTCTGTTATTATAGAGTTCAGACAGTAAATAGGAACTAAAAAAATATTTTCATTGACAAGGTAGTTGATGTTTCTCTCTTTGACTGAGAGATTGTGAGAGACTCTCCTTCATGACTTCTGAGAGATCATGAGAGATTGTCTATTCTGCAAATACTAATGTCTTAATAAAACTTACATAAACACCTCAAAGAAATGGCACGCAATAAAAACGTTGACTTCCACTTACCTGCCACTGATGACCCATCTGAACATGAACTGTTGTTCTCTGATCCCAGAGGATGGTGATGTGCTCATCAGGAAAATAAACAACAGTGAAAAATCCAGCTTTCCATACCTGCATTTCCTGTAGTTCATCTATGTAACTAGATAAGCTCTGTTCAAAATAAAACAAGGCAGTTTATAATGAAAGTAATGTCTTCACAAAATATTAATTTAACAGGAAATGAAACACCTAAATAAAATGAATGATGTTGACAAAAGTCAATAAACTGACAGAAGGCCACAGATGGTTAAATGTTTAGACAAAAGTGGTGTGGATTTTGGTTGTGAACTATGTTGTACTTTTAAAATTTTGCTATTTTGCTATCCATCCAATTTAAGGCGGGTAATGGCAACTGGAGCAAGTTCTTGAAAAAAGGAATTACCTAGATATGTCCAAAGATTGTCATTTTATTTGTGTAAGGCGTTCTTCCTGCTGTCTAATAACAATCAGATTCTAAGTTATTTGTCGCATGGACTAAGGTGTCTGGCTTAACTGCAGAATACCTCATAGGAAGTGACACAACTTCCTTTGTATAGTGAGTCTACTGACTGTAAATAGTATTATTTATAGTAAAGTTACTGAAACCACTAAATATTTACAGCAATAGCTTGCAGTTTGGCCAAAACAAAAATGAAATCCATGCTGTGGAGGATAAACCAGAGATTGCTGTTTATTTTTTTGGAAATGTATAGGAATATTCCTCTGATGCATTCCAGACCGGACCAAACGCCTAGTCCTAGTGCAAATAATAGCAAAACTCCCAGTGACTTCAGAGTATTTGGATTTTTCCAAAGACATTAAATAGGAATTAAGTCTAAAGAAAAGCACCACAATTATCTCATCTAACATTTTCATTAAATACAGACAAGGTTTTGTTTAAGGTTTTGTTGACCAATCTAGATGTGATCAGCATTCACAGCAATGATATTCACACCTCTGCTACTCATGTGGCACAGTAAGTTTTTGCTAATGAAAGGAAAAAATACCCAGAGAAGTACATATGCTACCTTTTGATCAGTGTTAAAGACTGAAACTTACTGGATTTCCAGATTCATCATCAAATATTAAAAAAGATTTTCCAACATTAATGAAAATGTTTTTTCTACAAATCATTCCAGTATTAAAGCAGTTAACATTCTCTGTAATAACAGAAAGATTGGTTGAAGAAGTACCCTGGGGAAAAAAAAAAATAAATTGAAATGGCCACTTTTAAATATATTGACATAAATACTTAAATCACATACCAGAAACTACAGAGTATAATTATTGTGTAATGTATGATTGAGGGGTTCAGATGTAACTTATTTTTCTCCTTAGTAGCTGGTGTAGTGCTGTGTTTTCAACTTTAGTCTAAGGACAGTGCTGATAACACACCAGTGTTTAGCTGTTGCTAAGTAATGCTTATCCTGATCAAGGACTTTTCAGTCTCATGCTCTGCTAGTGAGGAGGGGCACTAGAAGCCAGGAGGGAGCAGAGACAGGACACCTGACCCAAACTAGCCAAAGAGGTATTCCATACCACAGCATGTCATGCCCAGTATATAAATGGGGGGGAGTTACTCAGAAGGGTTAGATCACTGCTTGGGTCAGGCTGGACATTGTTTGGTGTGTGGTGAGCAATTGTATCGTGCATCATTGCTGGTTATCTTGTTTCTCTTTTTAGTTTTATTTTCTTTCTCCTTAACATTATTATTAGTAGTAGTAGTAGTAGTTTTACATTATAGTTTAGTTATTGGACAGGTCTTATCTCAACCTGTAGGATTTACATTATTTTGATTCTCCTCCCCATCCCACCAGGAGCTCAGGGGAATAAAGGGGGAATTGAGCAAGAGGCTGTGTGGTTCTAAGCTACCGTCTGGGCTTAAACCATAACAATGATTCAAAGACTAACCAACATCAAAGCTTTAAAAACAATATGATGAACTCAATAAAATGGTCAGATGGGAAATAAGTAGGAGTTTTTAAATCCAGTTTTAGAGAGGTTTTACAAAAGAAGTCTCACCTTAACTAGGTAAACCTTACAAGTTCCAATAAAGTCAAAAGTTAGTCCATCAAACGTTCTGTAATGCCGATCCCCATATGCAGTACACATTGACGGGCAAGGATGGAAGGTGCATTGAAATGATCCATGCTGGCAAATGCTGAAAAATGTATGACCAATAATGGTAGTATCAATTGTAACCACAGGCAAATGATTACAGCTATTGCACCAAGAAGTGAAAAACAAAAGCCATGCAGGCATGATGACTGTGGACAAGAGCATTTTGGAATGCTAACTAGAAGCAGCATGTATAAATTGATTCTCTGGAATAAAAATTTGCATCTTGAACTCATACAGTCCATGTTTCTTCCTATTAGAATGTATAGGTTCTAGAAAATGCAAACACCAAAAGGGCATTCTTTGTTTAAACAAGAAAACAAGAATTACTACCCAAATCATACAATTTATTCTCTAATACCTCATATCAATGATATACCACAAGTTTTCCTTTTCAGCTTCGCACAGAACATTTGTTTCTATATGAGCTGAATCTTGGAATCAATAAGCAATATGTCCTATTGCTACAGTTATTATGCACTCTCTGCTTGAACGAGAATTTCACAGTACAAAGGAAAAAAATTAGTACCCTATTTTGGTTCTTAGGCTCCTTTTTCTTTCAGACATGCAGATATCCCTCTAAACCCTAGCCAGTTTAGGAGGTTCCAGAAACAGTTCAAGCTCTGTCTATGGCCACCCTAAGTATCAAAATGCTTTTATCACACATAAACTGACTGCTCAGACCTTTCTGAATTACTTTTGTTCTGTAACTGCCTAACAGTGAGGCTTTGCAGTACTGGATACTACATCTCTTTCTGCATATCCCTCTTGCAATCTAAATAACATTTTCACAAATGATGTAAGATTTACAAATGATGGCCAGAATTTTCTTCCGTGTATCCACTACTTGTGTTTTATATAACGACACATATAAGACCACTAAGCACATGGCTAAAATAAAAATCTGACATGTGGAAAGTGTTTGCTGTACCAAAGTACAGAGGACTCACCCACCTAACTGTAGTCACCTTAAAGCAGTACCTAAGGCAGGAACCTAATCAAGCTGATGGAGAGAGGCAAATAAAAGAAGGTATATTTGGACACACAGAACAAGTGCTGCTTCTCATGCTCTCTGCAAGCTATTAAGGTTTAGGTTTACCTTTTTTTTTTTTTTAAGACTATTCAAATAATCCCCTACATGCTTTAATGCTACAGTCCCATGCAGAAACATTTCTTAACATGCAAAGAGTAGGAAGTTCCTTTGCATACTTTTTCGGGAGTCTTAATAAGTTTACAGTCAGAAGGAAGGGCTTAAGAGGTACAGAATGTTTTCAAAATCCTCTGCACCAGTTTTGTTTCATATTAAGTGAACTAACATTTAGTTATCAGAATCTAGAATCTAAGTTGGAAAAGCAGAGCTACTTCCAAACTTTGCGTCTTCCAAACTTTGATTATCTTTTTATTTAAAAGTATCTCCAATAAGTACTTAAGAACATTTGCTCAATGGTCTCAAAGCATGACAGCAAACCAGCACAGCTAACTGCACCACCTATCTTACCTTGCCCAACAGAGCACCAAAATGCCACTCTGATAGCTTCAGTTGATGCAGTAACCTTTTGTGTTTAATCTCACCTGCACATGCTAACGATTTCAAGCAGTTGCACTGAAAACCAAACTTAAGAAACCAGAACAGTATCTCATCCGGACCCCAAAGTTTAGGTTAAAAGTTTCTTGCACTCCACTGGTAGTTTTACCAATTTAAGAAATTATTTTGCTATTTTACTGCTCAATAGAAAAATCATAACGGTTGTGTAGCTAATACTACATCAGACATTAATAAGATGATACTTAGTATGAATATGCACTATTTCTGTGCACTACGTAACACTAATGTCATAACTGCTAAAAGAGCCAAAGGGGCTGGTTTGCACAGCGGTATTCTCACACTTTGCATGAGCAAAAATGCACGTTTACTTTAACATATCAAATACACCCCTGCATACACACAAGGAGTCTCAAAAACTATACACTTTGGATCAAGCAGAGCTAGTTGCAGACTTCCCATCTGTCAGTGGAAAACTCACTGCCAAAAAGCCATTATCACTTAATATTATCACTTAATCTTTGTTTCTGGACATGGAAGTCTAGAAAAGCCATGACAAGCTGAAGGATTTGTACATGAATTAATGGGCCTGGCCTCAGAAAAAAAAAAAAGAGAGAAGGATAAATATCCAGTGTCTTTCTGCCTGCACTGTTGCTGCCTTTGGTGAAGTCTCATATTGATTAAATGGGATATAATAGTTCTTTCTGATGCAAGCAATCCCACACCAGGTCCAATTGGAGAGGCCTTTAGAAATAAGGGGGTGAATAACCCGGGTCGCTTTACCTGCCTGCCCAGTGGAGATGGCTTGTAAGTCGCTTCACCAGTCGACCAAAGGGCTAGAAATATCTTCTAGAGCAGATACTGAGGACCTGACGAGAGGCAGAGGTAGCAGTCAGCACAAGGCTGGAGGGGGCAACAACATCCAGACAAGGTGGTGATTAGTGCTGACTGGACAAGCCTTCACTGTACTAGGTTATACTGAGCTGTGTAGGCCAGGAGCAGTAGTTTACCAGGTGACACCAGTTAAATATTCCTGGCAAACTGAAATAATGGGACAAAAGGCAGGAACTGCTCTGCTGGGAAGACAGAGAAGCTAGAGGCTACACCACTACCACAGTATCTTGATGCTTGACAGTACAGGTTATCTTTCTGAGGCTTTGGTAAGACAAATAGTGCTGCTTAGTGCCAGCTTGCAACGTTCAGCTGTGGTCAGAGAAGAAAAACAGGCAGAGACCACCAAGAAACAAGTTTCCTTTAGGATTGTGCAGATGGGGTATATTTTAATATCTTAGCTATTGTGAAGCTTATTAAAATGGTAGTGTACGATGTTCTACTGAGAGTGCCCAAGGAAATTTTGCAGAGTAATGTAGCTGTAGGGGATGTGCTGCATTTACAACACTGGATAGTAAATGGAATAGGTTTCTGCATGTATTTGAGTGATCCTATCAACCCATCTATTGGAACACTTCCTTTCAAAGCCATTGATTCATCAGTATCTATGCACACAAAATTAGCAACCAATTTATCTGTTACTATGCTCAGTATTCCCCTTAATTTATCATCGTAGTGGGTGCGCGCTTGTGGCCACAAGGTCATGTTTTGGGTCCTTAGGCTGCTAGGACTCAAAGCTAAATATGAAAATGAATAAGTATAAAGCTCTAAAAAATGTCATTCAGGTGTAATAACTGATGGATTTTACCTGTAGCTTAGGAACACTAGCCAAAGAATATTTAGATTGCCTTGATAACGAAATAAAATATTTTTAAAAATCAAGCTTTACAATCCCAGATAGCTGTAATTTTGTATGCAAAAGCTCCTTGAAACAAATAACCCTAAAAAAAAAAAAAAAGCCATTTTCATAGCTCTTTGAACAAATGTAAATACAAAATTAGGGTAGATTGTTTACTGAAATCTGGTGTGAAATTTATAATTAAAAAACATGAAAGAATAATCAATTCAGAAATAAACAACTAAAATCAAATAATCTTCCTAAACAGATCTCTGCTTACCATGTATGACAGGAAGAATTTACTTTGTCACCTGGGAAGTATTCCTTTCCTTTCCATGAACATGGACATTCATCTTCATTCAAGCACACATCCCCATGTTTAACAAGACTATAAAAAAAGAAAAAACAGAACAAAAATACATGCATTCAGCAGAAGTACACCTGGTATCTAGATACAACAACATTTTCCTAAACTTTCACATTACTAACATTGTTATTATTATTGAAAAACAAGTAATATTTTAAATATTCTGAAATTGAAAAGGCAGAACTTTATTAATGATTATATAAGTAATTTGGTAATTTCCTTTCACAGGAAAGTGAATCTTTGGTAAGAGCACTTCCAGCACTAGCCCTTTAGCCGCTAACCCCATGAAGACTTATTCATTGACAAATAAATATTAAAGTCTGGGAAACTAAGATTTTTCCAGATCACCTCTACATTTCACCAAATTTATTGTAACTCAGACAATTAACTTACGCTTAACTGAAGACAATAGATCTTCCAAGATATGTGGGAGCCATCATGCCTCTTTGCACTACTATAAAAAAAGCCCTGAACCATGGACAAGGGATCATGGGTGTCAGGCACATCCATGACAAACAGGGCGATGACACAGTTTTGCTTCCCAGATATCCAAAAGGAAAGATTTGCATTTATCATGGAACATTTTATTTACTCATATTAATGAACTGGTAATTTTTGTACTGTAACCTAGATTCTTCTTCATTGTGCTAATTATCAGATAGAAATTTGCCACTCTGTAGCCCCTCTTAATGAGAACGCGCAGACATCATAAACTCCCATCCCCCATTAAACTGAGAAACTATAATTTTCACTCAGGGTATGTGAAGTGTTCTTTGTAATCTGTATTTAATTTAAATATGGTGTCTCTTGAAGACAACCAACTGTGAAACTGAAATTCCCACTTACTGAAAGCTGCTCAGAACTGAACAGGGCACATTCAGACAAAGAGCATCACACTGACAAAGTTACACTAAACACAGTTTTTTCCTCACCTTACCCTGGCTAAAACAAGTGATAACAGCTTTCTCTCTTGTAAAGCCAAGCAAATGGGTAGATTTCAATGATCTAAGAATTCACCACAAATACTGCACAGAGAGGCTGTACACAGCTCCTCTTTGAAGTATCAAATATTTTTCTTGATGCTTATACTTATTCTCCACCTACAATGAACTGCAAAAATCCAAGGACACTTATGACTTCACTACACTGAAGATGCAGTTACTATTTTATTATCTATAGTTCTACTCATTCACAGAAACACAAATACATAAATAGTATTGGTAAGGGCATCATTAGAATCAATGTGCCACCTGTGAGTCAAAAACTTCTTTGCTTCTGCAAACCCCACAAATCTGGACCAGAACACTAAAAAATAACTCTCTCAGCTTCCAGCAGTGCAGCTTTCGCCAGTCTTTGTATTGCACAGCTCTTTTCGCTCCTTTGGGAAACAGTCTATTGCCAACTGATTTATCCTGTAGTGACAGGATAAGGGGTAACGGGTTAAAACTTACACAGGGTAAGTTTAGATTGGATATAAGGAAGAAATTCTTTACTGTAAGGGTGGTGAGGCACCGGAATAGGTTGCCCAGGGAAGTTGTGAATGCTCCATCCCTGGCAGTGTTCAAGGCCAGGTTGGACGAAGCCTTGGGTGAGATGGTTTAGGGTGAGGTGTCCCTGCCATGGCAGGGGGGTTGGAACTTGATGATCTTAAGGTCCTTTCCAACCCTAACTATTCTATGATTTTATGCAGCCATGTAGACTTTTGTTCCAAGAACAAAACATCTGCACTAGAGTTTCAGGGAGGTAAAAAGAATGAAATAAGCAGCAGGTAACATACCAGAATTCCACCACAATCCATTACTTCCCTACACAGAAAACAGTATAACAGTATAAACTAATATTTAAAAACCAACAGGTGTCAATAATATTACTGTAGCACCTAATGGTTTCATTGTTTTAAAACTTCATTACAGTTTCAGGATACTACAGCTTTCAATTTACTACCTTTTCATAGCTCTATTCTGTGAGAACATTAAGGGAGGAAAAAGAAACAAACCTGAAAATTCTTATTAGGTTGAATTGCTCCAAATGCAGTGGAGACTTCAAATGAGCTATTTCAACACAGTTTGACAGAGACTCTGGCTCTTACTCTTTGTTCTGAGGCATAAACAGTAATTTTAGGGTAATAATACTCAAAAACTTCTTAGTTATGTGCTTAAGAGACTAAATCCCATCAAAACCAATGTAACTTAAACACATGATTTCTATTTTTATATTCAAAAAATATCTGCAATACAGTGCTTGATTCCAAAACACAGTGGCAGCTCATCTGCACATTTTCAGCACAAATCCCTGAGAAAATATCATTTTGATGGAGAAGATACTGAAAGTAATGACCCAGAATGAAGAAACATGCCTCCCTCAGTGATATGTCCAAAAATGAAGTCAGGTATCTGAAGAAAAACTGTCTAGGTAAACACCATTCTGCTGCAGTACAGGGATTAGATCAAATATTGCAATGGCCTTTCTATATTTCTGTTGTTTTTTGGTTTTATTATTGTGAGTTATTAGGCCTTTAGCTCCACCTGTCTCTCAGTTTACCATTCCTTATGCCTTAAACAGTCCACATTGTTGCATGATAAGCCTTTGCAAGCTGGATGCTCACACCTTAATACCTCAAATTCTCCAAGTAGAAATGTATTATGCCAGTGGAATTAGTTGTTCAGTCACTGATGAAGGTGGTCATCTGTATTTGCGCACAAAAAGATGTAAATCTGTCTGTACTCACCCAGGAGGGCAGACGCAACCTGAAACGCAAGGAAGGTGTGCTGAGAAAGTGAGGTTTAACAGCTGATTCTCACAAGTTCTCTCTCTGCTAAGTTCAGGATCAATTTGTGGATTACTGCAGTTAATATAAATCTGTCCAACTGGGCAGCTGTGTGCTGAGGGGAAAAATTGACACACATATTAGTCTTCATGCCTGAAATTTTGTATTTCACAAAGGTGCGTTAGGTTTAGATTGAGAATATGTAACACAGCGTGTATCATCCAGTAACATCTGACTACCTGTCTCTCCTGAGCATAGTTAACTTCACAGAACCCCTATAAATCACAGAATCACAGAATGGTTTGGGCTGGAAGGGACCTCAAAGATCATCTTTCCAACCTCCTTGCCATGGGCAGGGACACCTTCCACTAGACCAGGTTGCTCAAAGCCCCATCCAGCCTGGCCTTGAGCACTTCCAAAGATGGGTCAGCCAGCAACCTGTTACAGTGCCTCACCACCCTCTTTTCTTCTTAATGCCTAATCATAATCTACCCTCTTACAGTTAAAGCCATTCCCTCTTTCCTATCCCTACATGCCCTTGTAAAATCTCATATAAAATACTGAAATTAATATATTCATTTAGTAAGGGACATGACTTTCTAAACAGTCAGGATTCAGCCCTCTGAAACAGAAATGCAAAGTGCTACTAAGAGAGAATGAGAAATCAACAGAAGGGAAAAAATTAAATAATCAAGAACAGGTCTGAGAGCTAGATGTGACTTTCCATGCTTTAGTCACTGACTGTTCATAAAACAATTCAACTGCACAATTGCCTTTGAGTTGCACTTAGCATACTTTGTATAGTTAACACAAATGCCTGAAGCAGTGGCAGTGTTTTAAAGTTGTTTTGGTTGGTTGCTAGGGTTTTGTTTATTAGGGAGAGAGGTTCTGGCTGTCAAATCAGTACAACTACTACCTTCAAGTGCATGGGGAAGACATTTCTGCTAAAGGCCAAAGAGCTAGTAATTTTAGGGCTGAAACCTCAAATGAAAGTCTTTCTCACTGATGTAAAAAAGGAGCATTAGAACAGCAGTATGGACAATAATACTTAATCATATATAAAATACACTGTAATAGAAAAAAGCACTTTCTACATTCTTTTACTTGAGTATGACACAAGATATATTATTCTTCCATATTTAAATTACTCTCAAGGTTTGTGGAAGGAAAGAGCATATATCTGTGAAAAATTATTTCCAGTGTTCAGTTCCTACAATCCCATTTTATGGGGCAAAGCTAACCTGTTTGTCCTTCTGATGTCCTGCTCTTTGTCATGCAGCTAAGCTTACTTATATTAACAATCAAAAAAAAAAAAAAAGAAACAAAAAAGTATTTAAAAGCACTGGAAAAAAAAAAAGTTGCTCAGATTTAGCAGTATTTTGTACAGTTACACTCCTGATTTGCACCAGCCTTTCTTCCAGTCACCCAAACATAATTCCTAAATGATCAATACCCTCCTGCAAGTACATGCATTTGTACATGTTGCACGTTCTTCTACTCCAAATAACAGGTTCCACAGAGATTAGAGAATGAATATTCTTTTCACCTGAATATCTTTTCACCACTCTCTCTTCACTCACCTATTATGTTGCTATCACAATTCATTATTCCATCCCTGCAATGGCTGCAATAAAAACATATGAAGATGTCATAAGAGCCAGGAAGATCTAAAAATATGAATGTTTAATACTGAAGTATTCAGTGTGAGTCAACACAAAGTAACTGTACAAATATTTGCACTGAACCTCAGAATTCTGAATAAAGTGTGCAGGGAAGTACTGAGCAACATAATACTGCCCCTGTCTAATTCCAACCAAAATTATCCTGTCCCTTTTTAAAATGGTAGCAGATCTGATAGCAACTCAATGCCAGGGGAAAATGTAGCAATACTGGCTTAATTTCAGGTCCTGTGCTTTACTAGAGAACCTGAGCCCACGAACTCCAGCTCTATTCTCCATTCTTTTGCAGTGGCTAGGATGTCCCCAGTACACTCACTGTTTGTCAGCAGATTTAGAATTGAATTCTGTATGTGCTACAGACACTCTGCTGTCAGGTTTGGTGGTGTGTCTGAACTCCAAAGTACTGCACAAAAAGTGGGCAAGGACATCACAGTATAACGCAGCCAATAGGCAAAGCAGTGTTAAAGCTAACTGAGGGTGAGGCATGATAGGGGACTCAAATGCCAATGAAATGCTGGTATCACAATGAAAATATTTCAAAGAACTGGCTGAGAACAGAGAAAGAAAGCTACTCCATAGGCAAACATGAGAAGAAATTAAAGTTTGAAAGCTGAAGTTCCAAAAAGGAAGAAACTGATAAGAAAGATGGAGAGTACATAATAAAGATCGTAATTGTTTCAAATAAAAATAAAAACAGTGACAGATTAAAATTAATAGATGTTGTACACATTGTTTCCAGTTCATCCACACATACAGTCCTATACAGCTCCTAATGTGTTACTTAGCACAAGGCAGTTCGAAGGATCTTGAAAGCCTTTCCTCCCAACAGATATGTATACAGCCTTATTAAAACATGGCAAGCAAATTCATGACTAAACAGGAAATACAGATCTCTTATCTTCACGACTAGTAGCTGTAAACCAGTAGATATATTTTTAATTAACAGATTCACATGAAACATAAGCTGCCACATTCCAAATAACTCTTTTCTTAAACAATGCATTTGTGAATGATCACAGGTTGGTGTGCATTCAGCCATATCTCCACCATAGTGCTTAGCATAATAAGCTAAACTAGACCCTTAAGGAGGATGAAATGAAATCAATCAAATAATCTATCTGGAGAAGCCCTTTCCCATAACTGCTGTCTGGCACAAGCTCTGTAAAAAATATCCAGGAAGGCAGGCAACAGTGCACACAGACTTTGCACACCCCCATATGCAGAGTGGGTTGCCTGGTACTCTCCAGGAAATCTGTCCTGAGGTAAAGATGAGCTAACTTGCCGATTAAGATATATTGAGATATACCTATATATATAGATAGATAGGTAGATATGTAGGATTTACATACATGTATGGTATATACATGTATGGTATAGGGAAGGAGAATAGCAATGAAGATCTAGCTGAACAAATATGAATCGACAGTCAGCAAGTGTCTGGGGTTTTCTGGAGCTCTCTACATTATTATGGATGTACAAAATTACAGTGGCTTTTCTCTCTACTTTGCACATCAATATATTAGATTATAAGCTCCTGAAAACCTATGTTCTAAAGAAGTTCTATCTGAACATGCATAAGAAACTGATGTAAGCTTGTTCTGTACTTTTCATTTAAAATGACCCCACAAAAAAACACCAAACAAAACCAAACCAACAAACAACAACACACCACAAAAAAAAACACCAACAGACTACCCAGAACGACTTGACCCAGAGCTCTTAAAAAATAAACACAATAAATAAGTATCTTACCATTTCCCCAAAGATGTCATAATGTTTTCTCCAGGTGGATAGTCAACTCCTTGAAAATAACACGGGCATTCATTTCTGGAGTAGAGGAAAAATATATAACTATGATTAACTCAAACTGAAGGAAGAAAAAAATTCCCAATAATTTAATTGCTGTTTAAAGTTTGATTGGTTGCTTTGCTGGTTTTGGTGATTTTTTTGGTTGGTTGGGTTGGGGTTTTGTGGTTGGGTTTTTTTTTTGTTTGCTTGTTTGATTTTTAAATACAAGAAATTGGTCTCGATACACCATATAAATTGAGCACATTCCAAAACAAATCAGTAACATAGCAGCACCTCTACACAACAGTGAACACTTTTTGTATCTCTTATTTGCCAAACCCAGATAATATGTAGAAACTAGCTTTGAAGATGTTGGATGAGTGTCAGTACTATAAAAGAGCTATTTTTTATCAACACACGGGTTCTGTATAATTCTATGATCCCTCCAAGTTTACAGATTCATAATATCCACAAGGTTACATGCTTATTAGTTTTTCACTCTGACTTGCAAATGCAGTGGTCTAAAATAGTTAATATGACTATCAGAAATGCAATTTTACCTACCTCTGTACACATTGTTCAGTCTTGGAATTCAAATACATTCCAGAAGGACAAGCACAGCCTTCTACACAATCACTGCTGCATGTCTCTGGCATGGACAGTGCTTGGCAGGTTCTGCCACAGGTAGATACACAAGTACTGTACTCCTTTGTATCTTCACATGAAAGAGCTGTCCAAATGAAACAAACATCTCAAATTACAGTGCAAGAGAGTCGAGTACCTCCCAACAGTTTTCTGATAAACATCTCTATTCTTTCATTCCCAATCACATTAAATTCCCTAAAATTGCGATCTTGGCACTATGTTGTGTACACCACACAGATGTAAATCCACAGTAATAACAAGTACAATGAAGTCTACATAGTTAATCCAATTTACACATGGAAAACAGAACAGTTGAAGGTTCTTTTCCTCTAACTCTGAAAATGCATGGCTCTTGTTAATGGGCTTTAGGAAATGCAGAGCATCTTAATAAAAACATTAAAAGCAAGAAATAAAACGTGTACTTTGCAGATGTTGCTCAATATCATCATAAGTTTTCTGAGATATATATATACACATATCCTATAAATCTCTCCTTAAAAAAAAAATCTGAATTTTGTGAAGTACTAAAAAGACTTATTTAAAACCTGACAAGCATGACTTTTAAATGCATTCTAATAAAACTATATTTGCTTCTAGAAGAGTAAAATAAAATTAAATGGTTTAAATGATTCATTTAGTCATAGTGGACACAGACATGCATGCCATAATGACGGTAAGCAAGCCAGACTTTTCAGATATACAAACAGACAACTCCAGCTCAAGATACGCAAGCTGGACCAACTTTCCAAAATCCTCTTTACCATGCATTACAGTATGCTTAATTACATGATGTGATGAAAACTAACATGTTAAATTTTGAATACTCCTAAGAGAAGATTTTCAACCTTGTTTGTGGAGCCAAACCTACTGAAACATCAGGGTTGTCAATTTAGTGTTGTTTTATAAGCTTTTCAATTCTATAATTTAAAACAAAAATTTATACAAGGGCACTACATGTTCTATCAACATCTTTTACATCACTAGTTCATATAAACTGAAAAATTTCGTACTATAAACCCCTATCCTATAATTGTGAGGCATTCCAGAGGAGTTAACAGATGTCACCTTTGGCTATCTCTACATTATCTGTATTCTACCATTCATTGTAAATTAAAAATCAACAGTCCTCTTAAAACACTTGCACTAATTTTGTCTTGACAAAAAAGAACTTTGCCTTGTACACAACAGATCATTATAGAATTAATTAATTTCTCATTTAAATATTCATTTAGTTTTATGTTCATTCTGAAGCCTATTTAAAACTAGAAGTGAAAGGCAACTCACCACAGTCTGGGACACGTCCTCTGAAATCTATTACAATTCCAAATCTTCTACAATGATGAGCATAATGGGCCAGAGCAGAGCAAAAACAAATCTGTCCACATTTGCAAGTGTCTCTTCTGCACTGCTCAAAATAGGGGACAGGACTCAAATAGGGGTAGCATGGAGCAAAAAGGTCTTTCGTAAGGATGCTACAAGCTTCCACTGCATAAGAGGCTATACAAATAACAGATTAAACATTGTTTCAGCAAGGGAGTTTAAAGAGACTTGGAATAAAAAGTATCTTCTAATCCAAGCAGTTGATCGCAGTTATATACTACTGCCATATATATCTTTTTATCTTTGTTATCTATACAGCTACAAGAACGGTCAGAAAAGAAGTTAGCTGTTCATAGTTTTGAACTTGTTCAGGGAATGATTTTAAGGTATTTAGGAAATTTTACAATACCTAGATAGTGCCTACATACAGTCTTTAAACTAATGCATCGATGTGGGTTAGGCATCAGATGCTACACACTACCCAGTGCCTTTCATAAGCACACACTGCTTTAAAGAATAACCTGTTACCTATGGTTTCCGTTGCCAGAGCCAGAGCTGGCAGCTCAGGGTGGCACTGTCTCACAAGAGTGGGAAAGCAGTATCAAATAATTACCTAGGTAGCTCCAAAAACAGCATACATCTGAGTATCTTAATTCTGAATGCACTAAATATTTGTGCAACAATAATCAAAAGAAATACTATGCTACATTAGCATACCCAGAAAGAGTTAACTTTGTATTCCCCCCAAAATAAGAAGCATGCATGAACTAGGACTTCAAAATTCCTCTTCCAGGATTTCTGATTTCCTGTACAGGCCACTTTTTTTTCTATACTTATGTCCAAACCCACTAACAAGAACTCAGCTTCTTAGTGCTGCACATTGTATATTACTCAAAAGATGGGATGTTGTAGCAGCAGATGTGATGATTTCATAGCACTGCTGAAATTACAAGCAAAACTTTATTCATTATTTCACCCTTATATCTTGCCAAAAAGCATGTAGAGCTCAAGTCAGGAAGTGGTAGTAACTATGAAACTGATATAACTGATGATTTACAGAGTTCATCACTATTAAAGGATGTCTTGGTGGCCATCTGTGGTCCTCATGGCATGAGTCACTAACATCTTTCCCAACGGGACCCTTCTGGCTGAGTCTGGCTGAGTTCTGGCATCAGTATCTTTCTCCTATTCATTCTTTTGGTATCAGACAACAAAATAAAATATTTCATTTTTTCAGTATTTTTCAAAATTGAACACTGTAATACTTTTGAGTATCCATCTTACCCAGCAGCATCACCAATAATAGACATACTACCAACTTTTCATGTGTGTCTAACTCAATACACTGTAACTGCAATTCAGAAATAAAAAAGGGTATTTCAAGTGCCTCTGCAAGTATCATAAAATACTTAATACACTACATGGTTTGTTAGGGAATACAACTCATCAAATGTTACTGCTTTTTCAGTGGGTAGGACTATTTATCACTTTACCCTGATCCAACTAGGAAAATCGGCATGGATATAAGTGAAAATACATTTGTACATAACAATTGACCCTTCACTGCCCACCTGCCTGCAGATGAATATCACATGGATCCATCTGTGAACTATCATGCACAAGAATGCACGCCGATGAAGTTTTCCATGCATTTCCAAACAGCTCTGGAGTGCTTTCAGTTACTCCAACTGGAGACCTTTTACAAAACAGAAGTCAGTCACAAAAGACACAGTGAATTTACAGAATGGTCTCAGTTCTATCACCCTCTTCAGCAGAGCTGATTCAAGCTCCCCTTCCACTGTTCCATATTCACATGCATTTCCATGTAAAGCAGTCAGCTCAAGTTTCAGGACTCCTCTTTCTTTCCAGGCAAAGGCCCAGAAACAAGAGAAGACGTGCTCTAGAGCCATTAGATACTTTGTAAGGAAGGACAGACCAAAACAGAACAAGTTCCTTTTTCAGAGGGAGAGCCACTGCCCAGAAAGTCTGCATTCTCATATTCATAATTCTGCCTCCTCATTCATAATTCTGCCTCCTCATTCATAATCTCTTCTACCTATATTTTTCTGTCTGCTCCAGGTAGCTGACTTCCTAGGCCCTCTAGTGTCTGCAAAAAAGAGGAAGGAACAGAAATTCGAAGGTAAAGAAATGTAACTTCATAAGCAATTGAATCCATGAGGATTCAATGAGGTAATCAAACAGGCAGCAGAAGCTGAAAGACAGAAACACTTTGATCAAAATAACCAAGGCACATTTCTGTTGTACAGGGAGAATGATTGAAACAGTGCATGGGATTTTATACTCTTGGGAAAGATTGCATTAAGCACATAACCGGTAATACTACTTCTGGTAAAGTAGCTGGGAGTGAAGTTGTTGCAAAAGGCACCACCGTCTACGGCAAGTGCCCAAATCTGTTGTGGGTCAGGTGTTGTGTGTACATATCAAGATGCTTGCATGTTATGGTTTGTGTCATACCTCAGCATGATTCATAAATTCCGGTAGTTTAAGGGATTTTTTCACAAATGTCAACTATTGAACAATTTCTCACTTATTTGAGAACAAGTTCAAAGACTGTCAAAAACACACTACAAAACTTATGTGCTTCAAACAGAATTTTTTAAAGTAGTTTTACATAAGTAATCTCTTCATTAAGATCCTGTCTATATATTTCCTAGTCTCTTTATAAAAAATCTTGATAATACTTCTTAATCGTTAAGATTGAAATTCATCAAAAAACCCACTAACGTATTTGTGTGTGTTTTTTAATGGGAACCATTATGGAAAGATTTCCCATTTTTCTACTAGTTCTGAGAGAAAGAAGTTCTATTCTTCTTTCTTTTTTTCCCCTCCCCTTGGTCAAATAAATATTCTGTCAAGCTCTAAATTCATGTTCTTCTTCTCCCATTAGGCTGCTCAGTCCTCTGGAAGCCAATTTGTTCTTTATTATCTGTAGGAAACATACTAGAAAGAAGCTGGACAAGCAGCAATCTTGACTGTGATGCTCATGCAGCTCTAACCACCTTTCACTGCATCACAGTGAAGTGAAGCTCAGGCAACAGCCAATTCCTGTTGTTAGCCTGAAGGCACTGAACAATGGAGGCTCTGTCACAGAGAGTGGATTAGAACTTGCAGCAGAAAACAGGAGCTGGAAAGAGATGAAGAGGCTTGCAGGGAGACAGGAAGTCCCTTTTACAGGCCACTCCATATTTTGGCAGATAAACAAGCACTAATCATATGTATTTCACTGTATTTTTGTATTACAGTATTTTAAGCAAAACCTGGCTTGATACCCTACAGTTGAATTTACAGATCTTTTTGTTAGTAAACTAAAACCTACTATCTCACTAACAAAACTTCTAAGTAAATTATTCTTGATGTCTATACATTCAGCTTCAGCCCACATTTGATCTACCACTCTAACTGTAGATGATATATATATATCTAGCAAATAGAAATCTTGCAGCTGTTCATACAAAAAATCATCCTCTGTATTTCCATTGAAGGTTCCACAAAGGCCCACAGTATCATCCTTCCATCGCTCATCCACTTGAAGGTAGAGCCTCAATCCTTCTCTGTCGTACAGTATCTGTAATCCGATGCTTGTCTTTACTTGAAGAAATACAGAGGAGAGTTTCCGTATTTCAAATAACTCTGGTGAGTAAAAACAGAGACTGTTGAAAAGCAAAGGAAACCTGCATTTTGTTTCTTGCCATTTCACTGGTTTTGTTCTGCATCATATTTATGTAAGTTACATTTTCTTTCTACTAAAGCCCAATTTTCCCCTAATCATTGATTTTTCACCAAACATTACATTGATTCAGACTTTAAAGAAAATAAGAAACTTAACAACAGTACTGCATTTTTGTAAAATGCTTCCAAAGTTCACCAGAATATTCATAAAGCTTAACTAAATGTAAATCAATTTAAAGATAGAAACATTGCAGACCAACACCAGCAACATATTTCCTGTACTAAAGCTTTTTGGCGGAAATTCCCAAAGACATTAAATGCACTAATTTTTCATATAAATCTCTTGTTAAAGTTAACATTGAATCTCACAGAACATTGTCACATATTCCTACACAGAATATTTGGTAACACCTTCCAGAAGGAGAGATTTAAAACTTACTGAAGCACAAAGAAATATTTTTTTTTTGTTTGTAAATCATCTGTGAGAGGGCTCCTTCCATTTATATTTACTCGAATTGTTTACAAAAGAAAGGAAAAGAAATTATGAAGTTCAAGAGTGAGAGAAAATAATTTCTCCTCAGAAAATTTAATTTGTGAAACATTTTACACAGAATATTACAAATATACCACTTCAGTACCACAACACATGCATATGCCATTAAAATACTGCCTTAGTGCTCAATAGAAGTTGTAAGTTTATATATTATTCCTTACCATCTGCATAAGGCAGGCTAATTTTGTATTGGTCATATACCAAAACATCTCCCGAATGAGTCAGAGTCACTTGTCTCTTGAGGTCCTGCTTAAGAATAAGGCTGATTGATTGGATACATGATCCATCCTGGTTCTACAAGTGAAAGCAAAACACATTTAAAAACAAACAAACAAACCTTAAGAAGGATAAAAGTTACATAAGACTGCACGTAAACCTATAATTAGTGGGGAATTGAAAATGTTCATTTGCATCTATCTTATTAGCAGACAGCATTTGTAAAACACAGCTTTACAGCTAAGTAAAAAAGCTTAGTATTTGGAATGATTTCACGTGTGTTTAGTACAGCTCAAAAGTGGGATTTGGAAAGAGAAACTAAATAATTCTTACATACCTAAGTACAAACACATCTGCAATTCATGGGACCCCCTGATTAAAGACCCACTGAGGCTAAACGAATGCTCACAAACAAGGCTGCATTATCCATAGCACTGGTGTGTGCAAAAATCAGAATTTGTACTTTAAAGTGTTCTGATATAATAGGTTTTTACAAAGCATATGTAAGACACAAAATTCCTTTAAAGGCAAACTATAATGAAAGACAGAAGCATCTTGTGAATAGTTATTTAAAATAACATTTAAAATCATTATTTCTGAGAGGAATTGTGGAGTGTGTTCATAAGCTCCCTGAATGAATATTGACAAAAGAAAGGTAGCATCACTCCAGCATACAGCATCACAACATCCAACAGACCCATCTTATTGTTACTACCATTGCTTATTCTTATTTTCATTTCAGCTCTCTAAGTCAAAATGTCACACAGAAAAAACATGGAAAGAAATACTGCATTTAAGTCTGGATGAAACATACTCCAAAAAATCCTAGCTCAACATCATCTGCCTTACTCACAACCACCCTCTTCAATGGCACTTAGTTGTCAACATTACCAAAAGCAGCTATTGACTGAAATCCTAAAAATCAAGTATTGAGACTCGTGGTGAAATTCCACAACATAAAGAAGCTACATGCCCTACAGAAGTAATTTTCACAGCAGCTTAAAAATCAAGAACTGAGGTTAACTGCTTTAATCAAAACAGAAGTTGACTATCGTGTACATCATGTACATGTTCTGTGTTAGTTATGTTGGATTTTTTTTCCAGTCAAGTTCTGAAATCAGCTGACACATAAATGATGTCCTAAACTATTTAAAATTCCTGCACATTTTATGTTACTGTAGTGATCTTCAACTAGACACCATACTATATGGGTGGAAAGCAACACAAGTCTGAAGATTACTGAATATTGAGTGTTTTTAACATACCACAGTAACAAATACACCTGCACTAAGTAACATAGAAACTAGGCAGAGAAAGGTTAACACTAATCAGTTCCTATGTAGGAGGATAGTTAGGCCAGGACTTCCACCTTTCAGAATAACTACAGGTATTTTGGCTTTTGATGCCAATAGGGAAAGAATGCTTATTAAAACACGCTTATTACTCACAGAAGAGTACCGGATTTTTCTTGAGAGAATTCATTTGATCACTGCCTTATTTTAAAAAAAGAAAAATATTCTATCACAGAGAATCAAGCATCGAGGTGGACTGAGAGATGACTTGAACTTAACTATGCCAGCATTCTGTAATTTACCTTGCTACACGCTGAAAGACGTGAGAATCCACCTTCTACTTTTTCTTTTCTAGGAAGGAATTAAGTTTCTCCCACTCCTCCTATACTCAAATCTCTTTACTATAGCTAAGACTCAGCTTATTTACATGGATTTAGTGTAGTTGGATAAAGTTAGAAGACTGTCTATTCCCTGTCATCTACAGAGGAAAGCGGGAAGCATCCAACTGCTGTTTCTTCTCTTAACCCTCCTTCACTGTAAGACCTTGTAATCATTTAAAACGTATTCAAGAACAATAACAAAAACTGGGTCGTTATTTTTGGCACACTATTTGTTCATTTTAGTCTCATCTTGATTATGCATCTTTAGTGTCTCTCAATGTCTTATATACCAAAACATACATATCTGAAACCACTTGGCAAACAGCAGTCTAGGTCTCACTGAAGGAAGAAATCTCATTGATTGGGTCTGGTCCTGAGCTGCAGTCAAGAAATGTCCATAAGAGGTGCAGGCAGCTGCACTTTTCAATCCCACTGCCTACAGTAAAGACATAATCTATGATGAAATATTAAAATGTTAAGCATTTGCAGTGCTGTAAGAGACGCTAGACAAGATGCAGCTAAAATATCCCTACCTTTGGACAGTCATACTAGCTGCAAAATTATAGCATGAATAACATCATTCACACTGCAAACAGGATGTTCAGTTCAAAAACTTACACTTTTATCTTCCTCTCACTGACTTTCACTGGGACTTGCCCAGTAGTACGGAAATGTTGCCCTACTCATTGCAAACAATTGCCAGGGCTTCAGGGATCTCCTAAGGCTACCATGTAGCTTTGACAGATGCTGAACTAGCACAGAGCAGATTATGTCAGTCCTTCAAATACCATGGACACACAAGTACACACAGTGGTGTGCAAAGATTAAAAACTACATTCAGAATTTTCCTGTCTAAATAATAGTGCAACAGTGATCTCTCACCAACAGTTGAAATGATAAAATGAAATTTTAAAATAGCAAATTAAAAAAATTACAGAAGATATTTCATCAGCTCAACCAGCTCTCCCAGACTGATAGTGAAGACAGATACCTGTATGGTGAAGCTGTGCTCTTCTAGCTTATGCTGTTCTCTTGCCTCTTTACTAAGACATTAGGTTTCTGTGCCTGTTATTCAGCAACAGCAGCTATAAATTGACAATTTTGTTGGCTTTTTAAGAAGCAAAAAATAAAATACCAACTGGTACAAGCAGCAGACCAGAAACAAGAGAACAAGCCTCCATATTATATAAATTACTGCACAATATTGACAAAAGCTTTATTATTCTTTCATGCTGAAACTAAAGGAGAAATTCTGCCTGACAATTGTTCTCTGTTCCAATGAACTGCTTCTTTCACAGCACTGCCCCTGCTAACTTTCAGCAGGTGTTTTCACAGGAATGGTGATATCTCTCAGTAAGCACTTTAAAAAAAAAAAAAAAAAAAAAAAAAAAGGAAAAAAAAAAAGTCTATATTCAGAAGATCTTCTCATCATACAAACTACAAAGCCAGCAAGGCTGTCACCTGAAACTCAGATAATGTCAAGCTGTGCTGATCTCTGGAATGATTCTCCTTCCAAAAGGTGCTTAAAGAAAATTTCACATCATTTTGAAATAACTTGTTGCCTGATGACTGTTTATGTCACCAGATCTAAGACTCTACATGACTGGATTCTTTGTGATTCAGAGAACTAAAATCTCCCTAGGTATTTTCTTTCTACATTTTTTAATCTGCTTGAATGAGATGGGACTGATAAGGTTGGGGTTTTTTTTAAAAAAAAGCACAAAATCTCGATATATCAAGAAATACGAGATTTCTGCACTACAAATCTTTTAGCTTTCCATTTCAATTCATTAATTTTTATAAATGGGAAAAATATGGTAGATGGTGCCCAGAGAACCGTAAAGCAGCTCTTCTGCCAAGTGGTAACATCTAGTTGATAAGACACTTGAATAGCTGCACTGAAGGCTCACACTCTTGCATTATAGTACTCAGACTTTTCTCACTACCCTCCCATAACTTGTACAATGATAATTTAATTAGCAGCATGCAGCCCTGGAACATATCACACAAGTCTCTGCTCCCCCACCTGGCTGTTAATGTTCAGAAAGCTTTACTCAAACCTCTTTAAAAGTCTGTACCTATCAGGGACTGATTAGGTTAGCTTTGTTGAAGGTTAAATGAAGTGTGAAGCATAGCATATAGCAAAAGCCAAAAGAACCTGGGGTTTTTTTTCACCTACAAACTGCTTGGACATGGAGACATATTAAGCAAATTCCCAAAGTCAGGGTAAACAAGACGCGAGAAATACTGCAAGGTTCTCGGTGACCTCACAAGTGCTGCAGAAAGCCAACTAATTTGATTATCGCTTCCCCCAACAAAGTTATCACCACAACAACTAAACTAAAAGGAACATTTCTGTCTGTTTTGCACACAGAAATAAGCTTTCTGTAATACAAAATGGAATGAGACACACAATGCATATCCTGCATATTACCAAGCACATATTTGCTCCAGACCTCTGTTGTCCATTGATGGGTTTTTAAACAGGTCAGGCTGAGAGGTATCTAACTGTGGGTTTCATGCTTCAACTTTCATTAGATAAAAAAAGTTCCTCAGAGTATATCTTTGGAGATCCCTTTTGCTTATCTTCAACCATATAGTACAGGATATAGCATCAATATACAACCACCTTTCTTAGGTTTCTTGAACTTTGTTGTTCAACTATTTCATCATTAAGGAAAGTTGTTGCTACTGATTATTTTTAATATATTCCATTGCAGGTAGCTTTCATTATTTTTTATTTTTAGTATTCTCCCCACTCCCCCCCAAGTTAATAAGCCCTTCAGCATATAAACATTACAAGACAGTTCTGAGCCTTACCTGTCCACAGGGAGCGTTTTGCAAGGATATGGTAAATGCCCCTGACGCACGGCTTTTTGCTAGAATATATTGACAGGTAGCTTGGAAAGTGTATTTGCGCCCATCAAAGGTCATGAAATGTGTGTCTCCTGAAACTGAGCATTCAGCTGACAAACATAAATAATGTATTGAAGTACGCAGAAAAGACAGTGTACTCTCAACAGTTACTACTGCTGTGGAGTTCATACACTCTGATACATGTTATAATTTATAAAATTGCATTCATATTATAATCAGGTACTAGGAACACAGTGAAGAAGTGATCCTTATCCTTGCTTTTGCTACAGAGTTCCTACCTGGTGCCAGGCCAAGATATCTAAACAATTTACCCTGGAGGTGACAATAACATGTAATCCTTACATTCTGGATATTTGCTTTGTGGCTCTAAAAATATTATTAGATTTGCAGAAACATTAAACACTCCCACAGTTAATTGACAACTCCAAGACCAGTGCTTGAATCTATTGGCAACCACAAGAACTATGCAAAATCCTTTTGACCTTAATCTCTTTGTAGTTTAGCTGTCCACCTGTGAAGTGGGAATAACACCCCTCATTCCACAGGCACATAAAAATAATTAACCGGTATTTGTACAATACCTAGATACTACATCTCCAGCCAACAACGCTGGGGCAGGGGGAAGAGGGGAAAGGTAATTTTGCCGTATGTCTTTCAAGTGAAGATTGCAGAGCAAACTTTACTTGAATGACAAGAATGACAATGTAGTGTCATCTACCAGAGACATGATGGTGGTGTATATGGAGACACATTAGTGCACTAAGTTGAAAGGCATATTCCTGCTCTTCAGACTATTTTAATATTTGATCTACTGTGTGCTGATGCATTTACATGTAGATAGAAATAAAAATTCAAAGTTATACAGTGAAATAGCTTTAGCTTATTAAGATCTAACAGTAATATTTTACCCAAAGTAGAAATTCAGTTATTAAATAGTTAGGTATTCAGAACTTTGACATACCTGGACATGTAAGATTTGTACAAATCCACTTTCCTCCAATGCAAGTGCTGAAATAAATAAATAAATGAAATAAATAAATGAATTAATTAATATGGAAAAAAAAGTTTCAGGCTTCTTTTCTTTTATTTGGTGAAGTACATATAGCTGTCCATAAGTTGTTTTTCCTGATTTCCTTCTATATGAAGTGGTTATGAGGCATCTTGAGTCTCACAAAAGGGTACAACAGTGCTATCACACCCAATAGAATGCCTGGGAGCTTTGGCAAGTAGTTGTCATGAGGATGCAATCAGGTGAAATTTCATCCGTGCATCCAATAACACTTTTCTTTCTTTTTAGTTCCTTGATAACCATTATAAAAGTTAAGGATTATTAAAACTGAGAAGAATAAATGCAAGCAATTTGAATCTTAATACTTTAAAAAGAAAAAAAATTGATAGGAAAAATGTTGCACATCTGCAAGCTCATCCTTTTAATCAGTTAAGTTTATCTGATAAAGACATTATCTCTTCCTACAAACTTTTCTTTCCAATGTATGAAATTAACTTAGAAATTCCCAAAAGAGCAGCTTAGTGTCATAATGACATTACACTGTTTGCATACAAGTGAGACAACAAAACCAGGAGAGAAAAAGTCAAAGTAATTCTCCTGTTAAGATTTTGAATTCTAGATTCCTTTTACTTTAAGGCAGAGTTTGAGGTGAAAAGTGTATTAAACATTACAGTATTCTCTGCAACATCTGTCATTCACTCTTATTTCACATTAATAGCTCTAGAGTTTCTTTTATCTTTCCCTTTTTTTGCAAAACATATGAAACAACAGATTATGCACATAGAAACAGTGAGTACTTATCAACTTCATTCAATTCTTAACTAAAACAGGTCTTACAAAAGTTGTCTCTCATGACCATGAAATGCTTAAGTTCACAGTGTAAAAGGAAAAATTACTAACCAGTTATTACATTCCTCATAAACCACTGAGCCTATTTCAAAGAAACTTCCATGGTAGTTACAAGGGCAGTCCGTAGGTTTGACACACAATTCATTTTCATATATTAAGCCTAGAAAAGATGAAACAAGGAAAAAATTAAATATCTGTACAAATGGCTGATGGAGCACTAAGTATACCCAAGAACAACACAAATAGTCATGTATGATAATAAAACTCTACACAATTTCTGCAGTAGTTTGATTTGAACTATATTAAATATATTATATTATGTGCACCAAGTACCAGAATTGCTTGAGATACAGTAACAATAGCAGGAATAACAAATACATAATATTGAGGTGCAGGGGAAAAAAAAACACCCATAAAGAAACAGAAAAACCAAACACACACACACACAAGCAAACAGCACACCATGCTGTTTTGAGAACCCTTGGTTTCTTTTTTGACACATTTACAGATTTTTGCTTTTATGTTTTAAGGTACTGTTTGGTCTTTATTTTATTATAATGTTGTTTTTTTTTACTTGTGGGAGGTTTTGTGTATGTTCCATTCTAAGAGATTCAAGAACTGAAAGGCTTTCCCAGGCCATAAATGTGTGACAAAGAAGTTATAAATCATCAGGGTATGTCTAAGAGGCAGGACTGTTCAGCCTGGAGATGAGAAGGCTGCGTGAAGACCTCATAGCAGCCTTCCAGTATCTGAAGGGGGGCTATAGGGATGCTGAGGATGGACTATTCATTAGGGACTGTAGTGACAGGACAAGGGGTAATGGGTTGAAACTTAAACAGAAGGAGTTCAGATTGGATATGAGGAGGAATTTCTTTACTGTAAGGGTGGTGAGGCACTGGAATGGGTTGCCCAGAGAATATGTGTTCAAGGCCAGGTTGGACAGAGCCTTGGGTGGCATGGTTTAGTGTGAGGTGTCCCTGCCCACAGCAGGGGGGTTGGAACTAGATGATCTTAAGGTCCTTTCCAACCCTAACTATTCTATGATTCAATGATTCAGCATATAACTTTCTCTGACCTCTTTTAGATAGAATTATGTACCCAAGAGAAGCCAGCAACAAGGATAAAACTGGACATCAGAGTATATTTTGGTAACAAGGGTGAAGTTTTGCTACAGGATGCATTGGTAAATACCTCACTTGCCGTAACTACACAACAGCAGAAGAATATCAATATCAAAACCTGTTTCTGGCCGCATGAATGAGTTTTAGTCATGTCACATTTCTGAGATCTCCTAAACACCTGACCTTGCAGTCATTCTTCAGGGTGAAAAAGAACCCAAACCAAACCATAAACTCAGCCAAATCTAAAGGCAAACAAAGCACACCAGAAAAAAAAATAACTTGCCAAAATACCACCAGACTGAGGAAGATGGCTGTCTGTTAACAACAGCACAAACCCAATTTTTCATTCAAATGGTCGAGTTCTACAGCTAGAATGTGGATCTGCGCTGAAACCTATTCCCACTTGCTAAGGGGAGGAAAAGGCATTTGTCAGTTACAAGCAAAACAAGGTTATTCATCCACATGCTCTGCACTGGCTTTATAAAGAGCTCCTGTGAGTGCCTTAATCTAGCCCCTAACTTTGGGCGATAGCAATCAGAATGTTACATGGCATTATATAATATATACTTGAGAAGCGAAACTTACCATCCGGACAGTAACATCCATCAATGCAAGGAAGTTCACTGTCAATGCACTGTGATTTTTGATGACATGAAACAGGGCAACAGTTGATGCATTCATTGTAGGTCAAGGGTTCAGCACATGTAATCACTGAAAAATAGAAACAGATAGAGACCATGTCTGCCAAAGCAGCGTTCAAGGCCAGGTTGAACAGAGCCTTGGGTGACACTGTCTAGTGTGAGGCATCCCTGGCTGTGGTAGTGGGGTTGGACCTCTGTGATCTTAAGGTCCTTTCCAACCCTAACTATTCTATGATTCTGTAAATAGGAAAGTACTGTGTTTCTGACTCAGAACTTAAAATAGACTGCAGATATTTATTTCAGGTATTTACTTTTTGATAAGTCAATTGGGTATCTGTTGTCTAGAACAATGAAACAATGGCTTTAATAAAACACACAAACACACAATATACATATGTTCACATTCTGCCCATTAAAGATGCACTGAGAACGAATAATCTTCAATTAAGCCAAGGAAAACTCAGGGAACTTTCTCACTATAGAGCTATTTAGATACTCAGACCAGCATAGGAAATAGCAGAATATCCAATAACAAATATTTTTGGAAACATGGAAGGAAACCTGCTGTCATGAATGATATAATAGTTCTGGTCCTGTGTTCCAGACAGGCAAACAAATCGGATGATCTCTTTCAAATTTACTTTCTGTGATTTCTAAGATTATGTCTTATACAAGAGTAATTCAAGTTCATTTTTAAACACTCATGACAAATTTTATGTATGAGAAATCCATGAAGACTTTGACAATATTTGAAAGAGTAGCTCTATGAAAAAACAAATGGTTAATCATCCTAAAGAATCTCTGATGTTTTAGTAAGAAGGTTCTTAAAACACATTCTAATAAGCTTAGTGCTTTAAATACATTCAGTACAAATTACACATATAAAAAAAGCCTTGAATTCAGTCCATATTTACGTTTTCAGTGAGAGCTATGTGAGTTCGAAATAGGAGAAAGGACAAAGAGGTAAAAGTATGAATACTTTTAAAAATACAACTATTAAGCAGTCTTTCCAAGTACAAAAGCATCTTCATACCACACTGCTGAAAGTGCATTCGCCATCCATGAAGTGGCTTTCCTGCTTGGGCACATGCTCTGGCATACTCAGTTAATGCTCGACACCAAGTTGCATTATCAACTGCTGACCTTACACAAATAAAAATTGACATATTATTTTCTTCCTACATTCAAACATGTCTTCATAACCTCATGAATACTCCTGCATTGTTTTTGAATCTACTTTAATAATGTTCTAAAGAACTGTGCTGTTTGTCTAGGTTAAAAGTGTTAAATGGCACAGTTGAAGACAAGTTATCAATAAATCTGAGACCTGATACTAACTTCCTGAATAAATCCATGGAAGTCAGAGATAGAGCAGTGTTAAGAGACCTGAATAAAGGCCTTGATTTTTACAAAAGGAAACACACTGTTAAGAAAACTCACAAGTGTGAAGTTTCCACCAGTGAGTCACCATGGTACAAGAAATGAAAATTATCTTCTGTCCTGCCTGTTAACTTAACTAGTTAAAACTGCTTGAACAAGGAGGTTAGCAGGTCGTAAAATGATAGCATAAAATCAGATAGTAATCAAATTCCTCTTTTCATTGGATTAACATATGGCTTGTGAATGACAAACTGACCTATGCACCATTACTGTTCATTAAGGTTAGAAACACTAATGATTTTGCACACTTAGAATCAAAACAGATGCCATATTCAAGGGCAGGTAGGCTAACAAGTTAGGAAAATATCTGGGCCTGATTTTGGTCATCCTTATACCAAAGAAAACAGGAACAACTCCACAGGAATTTCTGGCAGTAAAACAAGAAGTAAACCAGAAAGGCAATATAAAAGACTTAGATGAAAAAACATGCAGAAAAAGACACAAATTAGTCTTGTTAACATTTACAATTCATTCTCATGGTAAAAGGACAATGTTTTTTGAAATAGTTTTGGAACTACCCAAAAACATTTACTTACATGCAGAGATCATTGGTGCAGCTAGCCATAAAAGGAAGAGGACTCACATATTCACGACATGTTTCAAATGGGGGATGTAACAGGATATTACACAGCTTGTATGCCCTCTGAAATGAATAAGATAGCTGTTGTGAAGAGAAGGTTTTAAAAAATAAACCTAAGCAGAACAGAAGACTATGGTAAATCAGAACAGCCATCTTAGTCTGTGACTAGGAATCACTTTCATCTCATCAAGAAGCAGTGGCTAGCAACACTGCTGTCCATGCCAGAGTATTCTTCTATCCGAGGTCATAAGAGTAGTAGTAAAATATATCCATTCCCCAAGAAAGGCATAGGCCACGTTGCAGCTAAGCCCAGATGATGTGAAATAGTCTTCATTTTAGTCAAATTACAGAGTGAAAAGCAATAGAAATAAAACATGTATGGCATCAACTTTAGAATCATAGAATCACCTAGTCTGGAAAAGACCTTTAAGTTCAAGTCCAACCATTACCCCAGCACTGCCAAGTTCACCACTAAACCATGTTACTGAGGGCCTCATCTACATGATTTCTGAACACTTCCAGGGATGGTGATTCTACCACTTCTCTGGGTAGCCTGTTCCAGTGGCTGACAACCTTTTCAGTGAAGAACTTCTACATAATATCTAATCCAAACCTCCCTTGGTGCAGCTTGAGGCTGTTACCTCTTGTCCTATCACTTGTTACTTGGGAAAAGAGACTGACCCTTACTTTGCTACAACCTCCTGTCAGGTAGTTGTAGAGAGCAATAAAGTTCCTCCTGAGCCTTCTCCAGACTAAACAACTCCAGTTCCCTCAGCCATTCCTCATCAGATGTATTCTCCAGACCCTTCACCAGCTTTGCTCCTTTCTGGATCTGCTCCAGCACCTCAATGTCTTTCTTGTAGTGAGGGGTCCAGAACTGAACACAGTATTCAAGGTGCAGCCAAGTACAGGGTGATAATCATTGCCCTGGCCCTGCTGGCTATGCTATTGCTGACACAGGCCAGGATGCTGCTGGCCTTCTTGGCTGCCTGGGCACACTGCAAGCTCATGTTCGTCCACCAGTCATTACCCTCAGGTCCCTTTCTGCCAAACAGCTTTCCAGCCCCTCTTCCCCCAGCCTGTAGTGTTGCATGGGATTGTTGTGGCCCAAATGCAGGAGCCACACTTTGCCTTGTTGATCCTCACACCATTAGCCACAGACCATCAGTCCAGCCTGCCCAGATTCCTCTGCAGAGCCTTCCTATCCTCCAGCAGATCAACACTCCCACCCAACTTAGTGTCATCCACAAATTTACTGAGGGTGCACTCAATGCTTTGAAACTTTAGTTTTAGAGGACTTCATTTCAAGGTTATGTCTTGAAAATATTACTTAAAAGGATAATCTGCTTGACTGTGATGGACAAAAGTAAGAATAATTTTTAAACACTGGCAAATAAACTGTGATCTCATTCTGGTTTTGCTTACTTGCTTCTTTCCATCATTCCTAAGGGAAGAAATAGGAACCAGCTCTAGAATGCACCCATACTTTACAACTTTTCACCCATTTAAGTTCCCAGACTCAAACAATTCTATTGGTTGCTATACAGACAATATAATATTTGAAAGTCAAGAATGAAACACAGAATTGGGGCAAAAGGAGAAGAAAAAGGAAGCTCTTCTGCAGCAATCATTTAAATACATTTCTCCAAAGAGGAACTGTGAATATTTTCAGTCTCCTTCAAAGCAAGAAAAAATCTCACTCTAATTAGAATCACCAACTATTGCAATAATCCTTTTGTGTTGATCCAAACCTGTAGAGATTCATGGCTTTGTCTCAGGCAGGGTGGCTCATTGAGAAGAGATTTATCCCAGCTGGGTGCTCCTTGTGGAGGATTTTCCTGCCAGCTCTCTACGAATTCCGTTACATCGTCTGTCAGTTTTCCTAAACAAGACACACACACATACACACAGTGACTTGGAAGAACAACAGCATTTCTATATGATTTCCCAGAGAAACATCTCAATAATCTAAACACCACCTGAAGCAGAGTGTGCCAAACCCTTCCTATAACTAAATGAATCAACTGTTAGTCTGATGACAATCTGGTCCTTTAAAGAAACTCAAAAATACTTTTAGAAAGGACTATAATAGGAAGGCTCTAAAATGGAGGAAAAGCTTAAATAGGCATTTTGGCAAGGAAGGGCTTTAAGAGAGCAGGACTGTTCCTGCTAAATTCCTTGAATGGAAGACAGGAAAGAAGATGTGACAAACTGTATGTGCATACATAGGTCTACACTGATACTTTATATGAACTCCTAAAAGAGCGTCTAAAACCCAGGAAAGATGAGGGTAACAAAGTAATTTTCTACATCAATGAAAAAAGGTGTGACTTTTTCATATAAGTATGTCTACACTAGTGTTAAACTAGCTAAGGAAGGTATGATCCATCATAGACAAATAGTGACATTGATTACTGCTTGCAACACCCACAAATGCGTATCTTGACATATCTGTATTACTACTGCTCCCCAAGCTAATTGGACAAAGCTTGTATGCAGTGTAGCAACTCATGCTACAATCCCAGCTTTATGTGACTGAGATATCCTAGAGAAAGGTGGGAGGGTAAAGTCTCTGAAGGCAATGGGGAAAATGAACTATTGATCTTGCTATTAAGTTAAACATTTTGATTTAGTGAGCAAACTATTCAATGGGGGTAAGGACTGGTAATAGCACAGGGCTGATGTTTTCTGAAATTGAGTGGCTCTCAATACAAGAAACCTACCACATATAATCTGAGTGTTGAAGCAGTACTCTACAGAAATATCCTAATCTTAAAGAGGAGATGCAAAAATTTAAACAGCCCAAAGCAAAGATTTCGAGAAGTTTTTATCACCTAGCTTGAGATACCTTTCAAGGGGTCTGATTTCCAACCCCACCCCCTTCCAGTTCTTTATGCTTTATAGAGGTCTTCACTCAGTATTTACTGAAAGCCAAGCCTCTTGGAAGTGTCTGAAAGTTGGTACTGAATGATCACTGGCCACTTCTGAAAGTGTTAGCATGAATGAAAAGCTAGACCAAAAAAGGTTTCTCTTGTCTTCACTGACTTTATTTAGCAATGAAAATTATTGATTTGTTTCCAATATCTATATCTCAGACTTTCACAGGCTGAAAAATTGCTAAGAGGGCAGTAGACATTTAAAAATAGATTTTACATTTCAGGTCCCAAAACAATGAAGTACAAACATTATTGTAAGTAAGTGAGTAAGACAGCTTTTTAAAGATCTTTCTCCCCATAGCTCCATCTGTATTGAAATTGTCCCTTTTCACTAACAGCATCATCTACCATTTTAGAAGTTGCCCATCATAAATTCAATTAGCATTACAATCAAAAACTAAGCAAAGTAACATATTTTTACCTGAAAAAACCCTCCAGAAACCACAAAACCAAAAAACAAAGAAAAAAACCCAACCAACCAAACAAATAAAAAACAAAACAAAACAAATAATAACCCAAACAACAACCACCACCAAGCAACACAAGGGGGAATATTTTAAATACTCACCATAACTAGTTTCAAGATCATCCTGCAGGATAGCATTATTATTCCCACACAGTCCCTGTGTTTTGCCCAGGTATTCTGGTGCCATTTTGATATACAGTGCAGATGTACCATCCCAAGCCAGAGTAAAACCATTCTGGTGCCTGACTAGGAAGTATCCAGCTAGTTTCTGGATGTGTAAGTTTCCGATAATATAAGGTAATTGTACTCTGAAATGACACAGAAACAAAACCAACTTCGCATAAGAATATCACCATTACAAATAAATTACTTGCTGATTTAATGACTCACTCATGCATCTGAAAAACCCTGATATAAATATGGAGTTAACTCCACTAAAAGAGATGAAGCTGCAAATAGCTGCAAAAACCAAAGGATGAATGTCAATGGCACCACTTCCTAATACTGTATACTGCTTACTTACATATCACCTTCCTCAGACACTGCTCTGTAGACTGGGAGTATTGCTGTGGTCTGGATACTTACTTTGAGCTACCAACAAATAAGTGATCTAGTTTACATCTCTGTTATCAAAACATTACCATGAGATTAATTCCAGTGTAACTACAGCATCAGAAACATGAGTGCAATTACCCAAATCCTTTATAGGTGACTTCAGTGCTCATCTTTATCTGTTCATCTCCAGAAAAGAATAAACTAATGGACCGTTTGCAGGAATAAGGAGAAGAATGGCAGTCAGGATCATTATTCACCTGCCAAATAAAACCACTAGTGTCAAAGTCAAAGATTTTAACCAAATTCTTTGTAATCCACATTATACAATTAATACTCCCATTCCCACTGTCAGCATGTGAACAAGTAGTTTGGTCCCCAAAAAGATGAGTACAATTAGCACTCTTCTTGGAGTGGTCTTTTCATGGCAGCAGCAGGCTTTGGAAGTACATGCACCAGTTTTCTTCCAGCTGTTTATGCTATTGTAACTGGTAGGATACATCATGTTAGAATTATATCAACATTTCATTCTAGAACACCATACTACCATCTCAAGTTATCTTTAATATCTTAAAATTAATGCATTATTAGCATGTTCAACAACAGTTAAAAGGAATGTAGAAGCACAGACCCTTACCTGTATGGAAAAACTCTGTTCATCTAATTCAGTATGTCTCACAAGCACGTATGTGGATTTCCCAGAAAAATAATAATAGAGTCCATCAAAAGTTTCAAAATTATATTGACCCCATGTTCTGCATATATGATCTCTTTCAGCACCTGTGTTATATACTAACAAAAGGAGAGTCACTTGAGACATAGTGCTGGTTTTTAGATTCAACCTGCAGTTGAGATGTAATAGTATATGTGTTATGTTGTGAAATACCAACACAGAAAAGAAAGGGAGGGAAAAATAGTACAGCATGAAGGATCCTTTTGGTAGTGGGCAGTTATTCTTTAGCACTGGGAATCCAAGTACAATCCCAGAAACCCAGTTCATTTTCTCCATTTACACACCTGTCTGGCATCTTGGTCCAGTTGCATTAAATCGACTGCAGTTGCACAGCAGTCTGTTGACACATTCTCCTCCATTAAAACATGTAAGTGAATCTGAGTGGAAAAAACAAGGCATGTTAGATATAAATTATGCTAATTTGTATTCTTAAAACCGAGTTCTGTCACTGAATGCAATCCACGAATGACAGGAGACGTCAGCTTATCATTTAAATGTCCAGGAAAATCCCACAGGCCTCCACAAACAGGAAGCATACTGCAAAAGCTTTACCTCAAGAAATACAGCCAGATGAAGTAAATCTATTGCACATTTACAGAAGCCAAATCAAGTGGTGACATGAATTAGTCCCCTAAGCAATGAATAGAGGAAGTGAACAAGTATTACACATCAAAAAATGTCTATATCCTTATATAAAAGACTGCTACAAATAACACTTCATGGATAAGCTCTACCAGGATGAGAATGTACTGCCCTGAAAAAACACCAGCTGTAAATTTCTGAGCTGCCGGTCCTCCTTCATCTTGCAACTTTCAAGTGTACCAACCGCAAACATTTTCCATAAAGACACAGGCCACTTCTCTTTTTTCTTATTTTATTAGAGGAATGCTTAAGTACAGCAAGCCTACTGTACAGAAAGCAAGCTCCCTGACTCACAAACAGGTTTCGGTTTGTGAAAGAAAGGTATTGGATTATTTACTTCTTATTTTCCCTGGAAGATCCCCTTTAAAATCTGAAAAACAAGTTTTCACAGTCTAAGGAAAGATGTGCAAAAGCAGAAACAAAATTTCTTGCTACTAGATTTACACTTTCTGATTAAATGCTTTTCTAACAATTGTAATATATTCGCTTATTTTTCTAACATTAGATCTTTTAGAACTTAAGTCTCTTTAGGAAAGCATTTGATTTCTAACAACTGAATTAGGAATTGTTGTGTTTGTTTAACAGAAACTGAGATAGTATTTGTTGCAGACAAGTTTCTCACAACAAATTTTTTCAGGAAGAAGCAAACTAAAGACTCAGCCTTCTTGTTCTCTTTATAAACACCATCATTCTTGAAAAAATATCTCTTATATGAATTTTTGAGTAGTGTTCTGAAAACCAGAAATCACGAAAATTATATTTTCTTCCATTTCAGTAAAACCCTCACTTATGAAACATCACGCACGCACAAAAGTCCTGACGTACCTAGAGTACATCCAGCCTTTTGAGAAAGCTTTGCTAAAAAGGGTTTGAAGCTTTGTTGCAGGCAAAATAAAACAAGATCCATTACTTACAATCCAAGTAAACTCTAACTGAGTTAGTCTTGACAGTTAGACTTTAGATTTGCTTTATGATTCATAGTCCACACCATCTTTAAGTTTTGTTCTCACTTTTGGCATTCGCTAAACACAGACATCAAAAGCAGATTCTGAACTACTTTACAGAATAACTGAAATGCTTTTTTTATAAATTGATTGCAAGGAAAAAAATGTTTTCTAAGAGGTCAAGATTTGACCATTGACATCCTACTGCTCTTAAACGAATGCTGAAATCTTGATTCCAGTAATAGCAACAGAAAAATAAATCAGTTTCTGGGGTTGTATTCTCCCTACTGATTCTTCTCCCCTCTTCTACAAGCTTGTTTTATTGCTGGCTTACCAATGCAAATTTCCTCCCAACATCTTTTATAGCACAGTTTGCTTTGCCAGCATCAGAAAACATCAAGAGAAGCACCATTACAGAAGCCAGTGAGCCATACTTTCTTACTAAAGCCTTTAAATACACTAAAATAATCCAAAAGCAAGTTGCACATGGAGAGTGTCCTGTGAGTGTTTCCTACCCCAAAGCAAGTAAACCTTTGAGAAGAATGAGAAACAGCATTTTTAAGAAGATGCTACAAACATTCTCCAGCTCCTACTTTAGCTTGAGCAAGACTTCCAAATGCTTCTTAAAATCCTCACCTGGCTTGCAAGTATCTACCACACACAAATTACTTTCATATGTACACGCCAAGTAATAGTGCACCCAAAATTTAGTTCACATGCAAACTAGTCAGAATTTATGGATAGACTGATGTTAAGACTGCTTTTTGTGTGGCTACCTCCATCAGCAGCAGCAGCTGGTTTTCCCAAGTGTGGTCAATGTAGAAGTTTAATGAGGAAAAAGGTCATATTTGAAGTTCTTTTGGCTTTCTGAGATCCTAGAAACTTAGAGAAATAAGCTCTATGCTCACAACTACCTATGTTAGAAAGAGGAAGACTTCAAGAAATTTACAGTGTACCATAATTAAAAAAGAAAGCTTACATGCTCATCTACTTTAGGCCATGTGATTTTATAAAATATTATCTTCAGTTATAGTTTATAGAACACTTCCTTACTGAGTTCTGCCAAAATCTGTCAATAGAGTTCATTAATGTTTATTTAGCCATTTTCATTAATGTATTGCAAATACATTATAAATATTAATTACTTACATGAAGACTTTTGAAATACCCAATAAATTTTGATTCCTTTATTTTCAAAACACACCATTGCTCCCCCACCCCAAAAGCAAAAGAAAAAGAGACCATGCAGAGAAGAACCAGGCAGGTGGACAAAGAGAACACTCCTTTGCCTAGCTACCCCAAATACACAGCTCCTTTCCCTGCCCAAGCAGCATGTGTTCAATTTAAAAACTAATGCAAGCACCATGTAGAAAGGTCCCTATTTATTCGGACTGAGCCATCTCATTTACATACTCACAGGGACCACTCTTGTCACTAATGCAAGAGCTTTATTCCTCTTGTCGAGAGAGGCAGACATCGATCTCTTTCATCTCAAGTGTTGCGAGACCTGTGTAATCAGAGATCATGTCTCTGTTCTTTGCTTCTGTAGGAATATTCCTGTCCAGTTACAATAATGTGCAATTCAACTTCAAGTCATGTTCCATGTAGCTGTAGAGGAAGTTATCCCCCTTTTGATGTTTCAGGTTGAATGATTCCCCTTTAAGCATGGCTCAGGTAACCTACTTCAAGCCACATTTATTCAGATTGTGAAGTCAGCTGATCTGGGGACCCTTGCTGTCACTGGAAAGGATCTCATTGGCTCCCTTTTAGAGTTAGTTGATTATGAATTGGAAATTAAATAACTATGAGTATTTTCTTCTTTATGAAGTTCTCTTCTGTCTATGCATATATGATTCCAAGAAAATATGACAAATATAGTTCTTGTATTTATCTCCCTTTTTACATCACTGCAGAATATCTTTCACTACACTGCGCAGAAGAGCTCTGTGTGTGAACCATAGGTATCCTTAACCAGGTAACAAGTGGAATATGGCATTGACTCAGATCACATTTAGTGCTCTTCCTACTGTAAACAATGTGGCCTTTTTTAATTATCCAGTTCTGCTCAACTAACACAGGAACACTTCCTCAGGTATCCAGAATAAAGATCCTGTAACAGTTCACTCTGTCATTGAAGAAATATAAGCTCCCTAAATAAGTTAACCTATATGATCATAGCAGAAGTTTAGGTCCCTTCTAGAGACATGAGAAATGTTTTGACATCTGCAGAAAGGTAATAAACATCTAGAGTAAGTGAAGGTTAAAATTAGGAAAGGTCATGGCAGAATATTGTGTCCTTCGTTTACCTGAAAGTGACCTCTATTAAAAAGTCCTTAGCTTTTCTTTCTCCTTTGACATTATGCCAGTTGAGTGCATTGGGTTGGAATCTGAAATTGAAAACTGGTGAGAGTTTTCTAGTAGAAAGTAGTAGGCCTAAGTAACATGATTTGTCTCGAATACGTAATAATGGGATTTCTAACCAGTGAGGCCTTTACAACCTGCAGGTCACTCTGATAATATGACCATTGTTGTCATGAAGTGACTTGTCTCAAATTCCTTCATTATTGAGTGGGGTGAAGACTTGGGATCATCTTGTAACACAGGTCTGAATTCTTCTCTGCTGCTCCCGTTGCTTAAATACTCCAATCATCTGGTAATTACTGAACAGGCCGCAACCCCACTTAATATGTGGATACACTATTTTAGTCCCTTGGCCCCATGAAATTTTGTTTGAAGAATTAAGAAGAAGGAACTGAACTAAGCGTCAGGCAGTGAGAGACTTCAGGCTACAGCTGGCACCCTATAAACAACAGCAGAACCTCCCGCTCATTATTTATCACGGCCTTTGAAGCAGGGAGACTAACCTAGCCTGTTTGCATTTCATTGCAAGTGTTTTTAGTGATCACTGTGCAAGCTTCACAGAGATGGCTACTGTAGTCCTTCCCTGAAAAAAAGATGCTTTAGTAGCATAATTTATATCTAACAAGAGGGAACTCCAAAATCCATTTTGAAATACACTGCAGTCTGAACAAACACTGGTTGGCCTTCCAAATGTTTTTCACCTAGGTTCCAAGCACAATTATGCCAATTTCAAAAAACTGCTCAAAGGCATCTTGCATCTTCATCAAAATGAGTATTTATTTTGAAATATTGTTACAGATGCAATGGATTTCATGTGTTTGAATCTATAATATTGTGTCCCCTTAGTTTATTATGCTTTCTTATCTCTAATGATTACTTAAGATCTCAAACTTATTTCAGTTGCAAATGGACTACATGTACAGATTTGCTCACCCATTATTTGTTCTTCTCATCTTCTAACATCTTTATTAGGAATAAAATAAGTACAGCTCAAAGAAATTTATATAACGTCAAGCCCTTTAGCATGAAGGGAGATAAAGCCACTAAAACTTGGAGCTCCTCTTGGAGCACACAGAGGTGACTGCAAATAAAGTACATATCTGTATCCCATAAAAGAGTCAAGATCTAAATCAAATGTACATATGTACATATATGAAATGTACATATATGAAATGAGTAGGATGCAATTTTAATACTTTAATTAGAACTAGAGCCTTCCAGTGAGATGCAGATTTTCTGCCCTGGTACATCATTTGAAATCAGCCTTTAAGCACACATACTGTAAGGAACAAGTATCTTCTATAGTAACAGTGACTTAAACGGAAGACTCATGTCTGTTACAGCATTTCAACATGAGAAAATGTGACCTGGTAGGTATTTTCAGTAGTAGTTTGAAAATTTCTTCCAGAAACAAGTTGTTTTTCCTGTCCCAGGTTCTCAATATGCTTCAGCTCTGAAGTTTGTTTGTTTGTTTGTTTGTTTTTTTGTTTGTTTTTTGTTTTTTTTGTTGAGTTGTTTTTTTTTTTCCCTAGGTACAAAACCTAACACAAGAATTTATCCCTTGGCCTTTATTTGTACTATACCAACATTTTGTTTCATTGACCTATATGACATTACATCACTTTCTAAACTACCTTCAGCTGGCTAATACAACACAAAGGAAAAGAGATCTATTGCATACAGAAATAGGAAGCAAGAAAAAATGTTAAATGCAACAAGAATTGACTGTAATAGGATGAATTGTAAATTTGTTATAATAACAGTTTCATAAGTATGTCAATAATTTTCATAGAGACATCACTAAAATGAGGGGGGGGGGGGGAAAGGCTGACAACCTACCTTGCTGGGTTTAAGAGAAAAAAATAATAAAATAAGGAAATCTTTACTATGTCCTGACATTAGTGCAAATCTCTGTCCATGGGCAGAGCTATAGCAGCTTGCATCTCTTCTGATAGGAAGGGCCAAAACTTTGAGTTAACATGTGATACTTGCTACCCATTTCATCCTTCCTCCTTCTAGATTTGATCTTCCCCTTCTCAAACATTAAGACTATTTAAGAAGCAATGAACCTACACTCCCTTAGCTGGAGTTCTTAAACAGAAGTCTTGTTCTGCAAAGGGTTTATGTGCAAGTTTATTATTGCACACTTTAACAGCAGCACAAGGAATCTTACATGCCTTTTTTTGAGATAGGTGTTCTGAAGCGGAACATGAAATCCATGAATCCAATTAAAGGAATTTTCACTTGGAAAAAAATAAACTTTGGGAACCAAACAATTATTATGGCAACAAACTTCTCACCTTCTCCTTGGAAACTGCTTTATTTGGTGAAGAAAAAAAAAATAAAAAAGTGTAGATAACTATTTGGACAAAAAGCTGGTGAAACCCTAAAAAGCAGATGGTTTTGCTGGTAGGGATTGCTATATTTGTAAAGCAATTTCATCATACATTATATACATATGTATATATATATATGATATTTTTCATATACTGGAGAGGTTCATAGGTAATAACCTTTACCTGAGCAATCCTGTGCTTCTCTAAGTAATTTTATTATTCCCTCACATTCAGCTACATACCTCTTAAAAGTTTCTAAAAATGGTATGTATTAAAAGAAATCTTCTGGAGAGAGCACAACCCTAATCACAGTTAACAACTTTCTCCACACCTCAGTCTTGGATTTTGTGCTATAAATACAGGGGATGCAAATCTAGACTATTCACTATTAGGTAGGTTCCACATCCAATGCAACCAATCAGGCTGACTGAAAAGAAACTAGAGGTTTTGCATCACTAGCTAAAATTACTGTGAATTACTTTGCCTGATGTGTCTCCTTTGTAGAAGAAAATAGTGACAGGGGCTCTACAAAGAACTAAGACAGAGGGTCTCTATCCTTGAACAAAGATATTTAAGCCTGTCCTTTTCATTGTTGAAAGCAAGATGAAACAAAGTCAAAATACAAATTCCTCAGGCAAATACCCACCACTGCAAGTTGCTGACTAAGAGTACTACATCCTGCTAACCCATAGACGACCTCAGCAAAGCCATAACAAACAAAAACACCTTCAAGCACAGAGGAGACACAGGACAGATAATTTAATGGCATCTAGGCAGCAATCCACATCTTCAGGCATATCACTACAAAAGCAGTTTTCTCTGCTGAAAGATCTTCATTTAAAAAGCTGTAGTTAGAGACACTCCTTCAAAGGATCAAACCAGAATCAGGGGTAAACTTAAAGCTAGATCAAACCTCATGATAAATTCTCATATTCCTAAAAAGAATGTGACAATTTGAATATGATTTTGAGACCAATCAGGGTAGGCCCCACTTATCATAAGGGTCTGTACTAGCTATTTTGGGGGTTTTTTTTGTTTGTTTTTTTTCTTGGGAAAAATAATTGATTCAGAATATAAAGAACAATCAAAGTTACATCATATAGAAACATAATTAACTTACTGGATGGTCCACATTTCATACTGTGAAGTCTCCTGTTCCGAGACAAGGACACTGTAGCAGATGAAGCATTATAAACTGCCATTCCAGATTCCTTTCAGAAAGAACAAAGATATCACCAGCTACAGCCAAGGCACTTTAAAAACCTCTTCACAAACTATCAGTAAATTTACCATTTTTAGTAAGCTCACAGCTTCATATTATATACTAAAAAGTTATCAAAAACACTATCGTAAAGTAAAAAGTGCAGTCACTCTACTCCAGACTTCAGTAAAGGAGCAAAGTACATTATATGTGAAAACAGTTGGCAGATTTTAAGTCAGTTAAGCCAACGTGCCTAAACCTGTCTATCTAAACACTATCCTCTGTGCCCTTCTCCATACCCTTTCATTCTCATTTACAGCCTCTGTACATCATATGCATTTAACAATTCTCAGAATAAACATTCTGCTGCCTCGGAAAGTCTTATCACTCACTAACAGTTACTTAAAATAATTAACAATGTGCCTGAATAAATCACTAAGCAACATCATCATAATTAGCAAAATGTCTTATAAAGCCCTGGATTCACATTATTTTCCAAGAACCTGATCCAAAACAGCAGAATCAAGGGGGTTTTTCTGTATGTTTGTTTAAACAAGAAAAAAAAACCACAACAAAAACACAAACAAGAAATCATAAACACCCAGGTTAATTTTCAAAATATTTCCTACCATCTTCCCCTTAATCTCCTCCTGTTCTAACATTCAAAAATATGTGATGGCAGACTAAAGCATTTATTCTCTTGCATTACCTTTCTCATAGGCACTTCTGCCTTCAACAGCTGGAAGCAAGGTATCGTTTTGTTGTATTCGTTTTCTATACTATAGTAAAAGCTTCTTTTTTCTCCAACAAATATACCTTTGGCGCTCTAGTGGTTTTAGTTTGCTCTACTTTGTAACTTTTTTTTTAAATTGGTAAGTCATGATACTTCAACTCCCCTTCATTCTTCCCACATTCATCTATTAATCCAACTTCCATGTCATTCTTCCATCTATCAGTGGCACCAGCCACAGTCCCTGCACTCTCTTACCAAGTCATACCGGAGTACAATGTCAAGGATTCACTTCAATACTTTAAGGGAATAAAACAAAACAAAACGAAGAACCCATAGATTAGGCGTTAACAGCTTAAAAGTCAGTCATGGTCACTAGCCATCCAACAGCATCTAAGTAAATTGGAGGAACAACATTCTTTCACAGTTTTACCCAAGCATGGTGCATAGTTTAGGCATGAAGTGTGAACATACAAGGTCTTTCCCTTGCAAGTGCTAAGTTTTAGCATTTGAAACACATCAAATTAGAAAAAACAACAGCCTATATCATCTACTTGAGAAAAGAGAAAAGCAGGCCTGCTCAGCCAAGTTACAAGAATCCATTGATATTTTGTCATGATGTGGTCCTATTGAGACATTCATGACAGCCAGAAGATTAAGTCCTAATTAGCAAAACTTTGTCAAAACAATGTTGCTTACCTTCTCCATAATCACCTTTGTTCTATAACATCTAGGGTGAATAACCTTTTTCTCAGTTCAGCATGAATTTTTTGATCCTCAGAAGCCAATGGCGCATGACAGTAAGTTTTTCCTTATTGAAGAGGCAATTACACTTACTCATTTATTTAATACAGTAACACAAATGTTACAGCAGTTTCATATTATTTCTTCAACTCACTCTATGAAGAGCAGCAGCTATATCCTCTAAAATGTTCGTATTTCAGTGACAAAATTATAGAATAAAGTTTCCATTAAGGAAAAAATCAGTGACAAATTGTCAAATAAAATGACAAATCTGTTACTAAACAGCTACAATGTATATCTACAGTGCTACAAACAGCTGAGCAAAATATTTCCAAAATAACATTACAATTGGCTACAGTGTGTGCCTAAAATGTTGTTAAAAAATGAAGCAGAAGATTTCCAAATTGACATCATAAACAACACCAGCTATGGCTACATAATTTTAGCTGAGGACTTAGCTTGATTTATTGCATTTAATTTTCATGTCCTAGAGTTTTATCATTCACACTTCTCCATCTATTGCCCAGTTCTACAAGTATTTTTAAAATATATCAGCTGTTTTCTGCATTCTGAGTACCTATTTAGATATTTGACTGAAAACCAGTCTTAGATGCTATGTCATTAACTAAATCTTCATGGACATAAAATTCTGCAGAGGGCTTAACTACCATCGCTTAATGTTGCTTTACCTCTTCACCTTGAAGGAGCTTATTAAAAGCAAGAACATGTAAAAATGCATTATTGGTTTAGACCCTTCAAACAGCTAGAACTCCTCAGGTTCCTCCTTTTTTAAAACCAATTTATATATTTCTTGACATGTTTATTTATATGTGATTTTTTTTCCTTTCTCTTAAGCTTATTTCTTACTTAAGATTTCTGCTCAGAAGGCTAACAAAAAGGAAACAGTGTCTATTATTGTATCTGGAATTCAGCAGGGGTGTGTGCAAAAGGGGGGAATCTCAATCCACAAGCATTTGCTTTTATTGGTGGTTGATTTTGTTACCTGTTTGAAGTTATGTGCCTTGATTTTCGCTGACAGCTTTTCCCAGAAGGAGCAAGCAGAAAGGCAACTCCTCTGCAGAGCTTCAAACAAGGGCTACAAAGCAAACTTTCCTTTTCCCACCCTCAAACAAGGGAGCTGGAACCACACACCCTAATTACATTTCAGCAGCACACCATCAGTGATACAATCAGGTTGCCAAGACAAACCGCATCCAAAACCCAGTACTGAATTGTAGTGATCTGATACTGCCAGCTCATTTACTTTTACTAAGAAGTGAAAAGGCTCCCACAAAGCAATTATTGCTGAGTAAGCCAGATCAGACCCCAGCTTTCCTTGGAGCAAGGATGCTTCATATTTACGTGCAACTATTTCCAAATGAGCTGAAGGTCTAGCTACCAACTTCCCTCACTGCTTAAACATTTTAAAGCCCAAGTTTCCTTTCATACATGACTGACACTATGGGGTGGTGAGACACTGGAACAGTTTGCCCAGACAAGTTGTGGGTGCCCTGGCAGTATAGGACCAGGCTGTCTGTCCCAGTCCATAGCAAGGGGCTGGAACTAGATGATCCTTGAGGTCCCTTCCAACCCAAGCCTCCTTGTGACCAGGATAAGGTACACGTTCGACACTGAAGGACAAGTCCTAAAGAACCACAAGCGGTACAACCGCTATCAGATGCATTGACGATTTCATGGTAACGTACCGATATACTCAGGTAAGACACGAGAATCACGTTACCCTGACGCCAGGCACCCCTCAGAGGGATCTCGCCAGGCGGCGGTTCAGGCAGGGAAAGCCGGGCACCCATCTCCGGCACGACCGGCCGCACTGCACCGCCTAAGTGCGCTCCGGTCGCACCGCTGTCCGAGGGAGTGGATGGACCACGGCAAGGGGCTGCCTTTCTCTCAGGGGGCTCTTCAGAGAAAAGCCGCGCGTCTCGGCTGCCTCATCTCTGCGAGGAGACCCCACAGCGCCGACCCGCTACGGCCGCCCGCTGCCCCTCGCAGCTCCCAGCCCGCGCTCCATACCTGCGCTGTCGCTGCGTGGCCGTTCTCTCTCCTAGGTCCTGCGGAGCTGCCTTCGCTGAGAGCAGGAGAACAAGGCACAGTTTGCTCGGTACAGACATATCACACCCCACCCTGCCCGCCTCAGGGCTGCCAGCCGCACACCTCACTGTGCCTAGACGAGCTCTTACCTGAGGAGGGGTATGTGCCCGCCGGCAGGGAGCTGCGCCCAGGCATCCCACGGATATAGGGCTGGAAGGCAACAGTAGCAGGTTAATGATGGCTAGGATTGCCTCACCCTGCCTCTTCTCCCGCTCCATCCTCGCGCCCTGCCCAGGGGAAGGCTCACCCACTAGACAGGCGCACAGCAGCGCTCCGACAAGGAGCCGAGTCTCCATACGGACAGACGGACGGGCAAAAGACAACGGCAACTTCCTACAGAACTCCAGCCTTCCAGCGCCGGTCTCTACCTGCACCTTGGACTCAACCCGCCCTCCCGGGCGGGGCAGCAGAGTGATTTATCTGCCACCCCCCTGTCCTCCACCCCTCGCCCCCAGCGTAGCCCCGGCCCCATCAGCACTGCCCTCTGATCTACCGCGCCGGGAGCCAGCTCTTCGTTTATTCTTAGCTTTCCACCCTTCTCGGGTTTAGGATACGACTAGTGCCACGGCTTGTCGGAAGGAGCTGAAGTCTCCACCGCGGGGTACAGTGCCAGGCTGCACCCCACCACTAATGCTAGCAAATCAGGGGCTTCTCGTTCCCTCCTAGGAATGTCGCACGACCAAGAGATGCCCGCTTATGCTGAGGTGCAGCAAACGTTGTCGATGATTAGCAAGGAATATTGACCCCAACCCACTGAAATAGGTGTCAGAACTGAAGTAGTGGAAGGCATGAGTAAAGTGAACTCAATGCAACATACAGCAAATGTGTGTGGGTTATTTCCATGGGTCCTGGTAACCTCTTTTCACCATAAACACACACCCTTGAATCTGGAGCTCTTTGTAGACACTTTTTTTTTAGTTTTTATTATTATTATTTCTCCTCACGATCACATTTGTTTCCTTCCATTACTTTTCTTCCCTTTTCCCTCTTCCTCTCACTGTTACCTTTTTTTCTGCTCTTTTCCCTTTCCCATCTGCTGCTGCCTCTCTCCCCATCATTCTTCAGATTGCACATCTTATAACAGAAGGTTTAGACGCTGCCCATACCAGGTGAGAAACTCCCAAATGAAAAGGGGCCTTTTCTGACTGCTTTGGGAAGTCTGTTAACAGCAAGTCATTAAAAAGATCCCTTTTCTGCCTTTGTAATTTGTTCCTGTGGATTGTGTTTCTTGCTGCAACAAGTGTTTCATTTCTAATGAAATGATGGAAAACTAGTGATGTTTTCAATAAGGATGCTGTTCTCTCCTGTAAATGTTGGAAGGAGAATGTGTATGAGAGGAAAGAAAGTGAGACAAAAAAGATATTCTTTAAGTTCAGCATGTCCTTTTCCCAATAACCCCAAAGAGATTGCTAGAATTATGAGCTAGCCTCAGCCTGCAGCAGAGCCAATCTACTCTGAATGCATCATGCCCTTGGCTTTGGTGCACTTTCTCTGATCCATCTTACATTAATGAAAGTAGATTGAAAGCAACAGGAATCAGTTTACACAACACGCATTTTAATGTACATCTCTGCCTGCTAAATGGACTGCCAGCTTTATTCATTATCCCTTAATGCCAAAAGTAGCAAACAATGACTGAAACTAGTTTAAAGCCAATTTAGAAGCAATTTGATTTTTTTGCTAGGAAAGATTTCATTATACAAAACTAATAAACAGTCAAAATTGCACTGTATTTTATTATGCCATATTTGAAGTAATGGAAACTTAAGAACCATCTCAAAAATTAACTTATTATCAAACTCATTTTGGAGCATGGGATAGCTTTGTGGGTTTGTTTGCTTTGTATTTATGCAGAGTGGGGCACAGGAATTCATGTAACAGAGCAGACTAACAGCCTGCCAAGCTCCTTAGCCTTTCTGTGGTTTATCCTTTACCTGATGATTCAGAGCACTTTTCACATCACCAAATGAAAGTAATTCCACAGTGTTTCACTATTTGGAGGAATTTCTGACTCCTGGAAAAATTATCTGTATGAATAAAAAAGTTACTTTCCTTCAAATGTACATAACCTTCAGCTTATAAAAGATCTATTTCTGTAATCTTCTAGAACTGATTGATAGATACCAATGGCTGTTACAGTCTATATTTAAATTTCAAGATAACATATGTAGTATTTTATGAGTCCTTTAAATTTTATCTCCTTCCTTCTCTTTTCAAGTATAAGACAGTTTTGCATACACAGGGAGACATTCTATAGCTGTGTGTCTAATGCTTGCACAGAATACCCGTTCAATATTGTGTAGTACTGGAACCTGGGTAGAAGAGAAATGGTTTGTGTGCTAGTAGTTGCCCTTCTAAAAGGAAATTGTTTCCTGAAAGCAGGTTTTATATTTGTACACAGGCTTAAAATGCATTCCTCTCTTCTTCCTGCCACCTGATCTGACAAATGGATAGTGTCTGTACTGCTGAAATGTTCCTGTACAGCAAAGTCATCCTCTGACAGGAGTAAGAGCAATTTCTGAAGGAGCTAGCGTGGCTTACAAAGATTATCACACAGGATTCCAGCTGTATTTGGCAGTATGAAATTTTTTATTCATGGCTTTATATAAACAGGTTTCCACTACTGTGCCTACATAAGCCCCTTTCTCTCCAGAGTTATGAGAGTAAAGGAGATTCTGCATAGAAAGAGAGACATATATTAGCAAGTCTTTTCCATTTGCTTCCAGCATCAATTGCAGAAGTCTTTATTATTGTGTACTACAGTAGGAAAAGTGGGAGAAGATGAAGTATCCTCAAAGAGATTAGTCTGAAATATGCTCCTTTTCAGGTGCGCTGAGCTTGATTGCTACAAAGTTACTCACTGCGGGCATGTCAGAAACGACATATGTATGCAATAATACCCTGCTAGTGGGAAAAGCTGGTGGAAATCACTTATGAAGTGATAAGTCAGATTCACCCCACTTACCTAAAAATAAAATGATTATTTGCAGTAATGCAATTTATTGAAGCAAGCTATATTTTTCCCCTCCCCCCCCCCCCCGAGGGTATTTGTATGCTTTAAAGTTCACATCTTCGTGCTTTTCTTAACTAGTAGGGCTAGTGACATATCTGCAAATACACAGGAGAATTTTGGATGTGAGCCCTGTGCCCTATGAGACGCACCCGTTGTAGAAGTGAGCCTAGAGAAAAGGCCAGGCAGCACACACATGCGGAGGGGGAGCTTTTCTCTTTTCTTTCCGTTTTGCTGTGGCCTTAAACAACCGCAGCTTGCGGTCGCAGGGAGGTTATCGCTGCCCGGCGGCTCTCACTGCTAACGCGGCTCGACACGGGAGCGGCGGCGGGCGTGCCTCCCACAGCCCCGGGGCGCGGCCTCGCCTGCGCAGCGCCCGCACCCTGCGCAGCGCCCGCATCAGCACACCATGGAGCGGCGGGTTGCCCGTGAGTTCCGGCACAAGGTAAGAGAGCTAAGCCCACAGGTACTAGCGGTAGCTTCACTGGGTGAGGGTTGGCTGTGGACATTGCTACTTCCCCAGGGCCAGGGTGAGGTGAGACAAAGCGCTGGGCTGTGACACGGCCCTGGCCACCGGGAAGGCCCGGAGCGTGCTGCCGGCACTGCCCGCAGCAGAACGCTGCCTCTGTTACCGGAGTGAGAGACGGGAAGGCAAAGGCTCGGGGAGCTTGGCGCTGCCGTGCCAATGGCGGGGAAGCGGATGGCAACCTCTTACGAGCGGGTAGTTGTAGAACTTCAAAGCCTGGAGCAGGGAGGGAGAGAAGAGGAAGAACATTTTCCTGGTGCACGAGCATTTTCAGGGCTTGATACAATTTATTTTAATGTCGCGTAGGAAATGTGGCACCTATCCCAGCACAGGGGAGGCAAAGGTGCAAGTGCTGTAGTCCAGGCCCAGGCGGCTCAGCCGATGCTAGGACGACTTCAGCTCCACCTTAGCATTAACGCTTGCGATTGTGCATGTGCAGTCATGTGTAAATACACTTGATACATGGAGCAACTCAGTCTGCCTGCCACGTCGTTTTGTCATTTACCCAGTTAAATAAGTGCTCAGTGGAGCTCAAAATTGCATGAGCAAAGTAAGCTTAGAAAGCAATATTTAAGGAAAGGAGGGGGGAAATGGCATATGTGTTTATGGTTTTGCATATCTGTTTAGGACTCTCAGACTAAAGTTTTCCATACTGTTTTGTGGGGCTTTTTTTTTTTTTTTTTGCTTTTTTTTTGTTTGTTTGTTTGTTTTAGGCAAGAGACTGGTTGTTTTGTTGTATTTTTTTGTCATCTTGAGAATGGAGTTTCTTCGAAGTGATGTCGTGTGTTTTATAGAATTATCACCTGGTAATAAACACACTAACTAAAGAATTGTTAGGATGATGTACAATGGCTGCAAAAAAAAAAGAAAAAAGACAAACCCAAACAAACTCAGCTATATGATAAACTGAATTTCAAAAACATTAAGGAATGGGGTAGTGCATAGTGATGACTCCAGCCATCTAGCAAGTATTTCTGTCTTGCTACCTATTACTGTATAACTCAAGTGGGTTGTGCAACATATCTATAAACACTCTGGTTCCTAGGTAGATGATTAGCATCTTGAACTTTAAACCTTTTCCCTTTCATTGCTGTAATTCACAAATCAATCTAGTCCCACCCCTGATAACAAAAGACTTATCATCAGCACATGTTGTTGCAAATTAGTAGGATGCATATCTGAGTAAACCTTTATCTGAATTAGAGGATACTGGAACAGGTCTTTCCTTTAAATTATTTTGTAGCATCCTGCTTCTATAATGGCCTCTGTGGTAATTTTAATGTCTTGGATACTTACTTTTTCTGTGTCACATCAGTGAAAACTCTCAGCCACAGGATCTGAGTTCCTTCAATTATTTGCCACTTTATTGTTTGTTTTTCTTAGTAATTTTAATCAGTTCTCCCTATCTACCAAGCAGCAAAATATTTAATATATGCAAATAAATTGGCTAGTTCTTAAATTTCTCTCAATAGGTTTTCAAACTGTTGTAGCTTAAATATACCTTTATATTATTCTTTGAAAACTGACAGGTTGGACTAGTGCTACAGTAGTGCATAACTGTAACCTGAACTTTGTCCACTCCAAAAAGTGCTTCCCCCCCCTCCCCAACTTCTATTGAATAAACTTTCATAGGCATGTTGCCAGATTTTATTTTTCTTTTGTGTACAGGTGCAATTTCTGTGATAACTCATTTATTTCTATGAAAAGCAGTGCAATTTATGTAGTGAGAAACAAAGCATAAGCAATTCTTTGTGTTCTAGGATTGTAAATTATACAACTAATATGAAGATACCCTTAAACAATCACAGAAAGGTTGAGGTTGGAAGTGACTTCTGGAGGTCATCTGCTCCAACTCCTCTGCTGAAGCAGGGGCATATAAAGCAGTCTGCCCAGGACTGCATCCAGATTTATATATGTATATATATATATATGTTCTTGGATTGAAAGCTGTAAAGTCATCTTTCCCATAACTCCACAGCTATTTTCTCAAGAAAGAGATACTAAAATACTTCTCTGATCCAAGTTATGACATATCATCACTGATGGTTTTGGGGCTTTTTTGTTTGTTTGGTTGGTTTGTTGATTTGTTTTTTTTCCCTTAATGTGCAGGGGCATGGTCTTTTAGGGTTTATAAAAGTAGAGTCAGCTCTTAAAAGGTGGTGATAATCCTAGATAAAGTGTGTGTCTATGCTAAGACTCTGTCCCAAGGAGCTAATGAATTAGGAAAATGGTAAGAGATGCAGGTGGCCACAAGGAAATGGTAACTGATGGAATAGAAGGCAGCAGGAACAGAATGACCTAATTACAGAGATGGCCTAGGAAAATTAACCCAGCTGTAGCATTCTGAATATATAAGAAGTCACTTGAGTCATTGTTTTTCTCAGAGGACAGAGAAATTGCTGGTGCAGGGTGAGAATTGCAGGAATCAAACAGTAAGATTGAATGTTTTTTGAGGAAGAAATGGCAGAATCTAGATGTAGCCCTCCAGTTCCTGAGAGGGAGTGGAAATATGTCCATCAGCTAAAATATACTGTTGTTACTGGTTGTTTTCCCAATCAGGAGAAGAGATGATGATTTTGTTCTTTGCTGTGTAGTGCTGATACGCTTAAACATTTGATGTTCTTCATGAGACACCATTCATACAGTACCTTAGCTAACACTAGAGACTGAGGTCTGTATACCAGAACCAAAGCTGCTTTATATGTTGTATTCTTCCTGATGGAGAAGGGGAAAATGTGTGTTGGACTTAGTTTTATATGTGTCACCTTGCCTTGAGTGTATAGACAGTATCGGTGAACCAGTCAGTTTTGATTGCAACTATTTTATTTCCTTTCAGGGCAGACTTTCTCTTTTGTGTTTTGAAATTCACTGTGAATAAATTGGTTTACTTACTAGTATTACTGTCAAGCAGTCTTGTACTGCATGTAGCTTTATGGCCTCTAGGTGTTTTGAAAGTGTCTTTTTTCCAGAGGAGACAAGTAATAGAAAACAACCTGTATGTGGAGTCTTGCTGGTTTTAGAGACCCAGGAAGAACAAAGCGAACATGAAGCATGTATTTAGTTTAAAATATAATAAGAACTGCTGGAAATCTAGAAAGAAATGGCCTTCCTTTAAGTATGCAAATTGGTCCTCAGACATCACGTCACAGTAATATTAGCCTTTAGGTCAGATGTAAATTGTTTTCCTAAACATTAAGCTTGTCCAAATGTAGAACTAATGTGATGTGACATCTCACTGAAAGTAGAATCAGTAGGGGTCTTCTCATCACTGAATACAAATTAAGCTCAACAAATGAGAATTATTGGGATTTTTTTGTTTGCTTCTTTCATTTTACTGTAATTATCCAAGAGCAGGCATAGTAATCTGACACTGGTTTAAGTAAACGTACTATTAGTGGGGGAGGAAAGAATAACTAGCAAGTTCTGCCAGTTAGGAGCTGGAGCAAAGAGGAAGAGAAGTGCAGCAGTTTGCATAATGTTGCAAGTGAGATCCTGAAATCAGTGGTTTGGATGACAGAGCATAGATTATAATCACCTCAGTGTGGTGGTTTTATCTGTGACAGCATGTGCTATATTAATGAATGGCCAAAAAGGTTTCTGAAAACGTTTATTCAAGAGTACAGTGATTATCAGGTAAGGTAAATATGATATAATTGTAATAATATTACTCCTGAGGGGAATCTAGGATACAGAATATATCAATATTTGCCATGTTGTCCAATTGTTATCATACTGACTTTATAATCTTGTTATAAGTTTGACACTGTGCGGTAATGCTGCATTGCAAAACTGTGTTTATCTCTAAAAAAACCCCAAAAAAGTCTTTCCCTGTTGAAATATTTGCTCTATGGCTTAAGAATTTGTCAAAGTCTTCTGTGTTCAACATTTGTGGCTATTTAGTCAGAGATTCACCATAATGTCCTTGGGCTTCCAGGTTAATCTACTAATTGACAATGAAGCGGAGAAGGATTACCTTTATGATGTGCTGCGGATGTACCACCAGTAAGATCTAACTTTATCTAAGTTTGTGTAGGATTTTACTAATGCTTTTTAAATGTGAAGAGTGAATATTCGAGATTTTAAGTGTCCTGCTATATGCTGTTAGATAAGTAGTTGAAGTAATGGCTTTTATCCTGTTTAATGAAGTCTTACATGTTTACAGCATAGCCTGCAGAGAGGGAAGGAGTATCTGTAATCAGCCATAGAGTTACTTTGGTGTATGACTTGGCAGTTTTGTAGAAGAATTTAGTGGTTCTTACCGGGGAGAAAAAAGGCACCTGGATGATAAAAACTGTTCTGAGGAAACAGGAAGAGAACATTAATCAAATTTGTTAATATTTCCAAGTAATGCTTATTTATTTGCAAAAGAGGCTTTCACTGAGTTTATTTTTCAAAGTTTTTTTCTAATTATTCAGCTAAGAATTTATTTGCAATTACTTTATCTGAAGGCTGAAAAAATTTAGTCTGGGAATCTCTTTGGCATGTTTAACAGCCCTGACTTATTACAACATAATGTGGCAAAAAAAAGGTAAGGTGATAGGCATATTACCACTCCTTTTACAGAACTGATTTAAACCACAGTTGCTTAGGACCTGTATCATTGCAAATGAGATCAGCTTCTGATCCATTGTTTTTCAAAGAAGATGAGAATGTATTTTCCACTCATCATAGACAAGTGGCTCTGATAGACATTGTTTCCATTCATATCTTAATAGCATCTCAGCTGACTGAAATGTAGATGTTTCCACCTGATGTTTGCACTGAGCTATAGTTATGGGTGTATTCAGCTGCATATCTGATTCAGTTTCACTCTGGTCTGTCTAATTGCTTCTCTATTCATAAAGCCTGTTTAGAAAGCCAGTTGATTCAGTAGCTCTTAATTATTTAAAATCTTCTTGCTGTTACAAAATTGACAATGCATATAGTAACTTCTCTTCAATTTCCAAAATTGCAATGAGTTAAGCAAAATTTCCAGTATCTCTGTGAACATATGCTGATAACGTGTCACTTTTTTGGAATACATTATAAAGTATTCCAGGGAAATTACGTGCAGTTGCTGTTGGAGTTAATGTTAATGTTTAATGTCTGCTTCACTGTGAATAGCATTTATAAGAGTATTTGGCCTTTAATCCCACGTAATATGCATTCCTGATCTGTATTTTCATTGCATATGCCTCAGAAATATTGTGTGTCAGGAAATGCAAATTATGAGAGAGGGAACAGCAAATAATATAGACTTAAGTTTAGCTGGATGGTGTGTAGGAATAGCTCCACTAAACCCTAGGGATATGTCCCTTCTACTCTTGCAACAGAATACATTTTCTAGACCCATAGCTATCTCAGTGCTGACAATATAAAGGAGATTACTTTGATAGCTTTCATAAAACAGATGCTCACAACCATTTAACTTCTGCTGATTCTTTCAAATTTTATTTAATTATTATTGGTTCATGGACCTTCAATTTTTATTTAAAAAAAAATAAAATTTAAGACTTAAACCAAGTCTGCTCAAGCTACTGAGTACTGTGATTTCTTTCCTGGATCGAAACAATTTGTTTGTCCCCTAAGTTCAAGAAAGGAAGGAGCTTGTGGCCTTGGCCTACTTAGAAGGATTCCTAACTAGGGAGGAAACAGAAGCCTAATAGGCAAATGTATCTGATCTGGGAAGTTGTTTCCAAATGGTTACATAAATCTTTTGGGGTCTCTGAGGATGAAATGAAAGGTGTTACCTGTAAAAATGATGTGCGTGACCTTAAAAGATAAAGGCAATATATAGGAGATATAAGTTATTTTGAAGCAGATAGTTTTTATTCCTCTTTGCTCACAAAAGATGTGCTTTCTCAAAGGCTGTTTTGCTTTGGTTAAATCAGTATCTATATGAATAACTTTTTTAGTAGGTTGAAGGGATATGCAAATATTGAAGCCACATATACAGCACATTATTAAACAATGCTTTGTGTTGGTATGTTGATTAGCTGTGCTCATTTTCTCACTGTGTTATTGTAGATCTATGAATCTCCCAGTACTTGTGGGGGATCTGAAACTTGTGATTAATGAACCAAGCAGATTGCCTCTATTTGATGCCATCCGCCCACTTATCCCATTAAAACACCAGGTGGAATATGATCAGCTTACACCCAAAAGATCACGGTAAGAGAATGCAGAACAAGCAGGAAATACTGAGTTTTCAGATACATTCTGAGTAAAATATTAGTCACCTTTGTAGAGATGGGCAGAATTATTTTACTTTTGATATATTTGTACAGTTCTGAGCTACCTGAAATCATTTACCAAGTAGTTTAATCTATTAAAAGCAGGACGTAAAACCCAGTGCTTTCCAACTGAAACAATCTTTTCTCATTTTCCCTGAATTTAATAATAATAAAAAAAACTTTACAGTTCTAACCCTCTAGAAGTAGCCAACTTCAACAGCTGCAGATGTCTTTTCTTATGAAAAATATTTGATGGCTTTAGCTCTCACACAGCCTTCCAAACTTCAGTCTGCTTGCCTTTTTTATACATAAATGTTATAAAAGAAAACTAATGCATAACTTTTATATAAAGCATTATTGCCACAAAGTTTTACACAGCTGAATAGTTGAATATCTTCCATTTTTGCAGAAAGCTAAAAGAGGTGAGATTGGATCGTTTGCATCCTGAAGGACTTGGAATCAGTGTGAGAGGTGGAGTGGAATTTAGCTGTGGCCTCTTCATCTCCCAGTTAGTTAAAGGAGGACAGGCAGACAATGTTGGACTTCAGGTAAGAAAATGACGTTCATACCTGCTGTGCTGCAAAAAGCCTTTTTCTACAATATCAGGGAAGCAGTCAGCAAGAATTGTTCTTTAATATCAAGAAATTGCTATTTCTAAGGTGCTCTTTATCTCTTGTAATAAAGTTCATAAAGTGTGTATGTCAATGTCACAGTAAATACCATTATACCAGTGGTGAATCAGGTTATTAAAACTTTATTTCCACTATTTTTAGTGATGGGTAGAGCTTTTTTCATTTGAATATGATAGTTGCTGAGGATAAAATGGCTTTCTGGAGTGTTTTTTTACTTCATGAGTTCCAATAGTTAAAGTAAACAGATGGGAAGAAAGATCTCTAGCTAGACTGTGGCAGAGTGTTTTAAGTTGCCAAAATCTGATTAAATATAGAACAGAGCATATGAATACTAAAGATGTTAATTCTTCATTGTACAGATATGATTTGTGTAATGAAATTTTTATTTGAACTGAATGTATAAGTTGTGGAGGGGTTTATTATGTAATGGAAGTATATAAAAGAAAGAATTTATTTTTAACCATTTCTGGTACCTTTTGTACTGCACAGAACTGTGGTTTCAATGATTAAATTTTAGATACATGAACTGTAGCAAGGTTGGTAAGAATAATGATATATAGAAACACATTTTTTATAAATCAGAAGTTACGCAATTTGCATTAATTTTGGGGTATTTTTTTCTCTGTTTTTTTAACGTGCCATTTCTTGTACATATGTCTTGGTGAAGAGAGAATTGAGCAGTTGCTGTGGCAAATGTCTGCATCTCTCTGTGTTTTCAAAGCTGATAAGGTGTATTAAAGGTCTGTGTTTCTAAGTAGAAAGGCTATTATTCCTTGCTGATTTTAATATGTTGAGCGCTCATAGTTTTTAGAAGTATCGATTTTTAAGGATTATATTTAATACCAGTCCAAAACATGTTAGAAGTTATTAGACAAAATGGCATGATTCACAGTAGTGTTTGATTAAACCAGTGTGTTTCATAGATATGCCTCAGTGTTACCCTACAACTCTCTTAGATGAAAAGAAAAAGAAATTCTCTGTCGACAAAGCAGTCAAAATTAGGGATCCATGTTTGTATAATTCATGCAGAGACCTTTTAAAATTTTCTGTGTCTGCATACATGCACGTGCCCTTTTGGGAATTCATACCTATATATCCCATTCAGAATCACCATGGAATTAGTCTAATCTTCTGGCAGCTTGCTCTGAACAGATGCATGACTGACTCCCTGGATGCTTTCAGAAACTCCTTCTTGGAACAAACCCATAAATTCAGAGAATACACCCCCACATACTCCGTATTTAGTTAGAATTGAGAGGGCGGCATAGGACACTGCAAACACTGTGCTGGATGTGTTGGTAGCCTACTTTTAAGCATGGGATTTGCTAGTGGGTAACTCCAGAAAAGGGTGTTGATGCACCTTCCCAGAGTTTGAACTATGAAAGCTTGTGTACCTTGTGGTGCTACATGGCACAGTGAGAATGGGAAGTGTAGGCAAGACAAAAGAGTTGTTCCTGGATTGTGATCAGCTCAGTAGAGAGATTCCAGCTGCATCTTTCCTCTGCTGCTAGAAAATTGATAAAAAGACCAAGATCAGTCACTTACAGTTCTTGAAAACATCTCCTGGAAAATAGTACAAGGCATTAATGATGCTGAGAAATAACGGACGTAATGCCCAGTGTCTTAAGTCATCAAGCTTCTCTGCTTGTTTCAGATTGGTTTGACATGTTGGATAGATAAGGAGTTATCCTCAGTTGTAAGGATGCCATTCTTTCTTTCTTTTATTTCAGTACACAGAAAGCCTTTCCTGGCTTTCTGGGACCGGGGTCATTGTACTACATGTGTAGTAGACAGTGAATTGGGTTGTAAAGGATCTTTGGGCTGGGTTGTACTGCAACTAAGAACTAACAAGTTTGGTGATGAAGTAGGGGCGGTAAGGGGGAAATATGCTTGAGACTGACTATGAATTTGTTAGAGTTAGGTTTTATGTATTAGGATGAGCAGATGGTGCTTTGCAGCTCATATAACTGTCTGACTTATGTTTTTTGATACGTGGTGTTAAAGCTCAGCCTAAAGTCCCTTCATAATAGATGGCACTAGGCACTTTCTGAAACCAAGTGAATAGCATGAGCTGACAGTCAGTCCATTGTTCTAAATTGCTGTCTCACAGTAATGCCAACTGCTTCTGAAATTTCATCCACCTGCTTTATTTAACTAAATCTCTACACATTTTTTACCCCAGAACCTCTGTCTGAGAAAAGTATAATGATCTTCTATTTGACTGTCAGTTTATGTCCTGCTGCTTAAAAAAAAAAAAAAAAAAAAAAAAAGGAAAATCTGATGCATTTTGTGCGATTTCTCCTTTAAGTAGTTTCCAAGTTAGATTAAAATGGCTGAATGGTCATGAAGCCTCACTGAGGCATTTGTAATTTTGACTCTTTTTTTCAATTGCAGGTTCTTTAAAAGGCAAGTATTTTGTCCTTTCATGAAGAAATGTTCTTTACCTCCCCTTCTCCACCTCCCTTTCTGATTCTTATGTCTATGGGGATTTTGTTGAATGACAAGAGATAGAGATTGGTATGAATGATGAAAGTGGAAGTATACAAAATGAGAAATTTGAAACAGTGATGTTATGCAAAAACCCTTCAGTTTCCTGGAAGCATTAAATATTATATTTCTTATGTTAAAAGTTACAAATAATAGGCTTTTACTTGAGTAAAGTTAGGCTTGCAGCTTTTCTTTTGGAAGTCTGTCATCTCCCTGTTTGATAGGGAAAGGGGAAACAGCTATATAACAAAGTAAGGTTCACTGTTTTAATCTGCTCAATCCTGCAGACTTTTATTTCTACTGCTTTTGAACCAGAAGATTGGTATACAGTGATACGAGTACAAAAGTAACAAAACGTATGAAAAAACCCCCTATGAATTACCTCAGTGTATGAATACTTTTTGTTTTGTTTTGTTTTGGGTTTTTTTGTTACAGGTCTGTATGTCCCATGTAGTTCAGCCTAGATTGTGGTATTTCTAAAGCACAGTCAATCATAGCCAGTAATACATATGTCATTAGGATGAGTGAATACTAGACTGTCTTTTCATGTCATTTCAGAAGCTCAGCAAAGAGAAGTATTAAAAATATCTATATGCAAAAAGCTCACTCCCACATGGGAGGAAAAATTAAAATATGCTCTTGGCTGCTTCTATAATTTTGTAACTGTGTGCCTCTTAGGGAGATGATACAGTACTAAAAGATACGACTCTCAATGAATGATGACATCCTCAGTGCAACGCTAGTTCTGCTGATACAGAGGCTATATGGAGACTCACAAACGGCATTGCAATTTGCAGTCCCAAAACTGGAATGCGTCTGGGTGTTAAGACATTGCAGTAAATAACAGTAAGTTAGGTTACCATTTTAAAAAGCTGGGTTTGTGAAAACCCAAGCTACAGGGTATTTTATAACCCCTATGATGCAAAAGATGTGAATAAAAGTGGGCATCTTGAGCTGAAGACAAACAAAAATCTCCACCACCACCAAATACGTAAGACCAACAGAAAAGTCCAGGTAGATCATAGAATCATAGAATAGCTAGGGTTGGAAAGGACCTTAAGATCATCAAGTTCCAACCCCCCTGCCATGGGCAGGGACACCTCGCTCTAAACCATATTACCCAAGGCCTCGTCCAACCTGGCCTTGAACACTGCCAGGGATGGAGCATTCACAACCTCCCTGGGCAACCTATTCCAGTGCCTCACCACCCTAACAGGAAAGAATTTCCTCCTTATATCCAATCTAAAGCAAATGAGGTCAAGACTGTACACTTCAGGCTATGTAGGTATACACAAACTTGTGGTATTTTTGCAAGTGAGTAATCCAGAGAGGTCGGAGATGGGAATGGGGAAAGCTTTTAAAACATTTTATTACTGATGAACTCAAGCTTCCTTTGAAAAGCAGTCATCACTTGCTTTCCTGCTGTTTCCTAGAATAACAAGCAGAATCCGAAATAGGCTGAGTCTTTAATCACAGTGACATAAGTCGGACTTACTTCCAAGGCATTTTGCTTCTTGGCAGTACAATTGCATTGCCAGTGCTAGTCCCAGTCCTTAAAACACGTTATTTGCAATGGGTTTCCCAAAGTGCTGAGGGCAACCGAACTGCTCTAGACTAGCTGGAAATATGGCGTTTCTATTTGCAGGGGAAGGAGGCCTGCAGTGACATGGTGGCCAGGCCTGTGGCGTGGATTGGTGGGGTGGATATGGTTTTGAATATTTGGAATAAGTTTAAATGAGCGCTTCCTCATAGTAAGAGCTGTCAGACATGTGACACTAAATCACTTTTCCTTGTCTGATTCTGCATTTTTATCACAGATTTTACACTCAAAAGCCATCAGTATTGACTTACTTCAGCTCTTATGAAGCATCATATTAAAAACTCTTACTGGCTTAAATGGAAACATTCTAGCTCTTAGGAGTGCTGCAAACTGCATGCGGGCCACTGCCCTGGGTGAGATTTTTGGGTGTCCAGCAGGTGGAGCAGCAGTCCTACCGGTTGGGGCTTTGGACCACAATCATCTTCAGCTTCTGCAAGTGTGTTCTGTCCTGCAGGACCAGTCATGTACTGCGTTCTCTTGCTTTGGTAGGCTTCCAGTGCTGTGTTGGGTCGGATAAAAATCTTTAAGTTCAGTGGGGAGGAAACTGTGCTGCATGAGCTATGCTGGTAGAACAGTGTTAAAGTTGGGCGCACTGTTGGAGAGCATACGGCACTTCCCAGACCAAGTAGAAAAGTGTGTGGAAAAGTGAAGGAAATAAATGGATTTATTTGGGGTTTGAGGTTTTTTTGTTGGTTGTTTGGGGTTTTTGTTTGCTTGCTTGTTTGGTTGGTTTTTCGCTGAACAGGTCACAGTAGGAGGATTTGATAATACTTACAGTAACCAAACAGAAGGTCATGATATGCCCAATGTCCTGACACCCAAGGTATGTGTTAATCTGTCTCTAAGACAGGGGCCATATTGAGGAATTTCTACTTCCACTCCCTCCTCTCACATAAACGTGGTGATGGAAATTTAGGCTTTTGGTGCTGAGCTGTGCAATGCCATAGAAGTCTCCAGCAGTGCCCATTTTTTACCCTTAAAACTGTTAACAAGGCACAAGGAAGTTAGTCCTCAGTGAGCTCTACTGTGACTTCTTCCCTTTTTTTCTCCCCTCAAACTGGTGTGAGGGAGAAAACACTGGATACACTGTGTCATTTAGTCTGTGTGGCAGTAGGTCACCTGCTCAGTCTAAGAATGGTGGTTATTACCATCTGTCCTTCCTGTGGCAGAAAAGTTGGAAAGTTTCTATGGGGGAGGATTGAAGCATTTGGCTCAAAAAGGGAAAAAAAAAATAAAATAAATTGAGTCACAGTTACCAAAGGTGGCACAGTCTTAACAAGCATGTTAGAGTTTAAGATATTATTGTAATGTTGTTGTGAATACTGCGGTGGAGTCTTTAATTCTGTAATCAGATAGTGGGTTTTTTTGCTCCACCTTAGTAGGGCCAAATGAAGCTTCTCATCATATTGTGTTCCTGCTGAGTCTTCTGTGCCTCCTGCATTATGGAAGAGCTAACCCTTCTGGTCTTCTGCAGCTGCAATTGAAAGTGTTTCACAACTGATCTTCGTACCAGTGGACGATGCACTAGCAGACACAAAGCAAACATATGAAAGGGAAGCTCCCCTCAGATCAAAACTAGCATAGCCAGAATCCTGTATTAAGTAACTTTCACCAAACACGTTATGGTGAACCTACCCCTTCCCCTAAACTCTTTTGCCAATGAAGATGTTTTAAAATCTTGATTTGTAGTATAAGGACCTTTTCAAAATTTAAGTTCCAAAGCACAGAGCCTCTCAACAAAGTAATTGTAGATACTCTTTGTTTTATTTTTTTTTAATGAGTGTGAGAATGCATTCCACCCAAATTTTTTTGTTTAGAAGTAGGTGCTTTGGCTTTGCTGACACTTCAAAACAGCTTGATGCAGATAGCAGCATGGAAAACTCAAGCCTAAACTGAACTGTGGCATCTTGGATCTAGTCTTCAAGTGGAACATGGAAGGTAGTCGTTAACTAGGGATAATACTGCCATGAAACCAGACATATTTGTGAGAAGACACACAAAGTTTCATTGATTAATAACAAATTCCTATTCTGTTGATGTGCATGAGAACTGTGAACTATCAGGATGACGTTTTGGCTGGACACTACCTGGAATTTACAAAGTATTTGGGACTCAACATCATCAAACTTTTGTATCAAAATGATTGTCAGATTACACCATTGTTTAAAAACCTTTTAATGTTAATTCACAGTTTATTTTTTTTTCTCCTCCCTTTCATCTTTTAGGTTGGAGATGAGATAGTTCGTATAAATGGATATTCCATTTCATCGTGCACACATGAAGAAGTCATAAATCTCATTCGTACAAAGAAAATAGTGTCCATAAAAGTAAGACGTAAGTAACAAAAAAAATCACCTGTATTACTGAAGGTTGCTGTTAATAGACAGCTGGTGATCTGTAGAAAGTGTTACGTAACAAAGTGTTTTTCTTTTTCAGATATTGGCATGATACCTGTCAAAAGGTAATGGTATTTGATTTGAAAACAGATTAGGTGATTCATTTTCACATTGCCTCTTCAGTACCCAAAGAACCTTTGTATTTATTTGTATATTTGAAAATGTGTGAATGGGCATCTCTGTAGCTGATTAAAATGTCATGTCCTTTGTGATAAACAGGCAGATTTTAAGACAGTTGCCTACTTAAATGAACCAAATTCTATTTTCTTATTATTCACGCATTTTACCTTGAAATTTCATTATCAGCGCACCTGTCTTAACAGAGCTCCACTGCTTCTCTGTGTAGAAAATATTTGAGGATTTCTTCAGAACTTAGAGGATTTTCAATTTGTTATCCTCTTCCAATTTATTTAAATATTAATGATGGCAGGTGTCTCTTTTCTTAGACATTTATATAAGCTATTCAGGTTGTTCAGATCATTTTCACAGTCTTTCTTAGAATTACCCAAAATTGTTTCACTTGAGGTGGTTTTCTCAATTTTACGTATGTCCAGCTTTACTAGCCTAAATAGCTGTATGCTTGTTTGTTCTATTTAAATAGCTGGAAAACAAACCAGTAGTTGTGGATGGTATCCAGAGGAATTTGAGAATTCTTCTGTGGCAAAATAAGAGGCCACATTTCAAAGTCGCTTCTTTAATACATGCACATTTATTTTGTCCTCAATCATTTAAATTACTTTTCCCTTCCAGTTCAGCAGATGAACCCCTTAAATGGCAATATGTGGACCAGTTTGTGTCAGACTCTGGGGTAAGAGATAAATATGTTATTAAGATGTCTTCTGGGAAATGTCTAATGGCTCTGAAACACTTTTTCCTCTGACCTTATCACAGAAGTTATTTTATGTATTTCTGTAATGCAATATCTTGTTACAAATGTTGTGGGAGAAACATTTGTTGTGATGTGAAATGATTCTAAGCATCATCAAGTAAGGAAAGGGCAGGATGCAAATAAGGTATCTTTTACTCATCAATTGGTGCTTTATTTTGGTTTGGCTTATTAACTTATCAGGCTACAGTTCTTCTGTATAAATCTTTAACAGATTGTTTGGCTTATCTTAGCTGTATTAGTGGAGGAATGGCAGGTATGAATGCAAGTGACTTCTATGGGTTGCAGAAGTGAAAATGGAGACCACAATTACCATTCTTTAGCTTTCAGGAAGAAATTGTTAATAGCACTATCATGTATTTTTCCAACTCTTTTGTCAGGGAACATCTAAATTACTATTTTGCTGTATCAGTTTCCTTTAATTTTCCTTTACCCTTTTCTGAAGACAAAGTTTGACTAAACATTCTTATCCAAATAGAAAGATAAGTTCAGTCTTTCACCTTAGCCATGCAGCTCCACTGAAATGACTGTACTTGTCGTTCTTCTCCAAGGGATCCTTTGAAGAATCTTATCTTGATGTTGGCAGGGTTTGATCCTGGCTTATTGAAATTCTGGAGTAGTCTTGATACAAGTTGCGCATGAGTAATATCTGCTCCACTTTTTAACCCCCTATAGGAAGGAAAGGGCAGTGTTGCTGGTCTTGCTTCTTCTGGAGGGAGAGACAATAAAGAGAAGAAAGTCTTCATTAGCTTGATTGGTACAAAAGGCATGGGATGCAGGTGGGTACATGTTATTTAATGTAATTTACGTCTTATTTAATGTCGTTGGCTTGTTAAGTGAGACATCCAAGGCAGTTACTTCCATCCTTCACTAATATCATATCAAGAAAATGAACATCCACACTGGATCAGGAAGGCAAACTGGAAAAGGAGGGTATCTGCGGCACACCTTTGTCTAATAATATGTAATCATAAATGCCTGTATTGCAAGTTCTGACTTAAAACCAAAAAAATCTTTTAAAAGTAAGAGCAGGCTGGAAGTGAGATAATACATGTTGTCATGGAATTGGAACTTTTAAATGCTTTTACGTTTCAAAATACTTTCAAATGCTACTCTGTGATACAGCAAGATCCAGCACTGTCCACTGTCAGGTTCACTCCCTGAACTTAAGACTGCTTTCTGTGACTGAAAAACCATTCACTGCTATATCCAGTTCCTAAAAGTAATGTTAAATTTGCTAGATTTTTAGAAATATGAGCAGATGCTTCTTAGAGTCATGTCCTTGCAGCTAGTTATGGAGGTTTTTGGGGTATGAAGGTATGGTAGGGTTTCTCCAATATTTAGATGGATGTAATTGACATTGTCAAGATTGAAATGCACAGCACATTTTCTAAAGCATAAGTTTTCTTTTATATTATTTGGAAGATGTAAAGGTTTTAAAAAATTATTTACAAACCATGGAGGGGTGATTCCATCACCTGCTGGATATATTATCTACAAAAATCACTGCTGTCTTTAGGCCCAACTAAGACTGTAGCTTAAAGTTTCCAGGCTAGGTGTTGGCCTCTAGTTGAAGCATACTTATTGTTTCTAATAAATAATCCTGAAAAATACCATTCAATTATATGTAGAGTATACTGCAGTTCAGTGAGTAAATGTGCAAGCAATTAATATTCATTATGTTACATGTTTGCTTTCAAATGTCATTAGTTTCCCAGTCCCTTAGAACATATAGGTCAGTATATTGTGCTAGTTTCAACGTCTAAAGCAAAACCTAGGAGCTTGAATGTTTTTCTTTTCAATTTTCTTTCAGGCTGTTTTTTTTTTTCTGAATTTTGTTGTTTATTTCAGAATAGGATAATAACACAAACATATTCTTTAACTGGAAAGTGCTGTTTAATATTTTCATCAACGACCTGGATGAGGGAACTGAGTGTACCCTCAGCAAGTTTGCTGATGATACTAAACTGGGAGGAGTGGCAGACACACCAGAAGGCTGTGCTGCCATCCAGCGAGACCTGGATAGGCTGGAGAGTTGGGTGGGAAGAAACTTGATGAAATTCAACAAGGGCAAGTGTAGAGTCTTGCATCTGGGGAATGACAACCCCATGTACCAGTACAGGCTGGGGGTTGACCTGCTGGAAAGTAGTGAAGGGGAAAGGGACCTGGGGGTCCTGGTGGACAGGAGGATGACCATGAGCCAGCAATGTGCCTTTGTGGCCAAGAAGGCCAATGGCATCCTAGGGTGTATTAGAAAGGGTGTGGTTAGTAGGTCAAGAGAGGTTCTACTCCCCCTCTATTCTGCCTTGGTGAGGCCGCAGCTGGAATATTGTGTCCAGTTCTGGGCCCCTCAGTTCAAGAAGGACAGGGAATTGCTTGAAAGAGTCCAGCACAGAGCCACAAAGATGATTAAGGGAGTGGAACATCTCCCTTATGAGGAGAGGCTGAGGGAGCTGGATCTCTTTAGCTTGGAGGAGAGGAGACTGAGGGGTGACCTCATCTATGTTTACAAATATGTAAAGGGTGAGTGTCAGGATGATGGAGCTAGATTTTTTTCAGTGATGTCCAGTGATAGGACAAGGGACAATAGGTGTAAACTGGAGCATAGGAGGTTCCATGTGAACATCAGGAAAAACTTCTTTACTGTGAGAGTGACAGAGCACTGGAACAGGTTGCCCAGGGGGGTTGTGGAGTCTCCTACGTTGGAGATATTCAAGGCCCACCTGGACAAGTTCCTGTGTGATGTACTCTAGGTTATCCTGTTCTTGCGGGGGGGGTTGGACTAGGTGATGTTTTGAGGTCCCTTCCAACCCTTGGGATTCTGTGATTCTGTGAAACAAATTGTGAAAGAAAAAAAAAAGCCAACCTTGACTTCTCACTGTTATACACTATTACTGTATAAATATTATCCTATAAATGCTTGGTTTTTTTTCTATTATATCAGTATTTCCAGTGGCCCAACACAAAAACCAGGCATTTTTATCAGCAATGTTAAGCCGGGTTCTCTTTCAGCAGAAGTGGGCTTAGAGGTGAGTATGCCACATTCCAAGGTAAGTACAAGGAAATCTCCTTTGGTATTTAGTACTTCAGGGATTCTGGACCACTGTAAAGTCACTAGCTGTGGGGTTTTTTCCCATTGGAAAGAAATAACTTGTGGTTACGTTTCAAATGAAGTGAGTTTCCAAATGTTTAAGAACATTAGAGTGCTCTCCTGACTTGGAACAATAGCCAGTCAAGCACAGTATTTGGCCTCAAACAGTGGCAATAAGAAATGCTAATATAGAAGGATGTGCAAGCTTGTCTGTTTCTGGTCTGTTCTCCTTGTACTCTGTAGTACCTATAATTATTGTATTTAGAATGTTAGAAACTGTATCTCCTGTTTTCATCTAATGTATGTACTGATTCAACATCTGTACTAAAATTTCAATTATCTCCTTTAGGTTGGTGATCAGATTGTTGAGGTAAATGGAGTGGACTTTTCTAATGTGGATCATAAAGAGGTAAGATCAAGTCTTCCTAGTTCCCTCAACTCATAGCTGTCAACTTATTAAGCATCTGTCTGGTTTTACTGGCTGCAAAAAATACGTTTGATACTGGGCTACTTAACCAAAGAGGTTGTATATGGAACATGCGTATTTGGAGATTTGAATAACTACCACCCTGTTGTGTTCAAGTAGGTCTTCTAAAAATTCCAGCCTAGGCAGCCAGCATCTTTCATCATATATATCTGTACATATAAATATATGTATATGTAAATATAGGTAGGCCTTTTATGACTTAATTTAGACTTGTTTGTTTTAATTTGCAGGCTGTCAGAGTGCTCAAAAGTAGTCGTACTTTGACTATCTCTGTGGTAGCAGGCGCTGTAAGTAGTATATTTATAGAAGCAGAACGTTTGTGAAATTTGATATGTGGGCAAATAAATGTTAAAAACTAATAGATAAGAAAAAGCAATATTTCTTTATAATGTCTGTATCGCTAAATTCTGTCAACCAAGGCAGTGTAGAGTGGCTTTTGATTACTTTACTGGTAACTGTCCACAAGATTCTCAGTAAGCAGTGTAAAACAGTTTCATGACTGTGGGTCAGTGCAAAACCATTCCCTTCACAAGGAATGGAAATTAACCTTACTTTTCTAACAGATAGCTGCCTCTGCTGAAACAAGAAAGGTGAACTGGATTGGAGTAAATTAATCTGTTGGCCTGAATAGCTGATGTTTTAGTCTTATTCCACATTAATTCCTTGTGTAAATGTTTATCTGATTTGTAGTGTATCAACACATTAAAAATTGTTCAGTTAGTCCTTTTCCACTATTCTCTACAACAGAACTATATGCCTTTAGGGCCTAATCTAAATAGCTGAAATAAATTAAATAAACTGAAATAAATTAAATAAGCTGAAATAAATTAAATCTTCCCACTGACTTGTGTGACTTTGAATGTTATAATGTTTTTACTGCTTTAATCCTTCTTAGAGGAAAATGTATAGTTATATACAAGAGGATACTGAAGTTCCATAGACTAACTGAAGATGGTGTTTTCTAATTTACTTGCAATTGAATTAAATAGGAAAAACAAGGTTAAGAAATCACCTAAGCTACTTCTAAGTGCTCATGTGTACTGTGCAGCTATATTAAGGAAATTGTGGTTACTCTAAGAGTAACAAAAGATGCAGTTGTCTAAAGGTATCGTCAATTGTTATTTAAACAAATGCTCCAGACTAGTTGATTCAGCTTCTGGAATTCAACATCCTAAGGACTTGATTTCCACTCCCAGATACATTACTAGCTGTTAGAAAAAATAAGGTTTATGCAGGCATGTACCACTGTGGTTGCATCCTTAAAATGAGTAATCTTTTGCTCTACCCTACTTCACCTTGCTTGTCTCTCCTCAGTATACGTCTTAGTACTGGAGAAGAGTTTGCCAAAGGAAACAGCTGCTCTACTCCTCTTTTTTGGTCAGCAAAGACTCTGGTGCAAAGGCATTCTTCCCTGCCTTTTTTTGTTCGAGCTGTCTACTTTGAGCCTTAGAGACATAAAAAGTTCTGCCTTCCTAATTAACATGGGATTTTAATTTTGGTAGTGAAAATGAGATGGATGCTATCAAAGTGTTCCACACATAGCACCATGGAAATATCTTTCTTGAACAGAAAATATTGCTGGTGTCTTAATTGTAAAGCAAACAAAACGGGAACAAAACCTGAAGCACTACGTAACATTTTGGCAATGTACATTCCCTGTATTTGAGTTCTCTGAATGACAGTACATTTCCACAGCCGCTAGGCACAAGAGCATTAAAATGCAGTAACTGTATAGTTGTCTTCCTCACTGGGATTCATGCAGTGTGCTGATCTCTAGTACTGCATTGTTCAGTTAGGTTTCAGGAAAGTATGATGTGGAGTGTTTTCTGGGTGACACACTAAGCATGTCTTTGGCATAGACACACTGTTGCCACTGACTTTCATAGTTACATACCTCTTCTGAGGTGTTTAGCACCTTGTATCTTTGAGACTGAAACTGAAGTAGCTCTTTGGAATGAAGTGGTCAGATCTGCCAGGGTCTTTCAGAAAGCATTCCTCGGGAAAAAGTGGTATGAGGAAAGAGCAGATGTGTTAGTATGTAAACACTTTGGAATAATTTCTTAGAAGAACTACATTCATGAGACCTTTTTACCACTGATTTGGGTGGCGACTCTGATTGCAGGGGAAGGAGCTGTTCATGACTGAAGAAGAAAGGCAGAGGGAAGCACGTCTTCGTGAGCAAGAACGCCAGGAGTTAATGCACCAGAAGCGACTTGCGCTGGAGACTAACAAAATCATCAAAGAGCAGCAAGAGAAAGAGAGATTGTAAGAATGCTCTATAGGACAGTCTGAAAATTTTACCTTGAATTGGGAAAGGACATGTAAGACAGGAGCAACTGTGAGAAGATTCCCAGCTTATATCAACTTAATTTTGCTTTTGTGGAGTCTGTTCATAAATCCTTATTCTGTGATGCTCTTGATGTTCCGGGTTTTCAGAGTTGATATCATGCAAAGGCACGTTGAGTAGAAGGCTCACTTTGTTCCCCTATGATTCAGTGTGATATTAATTATTTTCATGATGCTATTCGTTACAAATTTTAGCCTCTTAAAATAATATACTATGGAACTGTCTCAGAAGTAGACAGGATCTTAAAGAGTTAAATAGGTAATATGGCCTTGTTATCCAGATGGTAATTAATGTCCTCAGAGTTCCTATGAAAGTATATTGAATCCTTGGTATCCTAAAGACAACTTTTAAAAAGGAGCATTTCTCCTCAATGCATGTGTGCTTGCCATCTGTATCTTTTACTAACTATATGCTGAAGCAATTTGCGCAAACTCTTACTCAGAAAATAATATTTTTATCATGGTGTCCTAATTCCTCTTATATAGAAGAAAACTGGAGATCTCCCAGAAGGCTGCAGAGGAAGAGGAGAGATATCGCAGAGAAATAGAACAGTAAGTAAATACCTCGCATAAGCATTATGCAGCCTGAAAAAGGGTCCTTGCATATTACATCTGCTGAAAACATTCTTCATGCTCATTTATAATAGTAACACTGTGTGATATTTCCATTTAGCTAAATGGAGGGTCCAATGTGTGAATAAGTACACCACAGTTACAGAACAGGAAACTGATCTGAAAATCAGCACCTGGGAAACATGAGGGTTATCATAATAATAAATTCAATATGAAATTGAAGTTGGCTCCTTATTTTTCAAATGCTATAAATGTATAGAGAAACTTAAGGAAGTTCCGTGTCAGAAATTTTTTACTCTGTTGTCACTGAATTACTACATTTAATTTTAAGAGAAAAAAAAAGAGAAATTAATACTTCAAGGGAATGAATCAGGGAAGAAACAGAGAAGAATGAGTAAAGAGTTAAAAACATGCATATACTCAGGGGTTTCATGACATATCTACTTAGCTTATATAAAAAAAAAATCAGCAAAATACAGGTAGTTTGTTCATGACATGTAAAAGTGTTCACAGCACTGAATAGCCTTTTCAGTTCATCAGGCAGTTCTGAAAATAAAAGTTTTGTAGATTTAGTCTAGAAAAAGGACTATATGATAATTGTCTTGAATAAAAATTTCAGTCATAAATTTTAAGTAGGGTTAAGTTCTCTAAGGAGAAAATTGATTAAATTAAAACTGTGGCACCAAAAGTAAGAAGTTCTGTAACCTGTTTTATTCAGGAAATTTGATTTTCATTATCACAGTCCACACTGGTTTTAAAATTTCTGTGATTCTAGGTAGTAGACATATTCAAAGATTGTATCATAACAAAGGCACTTCTATAAATGTAACTTAAGCATTGTTTTACATTTGGAACTTTAACCAATATAACACATTGTTCCCTTCTAAATGATGTTGGGAAATTGCATGAAAGGTAATGTGAAGTTGCACAATATCAGTTTTGAAGAAGCCTTTTAGATCCAAGATTTACCCTGAAGTATTCAGCTTTGCACTTTGACATCTTAAACAGCTTTTACTTCATATTCATTCACTTCAGTCCCTTTTCATGCACTTGTATTAGCTAAAATTATCTGATAGAAAACGTGGAGGAATTTCTCAATCTTTGAGGTGCAAGAAGAAGCATATTCCCCAGCCGTGACAACTGAAGTATCTTCTGGCAGTCCTGTTATAGGCTCTACTGCAGCACATGGATGAGTTCTTAAACATTTTCTAATTCCTGGGGAATAGATAACCTGTTCCTTGTTGTGGTCTACTGTAGAAATCCCTGCAATAGCCATGGAAAACTGCTATAAAAGCAGACTACCAGAGGTGAAGAATGATTTTATTCTCTCACCCCAGGCTGCCTGTCATAATAACTATTTAGTATCTGCAGTATCCTTCTGAACTAAGTGCATCTTTGCTCACTCAGGGTTGCTCATTTTAAGGGCTAGCATGTCTGTATACTTCCTTGTATAATTTCCAACTGTTGCTCAGGCAATTGTTAAGCTATTCCATATTCTAATCCGAACTGTTAAGTCAATGTCAGTCTCCTTGGTGTAGAGGAGGGAAGATGGTTGTATAGGAACTTGGATTCATTCTAAAGCTTAGATTTAATAAGCAATTGCAAACAGGCAGTTTTGCTAGAATACAGTGCTTTTCTGTATTAACAGTTTTTGAGGATGACCCTTTGCTCCATTTTTTAAATCCTTTTTGCAGAAATTCCTTGTATAAATTCACTGTGCTATTTATTAATATCCTGCATGCATGGGGGGGGGGGGGGGAGGCGGGGAGGAATGAAATGTGCCTAAATGGTTCTGAATTCTGTGTACCTCTAATTCATTGTAGTCCCTTTGGTTTTTAATTAAAATGAAATGTAAAACATTCTGTCCAGTGTTCCCTGCTGTTGACTATGCCTCCAAATTTAAATACTGACCTGAGATTTGCCCACATGTGGATATTTCTTAATTTTACTGTAGCTAAATTAGAGATACCAAAGATAATCCAAGTATAAATAGCATCATTTAGATCTAAGACCTGGTAAATTTCGGCACTGTATATCAGTTTACCAGTTCAAGATGGGCTACAGCTAAGAATAGGTCTTGAATCACTTAAAGGCACCATATATGGAGCTACAAGCTATTAGGTTATATGGCACTTCTTTTGTAAATTACTTGAGGTTTGTTGTTCTGTCACTTAATATTTTAGTTAAAACTGTTTTTCTAATAGATAATTCCCAGTTCTGAAAATTAAAAATTAGCAGGTGAGAGATGGATTTCTGGTTTCAGTTAAGGTTGACAGTATTGTAGTGTACCACTCTGGGCTTATGTCTGTGCAGTTCTTTTATATAGATGGCCTTAGAAGTCTCAATATTAAATAAGAATACTCAATTACATTGAATTTTACAAATTATCTTAATAGCTTAGTAAATGAAAGTTTGATTGAAGGAATTTAGTTTGAGGGAAGGGGCATTTTATTATGCTTTTTATTAAATAGAAAAATGCCAAACATACTGAACAGTAAATAATTTTGATTAATGTATATTGATGCTGCTGGTTTTATACTCAGAATTCCTAGCTGACTTTTTTGGTTTTTTGGTTTTTTTTTTGTTTTTTTTGTTTGGTTTTTGTTTTGTTTTGTTTTGTTTTTTAATTTTTCTTCTAGGATAACAGCAGAGGAAGAAAAATTTAAAAAGGAGTGGGAAGAAGACTGGGGTACTAAAGAACCTCCGAAATCCTTAAAAACTGTAACTGCAGAAGTGCACCCTGCCCCTCGTTCCAAACACAAAAGTAAGACATTGATTTCAATCTCCTTCCTAGGGAAAGTATTTGTCAGATGCATCACTGAGCTGTATGGAATATATCACCAGTTTGTATCCAAGCCAAGCTAGCTATGACTTGCTTATTTTCAGAAGGCTGAAAGCATATGATAGATTAAATAGCTCTTACTTAACAGGTACCTAACTCGTAAAAGCTATTTTCACTCAAACAGTCATCCTTTTTGACAATCAGCAGCAGCAGAAAAAAAGAAAAAAAAAATAAAGCTCACTAAGAAATTGGCTGAAGTATCAACCTCATGGCTTGGGGTTTGGTGCATTCCTTTCTATGTTGTTTCTGTTCAGTGTTTGGCCTGTCAGCCTTTTCAGAGAGCAGTTCTTGCATCAGTAGACTTGTGCTGATTTCCACTACATGCCCAAATGGAAGCAGTGCTGCATTTTTAAATGATGTATGATCGTGTTTATGTCCATGTGGATAGGCTGATACGTAAATGTGAAGTTATACATATGAGTCCTTTCATCTCAGTGAAGAAAATTTTCTTTATAGCAATAAGTAAATTTTTAGAATTTATGGGCATCTTATTACTGGATTTTATTACTTTTCAAAATGAAGATAAGGAGACAAGTGTTTGGATTTGTTCTTTTATTTGGAATCATCTTTGAGCTTTCTGCATTAATCATTTCAGCAAATAATTTAACATCATTTTTATATTTGAGAAAAGATCCTGGGAAGATTTAAAGGTGGAAAATCAGTACTGAATTTGCAGCCTCATTTGGAGTGAAAGAATGCACTTCCCTATTCCTGTTGTAACTTTTTTTTCTTCTCCCTTACTCTTAATAAGTGTATTATGAAGGATAGAGGATATGGTTTTGAGTATTTTAATCTGCTGCCTTCCAACTAAAAATGGTAGATATGGAATCCCTACTTTTGGCTTGGAGTAAATGATTTAGTTTGGCTTTCGAAAAATACCTAATCTCTTCAGCAGGATCTCGGCCTTCTTAATTGGGAGGCTGTAGGAATATCTTGAACTTCCCTTGTTTCCCTTCCATGAGGAAAAGTAAACAACTTAATTGAGTAAACGACTTAAATATGGAGTGTCATCTAAAATGCAACAGAAGTCGTTGTAAAACAAGATAGAGACACTAACAGAGCAGAATAACCAAGGATTCTTAAGAATTGGTGACTACCAGCATGCCATTCGTATCTGATTTATTCCTTCTCTGGCTAAAGTATCTACCACATCATTTTTCTGGGTATCACTTTGTTCAGTTCATGTTCTTTTGACAACCATCTTGAAATGATGTTATAATGATGTTGCAAAAATGATCTTAAATACTAAGAGCTTGGATAACAAAGCATGTAAGCATGTACTAATTAAACCCACACACAGTCAGAACTTCTGAATCAGTTCTTAGTGACCTAATCATGAGAAAGCTAGGCACATTTCTAAGAACTTGCAAAATTCAGGCATCTGTCAAAAGTTGCTGTGTATAGTAGCAGATCTGTTAATTTGAAAAAGTGCTGGAAAAAGCAAGGTATTTTTTTCCACTCTGACAGATGGTCTATTTAAGATACTATCTTCAGACATTAAAACACTTTTTTCTTGCTTTCTGGGGTTTGTTGTTTTTTTTTTCTATTCCCCTCCTACTATAATTTTCTTTACTGAATCTATCTCTTTTTCCTCCCCTGTCCTTTTTTCCTGTCTTTTTTCCTCTGTTCATCCATTACAGCAAATTTTTCACAAATGGGCTGTAGTCTGCACAGCCTGAAAATTGATTTGATATTACTGGGCAGTCTGCTTCAGAATTAGTCGAGAGACTGAGGAGGTGTTATTTGTACACTGCAACTTTTCCATGAAGAATTGCCCTGAAGTGTAAGTCTGACTTAGTTGTCCAAAGGAATTTAAGATATTTGGAAGTTAATTGTCAGTTAAGAAGCTAAACTGGAAGCTACAGACAGTATGTGGAGAGTGTGCTAAAATGGTATTAGGCAAAGGAAAAAGTGGAAAGTGCTTGCTACATAACTGAAGGAAGATTTTGGTCAGGTCTTGATTTTTGTGTGTTTGTGTGTGTGTGTGTGTGTGTGTGTGTGTGTGTGTGTGTGTGTTTGTGGCTTTGGGGAAATCATTTAATTTTTCATGGATGAAACTGAAATGGGCATTTTTATTTTTTTTCCTGCAGTCATCTTTTATCCATTTACAAAACCCAAATTTTAGTCAATTACAGAAGAAGCCACCTATCAATGCAGGCTTCCCTTCATAGCAGAGCAGACTAATAGGCCATATGCTCCTTGGGGTTGGAGGAGGTTGGAAATTAATTTGGTTTAAGCAGGACCTCTTTTTATTAATTTTTTTCCCCTCTCCTCTCTCCCTTTTTTCAGTTATTTGTTTAAATATCCCATTGGTAGCTTTGTTTTATTTCATGGACAGTTATACTCAGACATTGTTGATCTCCTTCTCATTTCATGGGAACCTCCAGTTAGTCTGTCATTTCTATCTCCTCATTCTTTTCCTCCTTTGTTTCTCTAGTAGATGTAAAGGGAGTTGCACATGACCAACTTGAAACAGATGACATGGATGAAATGATCATGAAGCAGGACAAACAGGTTTGCCACTCAGCCTTGACTTCCTATGCTAGTTCGGACTCTTCCTGTGTTCTGCTTCCTCCTGACAGTCAGTCTTGACACTGAACTGATAATTTAGTTTTTCTAGAGCAGTATGAGTGGTCCTTTGGTAGACAATGAAAGGTTATGATGCTCTTGTTGTCATTGCTTTCTAAAGATATCTTGATACAAAATCCGTCAGTCCTCCAGAAAAGCAGATTATATTGAAACCTGTGTGTTATGAGTGTTTCTTACCTAAAATCATAGTAACAGATTCTTTTGTATAATTTTACTCAGTAATGTTTCTGAATATTTATGCACTTGGCTTGAAATATTTTATCCTAGGAAATGGAGCTTTATTTTTTTCAATCTCCTCAAATGCCTCTGTGTTCTGCCACAAGCTTGAAGGAGTTTGAATACCTGTTTCATTTTAAGGCTTGCTAACTGTAGAGTAAGACTGTGAGCATAGAAATCTTAGCAATGCATATGGCTGTATGGTTCTGTGTGAAAGGTACTTGTATTTGCTTTATTTAACATAAAATATGTATCAGTAAAATAAAGATAACATGACTAAATGTACAAGCACAATTGATCAAGAAGTCATTCAAGAAGTTCGTGTGTAATACCAAACCTTTGGTATTTTGGTATTTGGTATTTCAAATAAATTTTAATTAGTTATATGTATCAACACGGACTGGTGTGAATCTGAACCAGTCCTTGACTTTACTTCAAAAAAATTTTGTTTTACCTTTTGTAGCTTTTGGGTGGTTTTATCGGTATGAAGGAAAATTTCCCACAATTCGCAAGGTACAAAGTCTGCTGTGTAAACTTGTTTGCTGTGCATTTGAATTTTAATTCCTATTTTCCCTTCTTCTCTGTTATTACTAGACATTCTTGACAGTCAAATGCTACTTCTTTTAGCATGTGCACAAATTAAGATGCATTTTGGGATGCATCTGCAAGGATTTGCCCTTCTGAATTCTTTGAATTTTCAAGTTCTGCCTGCTTCAGTGGGAATTGTATGTCAATACTTTGCAGAAGGTGTTCAGTACAGGTGGGCAGCACGTGTTTTGATGTTCTATAAAAGTCCTCAAAAAAAACTTATTAAAAAACTGTACAGTAACAAAAATGTAATGGGAAACATTGCAAATCTCCCAGGAAGAAGAGTGCTGAAGGCAAAAAGCTTTTAGGCATGTACATGACATAGAATGAGAAAAAAAACCCCACAAACCAAAAACCCAAACCTTTAAGCTTGATAGAATACTTTTATATCTGTAGAGTTGCTGCTAAAGTATTGCAATTTTGAATTATGAATTTCAAACAATATTTTATTGCTGATGTTGCTTTAGTCTCTTAATTTCTTCCAATTATTAGGGGTTTTGTAGTTGTGTTGTGTGTTTTGGTGGCAATTTGTTGGTTTGGGGTTTTTTTTGTGATGGCTGATAGTAACTGACTGGGATAGAAGTGTCAAGAAGAGTTCCTGTGTCTATCTTCTGACAACTCAAGGCTCCTGAGGAGGTTAGGATTGTGCCTGGGAGATGAAGTACTTGTTTCACCATCTAGGACTATAGTTTTAACCTTCTGTGTAGATCGTTAATAGAGAACAGAAAATGATTGTACAGTCTGATACCATTTTGTACTGCTGGCGACTAAATCATCATGGATCTGTAACTAGTGTGAATGCCAGTACAGTTAGGATTTCTATCTGAAAAATAAAACAGATGTTATGAAAACAAAGTTTCTTCACACAAATGGGTGATCTTCTATATTGCTGCTGGCAAAGATAGTTTACAGAGCATCCAAATACCTTTATATATAATAATGAAGATCGTGCCCAGTTCGTTTTGAACTCTACTACAGTGTTGACTAGAAGCTTGAAAAGGTGTATTTTTAATTTTTTGCTTTTAGAAATATTTTTAAATCTGGAAGTGATTAATTTTCATCCTGTGCCAAATTTTTAATTGATTTTTTGTTTTGTTTAGAAACAAAATTTCACTCTGTACTAAAAATGTCTATGATAAGAAATAAACTGAATCCATGGGGAAGATGGATGAAAAGGATGACTCATCCTGTTGTATCTGAATGCAGTAAATGCAGCTAATATTGTCTGATACATGTTCGTATTCCAGAACACTTTGGCATGTGTACTACCTTTAAATTCAGTATTATTTCAAATATTGATACTAGCAGGTTGACCTGCCAGATATTTACATTTAGTAGACAGTACTAAATATATTTTCTAATTTATTAAAAGATATCACTAATTGTTATTATGGCACAAACTATAGAGCCCTGAATGATCAGGGGACTGGAGCACCTCCCATATGAAGATCGGCTGAGAAAGTTGGGGCTGTTCAGCCTGGAGAAGAGAAGGCTGTGTGGAGACCTCATAGCAGCCTTCCAGTATCTGAAGGGGGCATATAGGGATGCTGGGGAGGGACTCTTCATTAGGGACTGTAGTGATAGGACAAGGGGTAATGGGTTAAAACTTAAACAGGGGAAGTTTAGATTGGATATAAGGAGGAAATTCTTTCCTGTTAAGGTGGTGAGGCACTGGAAGGGGTTGCCCAAGGAAGTTGTGAATGCTCCATCCCTGGCAGTATTCAAGTCCAGGTTGGATGAGTCCTTGGGTGATATGGTTTAGAGTGAGGTGTCCCTGCCCATGGCAGGGGGGTTGGAACTTGATGATCTTAAGGTCCTTTCCAATCCTAACCATTCTATGATTCTATGAATGAAACATGGCTATGGAATTATCTTTATGTTAAAACATTAGTGTGAAAAGCTAGATTTTTTTTTTTACTTAAATTTTTTACATTTTTTTTATCTCCAGTGATGATTGATTCCTCCCACTTACCTCCCCAAAGACTACTTAAAAATGAAGCAATAGACAGCATCCCACTGAACTCAGCAGCACAAATTTCCAGTTTGCTGACTACTTGACTAGAATTGGCTTTTGTAGTTGCTGGGGAAAACGTCTTGTTTTCTAAGGTCCTGTTATCAATATTACATGTAAAAGGTGGAAGAAAGACAAATAATGCTATCTAAGGTGAAGCATGTTTATTCTTTGAATTCCCAAAACCACCGTGGAAAGTCAGTAGCTGATGATAATGAGCAGAGCAAATCAAACCTGAAGATGTAGCCTCTTTGGGCACTGGAAATAACTGACAGTGAGTGGCCAGCTGCTCCTCCTTTTTACTTGCTCATAAATGAAAGGAGAACATGGGCTTTCCAATATGAACTAGGCCCTATCACTACAAAGAGGAGAGGGTAGCAGAAATCTGACATTGCTGAAACAGAAATAAGGAGCAGGGTATATTTCCATGACAGCAGGAACAGAGACTCCAAGAAGACTATGTGGTTTTCCCCCTTGGTTGCACTCTGTGTGTAAAATCTTAGAGTTGCTTTGTGCTGTATTAGTTCGCTCACATGTGTAAATTTTATCCAGTGCATGTAGGAGCTACTTGTTCTTTGTGATGCAGTCTTCTTTCCTGGCAACTATTCAGTTCCTGCACTGATCTAAGCCTTTCCTTTATAAGTGCTTTTTTTGATTGTATTAAGGCTTGCGATGCTTAGGACATATGCATGAAGACACAGTATGTATAGAATATTCACATCTATCTATACATGAGCATCTGTCACATGAAAGCAGTCAATCTTGCATTTTTATAAAAATGCTAGAACAGAGAGATGGCAAATCAAGACCTAACCAAAATGGAATGAATATTCAGAGTTTTGTTGTAGGTCTGTGTGCCCTAATGTTGTAATTTGCAGAAGAGCAACTGTCTGATCTTGTCCAAATTATGTTAATGTGCACAGGCCTTCCAAATAAGGTTGAATTTCCAGCAGATTTCTGAGGAAATGTACGTAAGACTTTCTTTCAAAAGACTATCCCTGTACTTGCACAGACTGTAATTAAATTGTCAAGGCAGACACTCATGTACTAAGCTTGAAGTTCGGAATGTTTTTTATCTGGTGTAAAAATATTTCACTTAAGAAAAAGAAAAACCCCAAACAGTCAAAATTTCCCAGAAAGGGAAAGACCGAAAGAAGTCCAAAAGTGACAGTCTGTGTGAACAGAAGAAGAATAAAAAGGAAATGGAGTTTGAGCAAAAACTTGCCAAAGAGAAAGAAGGAATGTTGGAGAAAGAAAAACAGCTGAAAATAAATCGTCTTGTGCAAGAGGTATGTTGTGTTCTTCCATCAAGTGCAAAATTATACTGAAAGAAAATTAGCTGAATCTTTAGTGGAATTATCTTAACAGGACACTTGTTTAATTATGTCAAAGATAACAAAGTTGAAAAAAAATGCTGTTTCACTGAAAAACTGTCCCCATATTTTCCTGTTTCTACAGTCAGTTTTTGCCCACATGAGGATACCTCTGCAGTTAATGTGCCTCCATTTGGAATGATGCATTAGGGAAAGATAGAAAGATAAGAAATAATTCTCAAAACCATTATTAGTTTTTAAACTAATTTAGATGGCACTTCATACATCTGAAGTAGGCTTGTATTGTAACTATACCTATAACTTTTTTTCATGCACTGATATTATGGTTAAGGTATCTGAGACAGAACGAGAAGACCTGGAAGAATCAGAAAAGGTGCAGCACTGGGTGGAAAGACTTTGTCAGACACGGTTAGAACAGATTTCCTCTGTGGAGAATGAGTCTCCTGAGGTAAAATTCTGGCTTCTTTATGTATTGCATGATCTCTTAAAAACATACTGGTTGTCTCCTAAAAGCAACAGGTTTTTACCAGAGAAAAGTCTGTTTTCATCTTTCCATCTCAGCATCAGTTTAAGAGGCGGGGGGAAAATATCAATAACTGATGAGTTACAATATGTAGCATTTGCTGTTCATGTATTTTAGGCACGATTTTTTTTTTAATTATTATTCTAATTTTTATTATTTTGTTCTTTTAAAGTATATTATTAACACCAGATTAACAGTTTTTTATTGTCTCATGACCTGTTTGGGCTAGGTGGGACATACTGCAAATAATAAAAATGAGGCTAGAATACCCAACCATATAATTTAGTATCCTATGAAAATAAGAACATCATTGATGATGTGCTCTTGGACACTCTTCCTAGTGTTGCATGGAATAAAGGTACACATTAAGAACATTACAAAAAGATGAGAAACTCACAATGGATAGGGTTTGTTTTTGTGTTTTACGTAGTCCCTTTAAATGAAGGGAGTTGCAAACAGTGAGTGTGCCTTAGAGCCTGATGGTTCTAGATGTGAAGTGAGGCTTTCCCACCATCTTGCTGCTCTGGCTGTCTTCCAAGCACAGCTGCTTTCAAGAGGAACACTGCAATCTGCTGAACTCCCCTGGGATCCTCGTGAAATTGCAACCACAGAGGGGACCCTTGGGGAACACTCTCGCATGAATTTCTTTCAAATCAGTGTGGAGCAGCTCTGAAAAAAGCAGCTGCTCTTCTGTTCTCCTGACTTCAAGCTCAGATCCATGTGGTTCTTCAGTACATGTATCTAGGACAGTGAAATGATTATGCAGTTTTCTCTCACTACCTAAATTTGGCTAGTTGCATTCTGATAGATCTTTGTCCCACTTACTCTGTAAAGTAAGAGGGAACATTACAGATTAAAGTCACTGTTGTATTTCCATTATATTTAAATAATTTATTACAAATTTTCTACAAAACTATCCAAGCAGTTGAACTGATATAAAGCACAAAACCAGAATGCTTATGAGGGATCAATGCAGCTGAACAATATTCAGGTATGACAGGCTTGAACTGCTACTTGGGTTCAAGAGCAGTCAAGATCTCCTGACCTCTGCCAAAGAAATACCTTCTTTTTTTTTTTTCTTTTTTTTTTTCTTTTTTTTTTTTTCTTGGTCAGTATGGCAGGTAAGGAGATCCAAAAAATTGTCAACAGAGATACCCACTTGAGGGAAGTGCTGTCATATTAGACTAAGATGCGTGTGTCTGTGGGACAGCTCATCTTTCTAAGGTTTCCTCAGCTCAGTCTAAAAAATAGCAAAATGAAAGAGTATCAGCTAGATTTCCTTAAATACTTCAGTCAGACCACTGATAAAAGAAATGTTAGCAGTTCTAACAGCATATGTAGATGTGACACACTGCAACCTTACTTCTTTGTGTGAAGAATCATGTTCAAACTCTGGAGTCTGTTAGCCCCACAATGCATCTGGTGTTGATTGACAGAAATTGGAAGATCTAGAGCCTCCTGAGGATCTGAATTTCATAGGACCCTGAAATGCTGCTTAAGCTTACTTCCCCCTCTTGTATTAATGTCTAGTTATGTTTATATCAGAATTGAGCATCTTTCCCTTTTTTTAATGGCACGGGATTTTAGGGCCTGTCTTTGATTACTTTTTTCTTAAATAAATCACCTTTGCAAGGAGCAATTCTGCTTTCTCATCGTAAGAGCTACTGAGGCAAGAGGTATCTGTAATTTGTCCTGTGTTTTTAGGGTTTGGGTTTTTTTCTTACCTTCTTAAGACTCCATGCTGTTGAGGTTTTTTGTGTGTGTGTCATCCCCTTTGCCCCAACAGCCAAGGCTACTGTCACAGCACCTGAATTTTGTTCATTTTAAACTTAAATCCCAAGGAGTGCCTTTAAAAAGGATTTTGGAGTAAAAGGTTATGTATAATTTGTGAGAGAGAAGCCAAGAACTTCCTGTGCAGGAGTAGTTAGGCTGAGTGGTGTTCTAGGATTTGCCATTAATTTCTTTGGAGCTGTTGCAGTCAGCTGAACTGCTAAGGTAGGTTTCTGTTCTATTGCACATAGCTGGCAAGTGGACGTCCATCTGCTCCTCCAGCCACATCAGTGCGGCGTTTTGCTGGTGGCCTGCAGCTTCATACCACTGATCTTGATGACATAAACTTAGATGAAATTGACAAGCCTAACCAACGCGTGCCACCACCTCCGCCGCCGCCACCATCCACTCTTCCTTCAACACCATCAGCTCATCCACTTCCTACATCAAATGTTCCACTTTCAAGAGGTCCAGCCCTGTCAGTAACACCAGCTTCCCAGGTGACCTCATGATCTATTTGGATGCATGTGCCTTTACATTTCCATTGCCTGGCCTCCCTCCCCACCAACATCACCCACTTCATTCACTGGATCTGCCCATCTGCCATATGCAGTGTTAAAAACAGGAGTGAGATGGTTTTACTGTGCCATAGTAGTGAATGAAGTCCAGAGGTAGTTTTATTTTAACTTTTTACAAATTTTAAGTTAAGAGGGTTTTGCTGTCCTCCCTATGCGTGTTGTACCCCTTGAGCATGCAGGTATCTTGACCAGAATATATCAGTTAAAAAGACAATTCGGACTTGACTGTTTAAATATATATATTAAAAGAAAAAACATTGTCAGACCAAAAACCAAAATTGCAAGACCTAACTCATAGTTAAATTTGAGAAAAATGCCTCTGTAGTGAAAATGACCAGTGAAAGCATTTTAAAAATGTGATCACATTGCTTTGTAATGTGAGAAGAAAATGAGCTTAAAATCAGAAGCTCAAACTTTTAAAACATCAACACTGTATACATTATCTGTAAAATATTTTTAAATGAGCAAGAGCTGGTAATCAAGTTTGACTTTTTTTGTGCACACAGGATTTAGGGATTTCTTTGAGAAAACATGGCGACTTTATTACAATCTTAGTCCAAAAGGGGGATCAACTATAAAAAATCTTGTGCCAGATATCACTGTAGAAAATGGCAGCTGTTTTATCATAATTCCCTTTGCTAAGCACTGTCGTTTTTGGTGGGGTTTTTTGCATGTTCACTTGGAGATACTAAGCTTTGCATTTGCATGATTTTGGTTGAGGTAGAGAAGGATATGCAAACTAATCAGTTCTCAAGGGAAACTGGCAGATTATTTTTATGTAAATAATAGCCCTAATGTTAACTGTGAATCTCTTCTTATAAACTAAAGTAGATCTGTGATAGAGCTTGATCTATGTGGTTTATATGTTTGAAGTGCCAAGAATATGCTAGATCCACTGAAATAGAGATATCATATATACTAATGGATAACAGGTTTCCCAAATTATTTATGAAATAAAAACGATGTGAAATGACACAAGTGTACAAAATATTACTGTTCAGAAAAGAAATACATTCTCCTAATGCTGATATGGTTTAGTGTGAGGTGTCCCTGCCCATGGCAGGGGGGTTGGAACTACGTGATCTTAAGGTCCTTTCCAACCCTAACTATTCTAATATTCTATGGTAAAAAAATACTCAGATAGAAGTAATACAGGAGCTGCCATACTGATGTGATCCCAAACCTATTTATTCAAGCGTATGTTCCTGGCAGTTTTTCACTGCTAGTTATGTTAGAGAAAAGAGGTTAATAATTAAAGGGAAATACATCAGGTAATAAGAGAAAAATTATCAAGCTTTCAGAAATAAGTCAGATTTCACTGAATATGATTAGGTTATATGAGGGAAGAACTAAGTTCTTAGTAAAGTATTAATACTGAGCCAAAGCTGCTTTATTTATAAGTAGATAACTTGGTATTCTTGATGTGGCTTCAGAAATGGAAGAAAAATCAGAAGCTGGACAATTAATCCTTTCTGCTTTTGAAAGAGTCCATTTTAACACGACAGATAAGCAGATGCAGTATGTTTATTTTACTTCAACAATTAAAGATTGTGTGCTTAAGCCTGCCAAAGCTGAAAATAAGACAACTGGTGTTGTCCCATATATTTACTTTTCAAATATTACTCAAACTGTTAAATTTCTGTGTTGCTAAGTCATTTTTTTTTTTTGCCCCAGATCATCTCATTTCAAATTCGGCTCAAACAAATACCTGAAAAAAAGGAATAAAATGCTGTCAATTACATTCTTGACAAGTAACTATTAAAATATCTGGTATAAATTGATCTGTTTCTCAAAACTGTTATTAGCTATATACTTTATATGAACTCAGTACTAAGTCTGTTACTGTTTAGGTTGTAAGAAACACCTCCCACGTTGGCAAAGTGTCTTCTGTGTCAAGCAATCCACTGGTATGTCATATACTGTTAATAAATACTGCAGTTTTATGAGCTTCCCATATAATGCTAATGTCAAGTAAATGACAAGGGTTTGACTCTGCATGGCTAATTTATTTGAAATTCAACACTTGAATTCACATGCCTGGATCCATTACTGTGTTACAAGATATCTAATACCAAGTAGTGGAAGTGACTCCTAATGGTCTGAGGACTTCAAATTTCAACACTTCAGCAATATATGGTCCATGTTCATGTGTTCTGGATGTCTGTATGTCATGGAGCATATACTTTGTCCTGTCAAGACAGACAAAAGCAGATAGGACCAAACTGTATTTTAAACATAATGGGTGCTGAAGAAACAGCTTTCTTCCCAGAAGAACCAACATCAGTTTGATAACTCTTTCCATTCCTTTTGATTCAGAATGATCAAATATCAGGGTTTTCCATTCCAAGGAGCCCTAGAGAGGTCTGTCTCTAAATTGTGCAACTCCAGGAGCAGTTGTCCAGTTCCAGTGCAACTTTAACAACTTGATACCTGTGAACCTGCTGATTCTTCTAAGATCAGACAGCTTAAAGATATGATGTATTTTGCAGTGTGGAACAGTGTTAATTAGGGGATAGCCACAGGGACTTTGAAAGATCTAGTTCCAAATTTATTTATTTTTATATTATTTTAAAAAAAGGCAAAAAAGAGAAGTTGCTTAGCCAATTTGCTGGAAGCAATTTAAATTTTGGAGAATGCATCTTGTACTACATTAATGGTATCTGGAATACATTTCCTATGAGAAACATCAACAAAAATGTGCTGAGAGTTGCTTGGGGTTAAGTCGGAAACTAAACCCACAGGGCTGAATTTTGAACTCCTGAATAAAACTGTGCTTGATGTCAGTGGCAGTTTTGACTGAGTAACAAGTGTACAGTTGCGTTAGTACGTGCTGCCTGAAGAGGTATCAGATGCCTCTGGATAGCTGTACTTCGTGGAGTCAAGGCTAGGTAGTTAGCATAACTAACCCTTGCTCTTAAGATAAGTTAGCTTGAAATGATTTATGGAAAGATTGCTGCAGTCCTGGTGACTTTCATCTTAGATTTGTTTAGCCATAATTAGTTAAAATCTTATTTCAGGTTCACTCTGTCCTTAAACTCAAATTCAGATTTTATTTTCCCCCCCCCCTTGACATTTCTTATTCAGTTCATTGCCTTTATGGGATAAATGCCAAAAGCAAGGATGACATTTTTCCATGATTGTGCTGAAGTCAGAGATGAGGGGGTTTGGTTTGTTGACTTTATAAGTCTTAGTTTAGCTAAGACTTTTTTTTGTATTTGTGTCATTAGATCCATTACCATAAGCTATTTGATTTGAGGCATCTTGGTGAAATAACAGATTTGCATATATTACATTGTGAATTTTAATTTTCTTAAATTAACCCCCATAGAAACTTGCTCCAAGTCCACCTACCCAACGACATCCAGGGGTACCAATAGTCTCTAAACCAGTTATGCTGCACCCTGACCCAAACTTTATGGTCAGGCCAACAATCAAAACAGAGGCCCTGGTAAGCCTTTTATCGTGTTTGGTTTTTTGGGGTAGTTTGGTTTTGGGGTGTTTTTTTGAGCACTGTAGTACTATGGGATTTGTCTTTCACTTTTTTCTCAAAGAATAAGTGCTTGTCTTGTTTTCTGCTAACTAAATTTCATGTAGATTTTTCAAGTGATCATTAATGGTAAGTATAAAAGGATGTTTTTTCCCCCTTTTTCCCCCCATGATCCAAAAGTCACCTGTAGTGACAATTTTTATACTGGGGTGCATAATTCCAGAGCAGTGTAGAACCTTAGACTCTGGAGATCTTATTTCCCATTTATTCATCTGCTGGTTTTTATTCTCAAAAATTCTGAATTGATTTGCCTGAAATTAAATAGTAAGAATTATACTTTGGTTTTGCTTTGTAAATATTTACGAACATAATTGAAATATAGACACATACCTCAAAATTTCATTTCCAGAGACAAAAAATTCGTTATATCTTAGACTCCAAGGTATTGGTCACTGCAAAGTTGGCTCAGTACAGACTCATTTTCTTATTTCTTTTCCATTCTCTTTCAAATGTAAATGAAGAAAAAAATGCTAGGCTAAATATTTTAGGACCAATCATGTAGCATCTTTGGGAATTGTGGTATATGAGGGAAGGTGAACCAAAGCTTACTGGAGAAAACAAGGTGAGGGGAAAGGGAGAAATACTGTTTTGACAGGTGATAACTCCCAAGTGAGAGCCGTGAAAATTCATCTAAAATGGATGGTGAATCCGTTGGTAATATTTATTCTTGAGGGACATCATGACTTACACTGTTAGAATTAGAGTTGTGTACCTGTTATATGCATGTGTGCAGACATGTTTATAAGAGCAAGGCAATGTATTTTAATATGTGAACTAAGGGATGGAAAAAACTGTCACGTTTGCATTTCCTTTAATTAAGAGCCTATGCTATATCTTACAATAAGTGTTGTACACAATATTCTTCACTGACTTTTATAAATGTGATAGGGTTTTTTATCATTTTTTAATAATTAAGATACTTACTGTTTTGTTTTTCCAGTTACAGTTTGAAAAATTTCAGTGATACTTAGTAACCAGTTTTCCCACAGTCATAGTAATCTTGACACTTCTGTATTATAAATGGATTGAAATCATAAATGAAGTCAGTTTTTACAAGTTGCTCAAGAGGAGACAGGTACACAAGATAAAAATACATTCAAATCCCCCCAGTGTAGATACTTCCCTCAGTTACACGCATTGCAGATTTCAGTTTGGTTGTGTTCAATAATTCAGCATCTTTAAGCAATATGAAATTGCTTAAGGGGGAAATAAAGAGAGTATAATATAATCTAGGTCTTGAAAATAAATACCTGGTGTACAAATACAAAATAGTCTGCAGAATTGATGTGCGATCAGAAGACTGTCGTGGTACTGATTGAAAATGTTGGTTTTGTTTTTTTTGTTAATGTTTCCAATGAGTTTGAGAAATTTACAGTAAGATCCACTTGCATAGGGAAATTTTTATGCAGGCATGCACATTTTCCAAATCACAAGTCTGCAAAAATGCTTCATTCCCAAACTGCCTTATATTAGTTGGAAAACCACAATTTCAACAGAAGCAACATTCTGATTGAGAGAAGCATCAGTCTGTAAACTGGTTCTGTAGACCCGTTACCTCTTACTTCCATTTATGGCTTAATGCAGTGAAATGTGTTCATCCTTACTGCAATAAAGTCACAGTACTATATGTAGTAAGACTCGCATGGACATCGAAGTAAAGAGGGAGACTATTTCTCTTAGTTAAAAAATGAAAAGAACAGGATATGACAAAATAGACAAGGAGGTACCTTTCTGTTTCCAGAAATGTATAAGAATTATAACTTTATTGCATGTCAAAGGAATGGTTTTTGTTTGTCTGAGGATGGGGTGGGGGTGTAAGAGGGGTGTGCTTATTTAAGCTGGTCCTTGTTAAAGACCAGTTCAGCTTCTCTTGCCAAACAGAAGTGTCACAAAAGGCAAAATATAAACCCTATATTTCTTCTTGCTAGATTTCACAAACCTGATGGAACTCCAGTCTTTATATCTTAGTAACGCATGTGATTTCTTCTACCTTGTTTTTTATCTGAATTTAGCTGTCCTGAGTACTAAACTCTAGAAACTCATCCTGATGGATTTACTTGGACCAAACAGCTAATCAAGAGAGCTTATACTTGAACAATTCACTAGTAAAGCTGAAAAGCATTAACATAAGAATAAAATAAACATGCAAGAATAGGTAAACCATTCCTGTTATCTGGAAGGTAGGTAGTTGGGCCAGATAACAGAAGCCCCTGTTGTGACTGAAGTATTAATGTTAATTTAATTCAGGTCAGAATTTCCAAGTGTTTTAATACTTCATGCAAATTCAATTTTTCATTTATAAATAAGGAAAATAACTCTCAAATGTGGCCCTGAATGCTGAGAGCTGCTCTGGGTCAAAGTCAGCATGAAATGTTTGTCTCTGCTGTACTAGAGTGAACTGGAATATACTTATGGTGAAGTTAATTAGATTTTGACTCAGAGAACAGGAGAAGATTGTTATGATTTAGTGGTGGGGTTTTAGGAGAAGCAAAACCAACATGAGCATTAGTCTCTGCTCTCCCAACTATAGCTAACATCCTGTTGTGTTACAAAGCTTTGGTGCACTTGCTGCACTAAAGATTTTTTTCTTCCTCATATTTTTGTGGTTGGGTGCAGCATTTCTAAAAGACAGAATGTGTATTTAAGCTTTCCTCTAATTTGCAAAATTTGAAGCTTGATTCAAATCAAGCAAATGGGAAGATGTGCGGGAACTGTTTCAGTTATTATTTGCCATAGCTATACAAAAACCATCTGTGTTGAAAAGGAAATAATTGTTTTTTTTTTCTCTCAGTGGCTAGAGAGGGGCTGAAGACATTTGTGAAAAATGTTGCCATACTGGCCCCAAAACTCCCTGAAGACAAAAACTCAGTCTCTGTATTAATTAAATGGAGACCACAAATCTTTTGTTAACTCAGCAATAGATACGTTTTTTCAAGTAATGGTATAACTATAGGACACTGACAGAATCAATAGTGAAACTGATATGTGGTCATTTGGTTTAAAGCAAATTCAGTTTGGAACTGTAAAGACCATGGGTCAGTCAGTAGAAATTTGTTCCTGTTTTAAAAGACTCAAATATATTGCCGAATTTGATGCAGGGTTTTGAGCAGAGGCTGGAGAGGTGGGAGGAGTGTTTTGTTTTGGGGTTTGTTTTTTTTCTTTTCCCATTTTATTTTCGGAATTTTTTTGTAACATAGTGAGAGGTTCTCTAATTTAGTGATGTGATTCCAGACTAGAGTGTACCATTTTGTTAATGTACTGGAAGTGAAAGAAAAGCAGAATCAATATGGGATTCAAATCTTTGAAGCCCAAGGCAATTAAAATAAAATCTATCAGTTATCAATCAATATTGTGAAATTACGTGTAGATACCCAAATTGAAGCAAGACCACTGAAATAAGTCAATTAAATTCAGGAGGAATCTTTAAGTAGAATGAACCTGTACTAGTTATTGGCATTTAGATACTTAGTGCTTTCAGGATGAGCCCAAATATCTTTACTTTCAGCTTATCAACTTCATGAGGAACTTAGTAACAATATTCAGCTTTCAGTAAAGGAAATCCATAGTAGGAGAGCAAATCTTACATGCATATTTATCATGAATTTGCAATATTTTGGAAATTACTTTTTTAGCATTTTGACCATGTTTGTTGTCTGGATTTTCTTTTTTTTTTTTTCCCTAAATATTTTGTTCACAAATCAGAGAAAAGAGACCCCAGTACTGTTCCATAGAAATTATGGATAAAATGAGTCATAGAAAATATTTTTAAGAAATTGTGTGGTACAGAAAGGGGGGCGGGGGAAGTAGTGAAATTATTTGTGAGTAGGTGTTACTTATTTACAACAAAAGTTAATGTCTGGTTTGGCAATTTTCTTTATTTTGCAGCCACAAGAGATGTTTAAAAGGATGGTGGTTTACAATTCATCATTTAGATCTAACAAAAAACAAGTAAAATAACATTTTTCATGTTTTGTGTGGTACTTCTTGTTTTGACTCATCATAGATTTAAACCTTTCCTTTCTAATTCTGTTGTTTAGTTTCTAAAACAGGATGCAGTGCAGCCCTAATGCATGAAAACTCATAGTCTTTGTAAACTGTGTGTGCCTGTGGTTCCTGCTAGTCTAGATGAAGAATGAAAGGATAGTAAATCCTTCAGGTTGAACCATCTGTAACTATGCACACAGTTAGTGCAATCCTTAAGACATCTGAACAGTGATAATGGGTCTGAGAATGATGAATTATTTTTTTATATTCCTAAGGTTTCCTTGTTTCTTTTAGTCTCCAGCTGCAATGCTTTCAGTAATAATAATAATAAAAAAAATTTAGTTTAACAAACAGAGCTATTAACATAGTTACTAGTAGGACAACAGAGGAACTGTTGGTGGAAAGCACTTACATAGCCTTTTTGTACTATGTAGAATTTTTCTTCTGTGTCACTTCTTTTATTGCTTTCTTCTGTCACAGGGATGAATTTTTCATCTCTTCCTCTTTTTTACTGGTGATTCAATAAGTGGTCCCTTGATGAAATGAACTTTGTGCTTAATTTCTCTTTTGCTTTTAAATATGCTGGTTTCTGTTCAAAACACCTTTATAAGTACAAGCTAAGTTAGATGCATTGCTGTGTTATATGAATATGTTGGCACAAAGTTGTGAGCTCCGAGTATGAGCTTATGAGTAGCAAAGCATTAAGGTTAATAATGTATTTTTTCTTTCTTTTGAATAGTTTCAATTTAGATCTAGAAGGAAAAACTTGAATTGACTGGGAAGTCAAACTTTGAGATTGTTCAGTTGCTACTGAATGTTAGTATGTTCTGTATATTATACCAGTTGTGTTCTCAGCAAATGTGGTTTTGGGAAATTTTATATCTGGTCATGGGTTTCTTTCTCAGTCCTTCTCTGTTCATTTCAGTCAGATCTCAATTGCTATTGACTATTGCTGGTAGAAATTTCAGTGAGTAATACCGTTGACTGGTGCCTGGGGGCGCCAGTCCAGACAGGTAGCTGTTTTGGTGCAATCAGATTCTGCTTATGTTTGGTCTTAGGAATGTTGCTGTAAGTCAAGAAAGAATTCAGATGGTCTTGAACTCTTTCACCTGGATGTCCCGAGTAGTGGGAGGATAGGCTTAGCACTGGTTTCCACTCAGTGTTGCTTTGTTCATTAGTCCCTGCTTGGATATGGATTGTGCACACTGCCCTCAGAATTTGTGATGCCCATTTCTGAGAAGAGATTTTACAGTTGTTTTTTCGTTGTGGGGTTTAACGTGGGTTTTGTTGTTGTTCTTTCTTCTTTTTTTTTTTTTCTGTCCTGTTCAAAAATTACTTTCCCAGGAAAACTTTCTTCAAGGCCAACATCTGTTTTTCATGAGGGCGACCTGGGACAAATAGTTCACTGACTTCTTTTAGATTACATAATGAATTAGTGACTTGGCCAAGAGTTCTTTCCTCTTAAGTTGCTTGCTCCAAGACCATAGACATCTACTTCAGCCATGATTCCAAAGGTTAATAAGAATTCAGCTATTCAAACTGATAGGTTTGTTTAGGTAGCTATCATTGTAAAACATTTCTTGTATAATTTTATTTTAACTATTAAAACACCTTGCAAATGAATAAATTACTGTGTTTTTTTCCCCAGGATGAAATTCTACCCTTCAAGCTTGTGATCAGATTCCCATTTATTTAGTTTCTCAAAGTTAGTGTTAAAAAATGTAACACAACCTGTAATTTAAATGCTAAATAAGGTCTCTCATGTTCCTATTCCTAAAATATGTTTTTAATACATATTTCCCTACCCCCAAAAAAACCCCAAAACAACAACAACAAAATTTAAAAAACCCAAAATGCATGCCTTCCTCCCTCCTTCCTCCAAAAAAAAAAACAAAAAACAAAAAAACAAGGCAGCACAAACATACTCATGGCAATAAGCAAGAGTTCTGTGGTTGTGCGCTGAAGATACAGCTTTCGGAAGCCTGGGGAGGCAAAGTCGTGGTTCAGCCCTTGCAAATGTTTCTTGTGTCTCAGAAGAAACACAGAACAAGGACATGAGTTACTTAAGTTGGTCTTCCGATCTCAGGGAAAAGGTGAAGAGAGAGGCAAAGCCAGGGTTCATTCTGAACTATTTGGTATGCTTGTGTGTAATGACCGCCAGTCCACACAAGAGCTATCAGCACCACTGTTGCATGGTCTGTGTAAGTGCGATTAGACAAATGGACAGCACTGTTGTACATCTGAGGCTCTGCTAATGCAGATCTGTGTAGCAGTGCTCCCTGACTTTGTCAGAGGCAGTGGCAGTAAGGCTGAGATCTCATCCCAGAGGATCATTCCCAGTCATAACAAAATGGCAATTGAGAGAGATGATAAAGCTGATAATAGGAGGAGGCATTAGTGTTTTCTGCTGCAACTTCATCATTTAACAGCCAGCCTTTAAAGATACGAGAGGAACCTTAAGATGCGCGTTTGATTCGCAACGGGAAAAAGGCTTAGCTGAATCTGAGAGTAGAGCAGACTTGATTGTCAGATGGGTCCAGTACAAAAGAGGGCAATAGTGAATAAATCAAGCTTGATCATGGACTGAACTGCTGGTCTGCATCAGATATTGGCTTGCCTGCTGTCTAAGCAAATGGTTGTGTGGTTCTACATTGTTCCCATGTCCCTGGATTATTGCAGCTTGAAGCCACAAGACTGATGGAGCATTTAGGTTCCTGAGTAAAGATTTCTGTTAAGTCCTGAAGTCCTTAATGCAGAGTTCTTATACATCTGCAGCATCACCCATACAATCTCATCTGGTAACTACTAATTCTCCTCAGGAAATGACCACTCAAACACCATTGAGTCCTGATTACTGACTCAGAAACTCTCACCTTTGCAGAAAAGGTAACTCACTCTTTTTCAGTGCAGTGTTGGTCTTACAAGGCTAATGCATTAGGTTTTGAAAGTTTAAGAAAGTGTGGGTCCTCTCAAAGCTTAAATCCTGCTCTACCTAACTGCAATATTATCTTCCCAATTTCAGACACTGCCTGCCAAAACTTTTTAAGTCCTCCATATGAAAAGACCATATTAAAAAATTACTACTTGTCCTGCATTTGCTTGTGGTATGGAGTGAAATCTCTGCAATTCTATGGGAAGGAGGGAAGAAGGGGGTTGGAAGACGACCTGGCAACCCAGATGGTGTGAAGTAGTATTGCTGACAGGTGAATTGGAGGCTATCATTTCCACTTGTGTTGTAGTACCCAACATGGTGACAGTCCCAAGAAATGTTGTTCGGACAGTGTGGCAGAGCATACCTGCCCATGGTGCTTTCAAGATTTACTTCTGTCAGTTGTAGAAAGAAACTGTGGCGCTAACAGAGTAGTAAACTGCTCCTCAAAACTGCTCCATAGTATGACCAGCTCAAACTGCTGATCTATCATAAGGTTTTTGAAATACATTCTGACTGTCAGGATGGACTATTTCCTGCCTTTCTATGCTTTTCTCCATTTATTTTCATCTTTCATAGATGTATGACTAATGAATAAAATGGAGTTTGTGTGTTAAGGATGTGATGAGCCTGATGGTTTTTACAGTTAAGTATTGTTTTATTCTCAGGGTTTCCAGAAATATTTGGAAGATTTTGATCCATATTCAATGGTAAGGAAAGAAATTAACTATGTCTTGCTGTTTAATATGAAATGCACTAGAGAAAATTTTGAGGGTTGGGAGGGGTAGGATTCTTGCTTGTTGGTTTGCCAAGGCTTGTGTATTTGTCTCTTCTGGTCATGTTGAAAAGGAGCTATCTTACTGGAGAAGATGGTCTGGTGTTTTGATCTTCCTCTAACATTCTCCCATAAACTACATTTATCAGCCTGTTTTGTGTTTCCAAAGTTGAAATGGCTAATCAATATATCTTTTCATAGTTTACCCCAGAGCAGATTATGGGAAAAGATGTACGGCTATTACGAATTAAAAAGGTAAATATTATATTATTTGATTGATGTTTAAAGGGTTCATGTAAACATTTCATGTACAATACGATTTACTGAAAAGAAGGAAAGATTAAGTTCCTGTTGATGGCAAAAATTAACAGCCTTTTTCTGAACTAAAATTCCCTTTTTATTAGGAAGGATCATTAGACCTTGCAGTTGAGGGAGGAATCGATTCTCCAGTTGGAAAGATAGTTGTGTCTGCCATCTATGAGGGTGGTGCTGCAGACAAACATGGTGAGTAACAATGGGGAATATGAATGATTCTGTGAAGTGGTTCCTTACGCTGGCTGAGAGTTGTTGGCTGACTTTCATAGCCATGCCTAGTACTGAGAGGCACATCTAGCTTGTCCAAAGCTGTCCAAGTTCTGTCTTGGCTCTAAGGGCAGCTCCAAGAGCAGCTCATGGTTTCAAGGGTGCCTTATGGCAAACAGCTTAGCTCTCTGGAAGTCACAAGAACATGCATACCAACACATCCAGGTTTTGCTGTTCATGACCAGTATCTCTCATGTTTTCCTTGAGAAGTCTAGTGATGGCCAGGTAGACAAATGGTGTCTCCTTACATTGTCTTTGGTCTTTGCCGATCTTGTCCCAACCTGCACCTAGGTTCATGTCACCTTTGCTGTGTAAACATCTCAGCCACTTGATCTCTCAAGTACTATGTTTCCCTTTGGCTCTTCACTGCTGTGAAGGCCTTTTACAGCTAGGGCTGTGCAGTTGCCATCTGTGTTTTACTCTTTAAATCCACTCCCAGCTAGCTGATTGTGTTTCATTACAGATTAGCAAGTCAAAATCAGCTCTAAGGACTGAATGTTACACATGCTTCTGCAAAGGAAAGACAGCCCTGCAGAACCTTGACAAAGGCCACTTACACCTTCAGAACTTTAAAGTAATGCTGCTATTTTCATAATAGTAACACTCTGCAATCAACCTCAGCTTGTAAACTGTATAGAATGATTACCCAGACAGGCAAACTATTACTAAACTACTACTATGGAAAAAATCTTACTCAGCTAGTTTCTTACTAGTCATGATCAATAGGAGATTAGTGTGGCTTTTACATGCCTAAAAACTCCTTTTGCTTTTGCCTACAGAAAACTTTCTTGTTTACGTCAATTTTTAGTGTAAGCCTCCACATTTAGTGAAGACACTTTTCATTATACACAGTACTGCATACATCTGGGACAGTGAAGACTCACAGCTGTTTGCTCACACGTATGTATACTGTGTTGGTCTTTTCTCCAGGAGGCATAGTGAAAGGGGATGAAATATTAGCTGTAAATGGCAAGATATTAATTGACAGCAGGCTGGCAGAAGCACAGACAACTCTAGCAAAAGCTTGGAACATGGGTGGGGTAAGTCACCTGCAACACTTCATTCTACCTGTAATGCTCATATGAGGTATACTTTTCTCCCATTACTTTGTTATATCAACACAAATGAGGTTGCAGACATCAAAAGTAACATGTATGACATATACTAGCAAAGTGAGCTAAAATCTGCAGAAGATACTGGTATATAGCATCTCTAAAAATCATACATGTAATTTATTGTGAAAGTTCATAGCATTTAGCCGCATGTCAAGACCATTATTTAAATACATTGCATTCCGAGTGTTCATAGTACATTTACCTGAAGAATCATAGAATCATAGAATAGTTAGGGTTGGAAAGGACCTTAAGATCATCAAGTTCCAACCCCCCCTGCCATGGGCAGGGACACCTCGCTCTAAACCATATCACCCAAGGCCTCATCCAACCTGGACTTGAACACCACCAGGGATGGAGCATTCTCAACCTCCTTGGGCAACCCATTCCAGTGCCTCACCACCCTCACAGGAAAGAATTTCCTCCTTATATCGAATCTAAACTTCCCCTGTTTAAGTTTTAATCCATTACCCCTTGTCCTATCACTACAGTCCCTAATGAAGAGTCCCTCCCCAGCATCCCTATAAGCCCCCTTCAGATACTGAAAGGCTGCTATCTCATATCTCTCGATATCTCTCAATATCTAATATCTCTCATATTGAAAATGACTTGCAAACTGCTTGGAATTTTGTGATAACAGCTTATCTTATCTTTGATTTCTTAACGTACAAGTAACTTCACTTAATTACAGTGAGTGTTTTCTCAGCAAGAGCTGTGTTCATTGTTAAATGACCAAATACAGAATGATTCTTAGAATAATTATTTTTAAAAGTTTGTTGTAAGACCAGGAGATTTTTTTCTCTAATTTCAGGATACTCAAACAGCTGAATACTGAATTAGCCTTTTTATGGAAGTCTTTAATAGAGATCTTTCTTCTGCTCCCTGTGGTTTTCCAGAAATAGATTGTCTTCCTCTATCAAGTATTTTATGGTGGTTCTCTAACCACTTCTAAAAGCCATATTAAGCAGCACGTTTCACTGTGCTTTTCTTCTTCAGGACTGGATTGACTTAGTCATTGCGGCATCACCTCCAAAGGAATATGATGATGAAATGTAAGTGCATAAACTTTCTTGCTCTGAGAATTAAAACGCTAGTAACGATAGTCTATTTCAAATATTTATTTATTGTGGACTAGATAATCTTTTGCATCACATGGCTGCTAATGTGATAGTTATAAATAGCTATCATGCATTGCAGCAGCGATTCCCAGACATTTCAAAATGGCTGCTCTCTGACTAGGTTGTACATGACCACATGCTCATACTTTCAGTTAAAGTTTGAGGATTTGAGATTTTGGTGGTGGTTTGATTTTGGTTTTGTTTGTTTGTGTTATTTGGTTTGTTTTGTTTTGGTGCTGGGGGTTTTTTGGTTCTTTTGGGTGGTTTTTTTTTGTGGGTTTTTTTTGTTGGTTTGATTGGTTGGTTTTGGTTTTTGTTTTTTTAGAAATTACTTCAGTCTGGGTCATTTATTGTGGTCCCGTGGATCTTAATTTGGGGGAACAAGTGCCCATAAGAATTCTTCATCACAACCATTTAATTCTGTTTTGGGAGGGTTTGGGTTTTTTAATTAGATTGCAATTACTATTCTTATCTAAGCCAATCTAAGTATGAAATATTCAAAAGTACTGATTTCGATGTCTTGGCAATTTGTGATGTTCAGTCTTTTGGGTTTTTTTTAACTATAATCAGCATGTGTGTGAAACAGAAGAATCCATAGCTTTAAGTGTATTAAGAGGTATCAGATTGGTACAACTTGCTTTACTTTAGCCAAACAGTTTCAAAGGCAAGACCAATGTTTTCTATCTTGACTGAAGTAGAACATCTGAAAATATCCTCTCTACCAACTACAGTAGCAGAGATGAGTTTAGTAGTAACTCTTCACCCGGACGCATTCTGTGTAGAATATCAGGGTATTAGTTGCTGTAAATAAATATGGTTCCACTGGCTAACATCAACTGAAGTTTGCTGTAAAATTGTGTTTAATACCTGTGCATAAAGTAACAAGCAAGGAAGTAACTGTTACTTGTTTTTGTTTCCATATCCTGTATATTTAGCCCTACTATTCCCTCATCAACAGTCAGTCCCAACACACAAAAAAAGGTTTTTGAAGGCAGTGCACCTGTGTACAGACAAGGGTATCTCCTGCAGCTGTAGCCACTGCAGTGTTCCCTCATGGTGAATAACCAGACCTGGGTTAACATGACTGTCCATTGTGAGGCTGCGTTATTCTTTCAGCATGTGCCTGCCTGTGCATTGTATGCCATGTTTGCTTTTGTTCCTGGCATGCTGGAATGTTCTTTGGGCTTTTGCCATGCCTTCCTATTAAAATATAAGTATTTAGCTTCTACTTAATAATGTCCCTTAGAAGTCCTCTGCAGAATTGGTTTCTCATCTGACAGAATGTAAAATAAATAGGCCCTGTCTAAACACATAGGATTAATCTATTTTTGTATTTTTTTTACTTATCTGTGGTCTGTTGCTATGGCTTTGATTTTATAAGTACATAAGTAACTACTAATTGCTTCCTTGTGAAGGCTTGTCCAAAGAACAAGTTTCTATTTCTATTATATGGCAGTGTGCCTGTAAACAAATATTTATGACTGGTTGCTTTTCACTGATGTTTGTTTGTGTTGTCACTATACAGTGGGTTTGTCCAAAATTATCCTTATGTCACAGTTTATTGTGTATGGTTTCTGTGTACTGTAATTACTGTAAGTAGTCATAGATCTCTAGAAGAATCAAGGTAATTTCTTACTGCATGTGGGTATATGTGGTCTTCTCAACTATTATTTACAATATGAATCAACTAAGAGCTATGATTTAGTTATATAAAATTACCAGAAAGACTAAAACTTGCATGACAGCTAAAAGCATCTGTTTCACAATCTCTTCTTTTTCCTGCAGGACATTTTTTTAAAGAAGGCTACGCTGGAGAAATAAAGTGTTTCCCCTGCATAAACCTGATGCTCTGTAAATTATTAGGAGATCAATGACCACAAGATATGCATCTTTATTTGAAAGAAATGTGAGCAATCAGACCTGTAAACTGAGCTAGGTACTTGAAATTGTCCATATAATTCAAATAATTTCAAATCATTCTATAGATGTACAGTAAGAAAGTGTTGAGACTGTTGAGAAGGGGTGCCAGTGAGCATAGCTTGGCCTGTGAGAACTCAGTCTGAGGTTTTTGCTATTTTCGGGGCTCAAATTCTGAAAATTGTCTATTTTCCTGGAAATAGACACCAAAATGGCAAACAAAGATAGAACACAGATGTCTGTTCCCACATGCAACACTTGTGATTACACGTTCACAGGCCAGTTTGGGTGTGAAAAGGATTATATTTTTACTCTGTACATAGTGATTTTCCCTGGAGAACTGGGAATGTAGATAGGTAACTTTTGTCCTCACTCATGTTCTTGTAGCTCTCTTAATATCAATTTTTGTTGCTCAGTTGTGAGTTGTTTTGAGTAAAAAAAAACCCCAAAAACTGCTTGTGGAAAAAATGGTAATATCAGGAGTGCTAGCATTATAGAAAATAATTTTGGTGATGCTTATACAGTATAAAGAATCTTCTCTATCAGCTAAGTAAATAGCTAGCAAGTAGTCCAGGTAAGATCACTATGTGTAGTCACAGTTATACTACTGAGTAGTTATATTGGTGGCAAAAATTACTCCCTCAAATAGTCATGTGTGGAAAACTTGGGTGTGATTCACGGTCTGCAGTTATGTACTTTGTTCTCAGTGAGGCTGTATTCATGACTGAACTGTGCAGAAAGTCACTAAGTGTAATATTTTGCTCTTGGTGACTGCCTTCTGTTTGAGTAAATTCCTCAACACCATAAAATCTATACTAGCCTGTCTGAATAGGCATGATTATGCTTGTAGACTTAGTACTTTCATTACATTATCAAGATGCATTCTTAGAAATGTCATTGCCTACCTTGCTTGTATCTGCCATTTTGCATTGCTTTTCATTATCTAATTCGCACTGGAGTCTTGCCTTTTGAAAGTTTGGAAACCCTTGTTTCTGTAACACAGACAAATAACAACTATGTTTCTGAGAGCTCTGTACTTATACAAGGATGATTCCTTATGTTGACTTTCTTCATTTGCAGTATTGTTCCAGTATGCCAATTAATGTATTTGGCCGGATACATTTATTAGAATGTTTAAAATGTTCACTCCTAACTAATCCGGAAATAAAATTGCATTTGCCAAATGGAAGAAATCTTGTTTCCTCTTTGTGTTGTACATAATAGTATTAATCTGCTAAAGTACACAGGTTACGGAGTTGATCTTTAATAACAGACTCATTTGCAACAGAATGCCACCTGTGTGGAATTCAAAAGAAAATTCACTATGCACAGTATGGAATTGTCACTTGGCTGAACTGCAGTAATCTTTGAGTTTTTATGGGCAAATCTGGTCATTTGATATCTGGCAAGCTCCTGAGTGCAGCTGCTCCAGTTTATTTCATTTGCAAGGTCTTTGGGTACATCTACCCAGAGCTGTAGACTTCATAATTTACAGACTAATCTAAATGCATCAAGATTAGCACCAGAGGGAAAATTGCAGCAGGACGTACTTCTGCTGCTCTGGTTCCCAGTTGCCTACATACTGCAACCATCTGGATAGCATGACAATGCAGATAGATGAGTGATGCTATCAAATGTTCTCTTAAGGGATGCTCTGATGCTATGTACCAGCAAATACAGGGACACAGTAATGCACCAGTAATGAACTTCAGCCCACAATCGGTGCTTGATTATGCTAATCTCTGTATCAGCACGCTAAGAAAAATAACACAGAAAACTTAATATTTTTGCTGGTGTTTTTTTTCAGAGACAAAAGAAACATAGAAAACTGAGCTGTGGGAAATCTGTGGGAGTACCAACAGTTAAGCTGTAGCCTTACTTCTTAGTCGCAAAACCATCTTTCTTCTCCCTGTCTACCCTGTTGACTTGATTTGCTTGGATACAGCTTAAAATGCATGAGAGACAGTTGAGGAAGTAGTTACTGTTTCTTACTTCATGTATCTTGAGGAAGTGTTAATTTGTGTGTTCAATCTATTGGCAAAGTTGCTTAAGGCAGTGTAAGGAGGTAGTGTTAGAAAAAAGGAGGCTGACAATTCTGATACCTTAAAACATTCTTAAGCCATTATTCAGGTGTTTTTTTACTTTATTTCTGGCTTATCAGTGTGCTGGGAGTGGATCACATCTTTCATTTGCCAGCTAGCTGAAAGAGTTGAAGAGCCCTACAAGAAAATACAGTTTTCAAGGAACTTCCTTTTCATTTACTTTGGTGTGTGTGAGCAGTGTCCCAGGTGTCAATCGTTTAAACAGGTGTGCCCTTTTGAGTTGCTACTGGGTAGTTTTCTGGTGGCTGCAATAGTTGCTACATGTGCCCATGCCTCACCCCTGTTCAGTCACGCCAACTGTGAAAAGATGATAGTAAGAGTATAGAGGACTTTTTTTTTCAGCCAATGCTTAGTTTCCTTTGGGAGTATGGAAACTCTGACCTGATGTGCAAGGAACAAGTCCAAGTACTTCACTGACAGTATCACGAATGCCTCAAACTGCTTTTAACATCAGATGGTTTTTTTGTTTTTCATTCACTATAATCTCAGAGGGAATATGTTGAGTTTCTCAGAGCTATTTGTTTGGTTAAGACCGCTCAAACCCCCTGTCTGTCTCTATGGGATAATAACCCAGAGGAAGAGTTTCTCAGAACTGTTAACAATCACTCATATTCTCTCAGGAATTTCTTGGCTGTGTTAGTCCCACGTTGTCTTCAGCGTACCCTCACAGTTGCTGAACTGGAACATGAATTGAATTAGAGGCTTGTGACTTTCACATCTGCTCTGTGAGCCTGTGCGTGCCTCTGTGCAGGCAAAAAATGTGAAACCTTATAGATTAGAACCATGGCGTGCATTATAAAATAGGAAAGACACTTGTTTATTACTCTTGTGGATATTAGCATGGGGAAGTCTTTGATTTATTACTGCAATTCTTCTACATTCAGAACTCATAACTTAGCCATTATTTATCACATGACCATGGCATCTTTGATAACTTGTAAGCATGTTTCAAAGAAATTTTGATTATAAAAAAATGCTGAATTAATAAATTTATATGCATACAGGGGGGGTGTACATATGTGAACACATCAGTAAGACTTCTTAAAATCTATTTAATGTGTGTGGCACACATGCAAGTAACCTCAGCCCTTCAAAAATATGAAATATAACCTTTGACTATAAATAAGTTGTTATAAGCCCTCTTACCTTAAAACAGGACTGAAAAACATGGTTTCATGTTCAAAGCATGTCTGCCTGGTTATAAGGAGCTTGATTAGGCAATAATTGATACATGTTTTCTGTATGCTCGGGCTGTGTGTTGACTTGGAAGCAGGATCAGACTGAGGGTAGCTGCTGTGGAATTCTTAGCCATCTTTCTACCTAAGAAATGTCCCCCTGTGATCTGTGCTGACCCTTTGGATCCAAGTCTGAAATCCCTATTATCAATTTATGATAAGGTAATAAGTGTTTGATTCCAATATTGAGTTTGTTCTCCAGTGGTTTTCTGCCCATTTTATCTTTTGCCATTGTTCTTGGGTTTTTTTTTCTTTATTTCTAACCTTAAGAAATTTCTGGAGCAGATTCCAAAACTCCCCTCTTGCAGACTTGAAATCTGAGGAGGCTCCAGGTGGGCAGCTCATAAGTCATACGAGCTATTTTCTTTGATATTGACAAGGATGTTTTCTTTCCTTCCTCCTAAGGAAGGCAGTGAAAAGTTTGCCTCTACTGGAATACTGGGGGCCTCTGCTGGAATTTTTCCTCTATTCCTATATCTGCATTTGCTGTGTTATTGAAGAAAACAGATAATAGTACAGCACTTTGGTGGGGCTGTGGTCTATTTATATTTGTAACAAGGTAACTTGGGCTATTTTCAATCTTCGCTAAAAGTATCTAAGATGAAAGAGGAAGTGGAGACACACACAGGAAAAGCAATTATCAAAATTTGTTATCATTAAGTCTGAACTTCTAGTTTTCATTTTGAATTTCAGTTCTTCTTCATTTTCTCAAGTAATCTTTAAAGGTTATGCCTCCCACTGCCCATTTTCTTGGCTTGTCCTCCTTTCATCTTTTCTCACCATTTCTCTTCCAAACATCAGTAGGACGTGGTAGTCTTCAATAGCTATAACAGAGTTTATGTGGTACTTTTGAAAGAAACTTTAGGAGAGGCAGACCATCCCAACATAAACTGAGTGAAGGTAGAAATCAGACAGCTTTCTTGAGGACAGGTGCTTTCTAAACAATAGGAAAGTGAGAAGGAAAGTTGCTAACAGTTATTCTTCATGTAAAGGCATGACCCCATCCCTACCCTCCTCCTCCCCCTTCACGCCCCCCCCCCCCCAAAAAAAAGTTCCATATTACTTTTCTCTGAGTTGTTGT